AGTGACTATATCCATACATCAAGAACAATTTAGATAACTCATGCTTGAATCTGACGGACACATAATGCACCATTAATGTACCAGAAACAAAAAATATTTCATTCAATAAGCAAATTTTCTCATTTAGCCCTCACAATCATATTTGGGAAAGAGAAGAGGATGCTAAATGATTACCTTGGCTTCAATTTCAGATAACCTTTTCTGTTGCACTGCAAGTTTTGATTCAGCCTCTGCCAAATCATGAAGTTGCCTTAACAGATCACCACCACCCCTGTGGAAAAAGATAGCAGTTTTCAAACATCTCCAAAAAAAAAAAAAGCTACTCGAGAACCATTTGTTTGAGAAAGATACAAGTTATAAGGAGAAAAATAATCACTCTGTTAAATTTGTTTAAGAGTCCAAGAGCAAAAAAATTGCTTCCCACCAACCCCATCCCAAAGCTAAATAAAACCTAATGTTCGAAGAAGAAGAAGGAAGGATAAAACAAATACAATCTATGAGAATGAACATCTGTGGAATGCCAATAGCATAGTGATTTACCAGCGGCTTCCACCGGTCAAACAACCACTAGATTGAAATATATCACCTAGAATCTGTGAGAATAAACAACTGTGGAATGCTAATAGCATAGTGGTTTACCTGCGGCTTCCACCAGTCAAAAGACCACTAGGTTGAAATATATCACCTTCAAGGGTGACACTAGGAGTGTGAATTTCCCGATTAAAAGCAACCTATAAAACATTTGTCAAGTTGAAAAGAAAGTAAACCATACATGAATTTATGGTACATGCAGTTTGCAGGTGGCAGAAGATAAAGGCAAATTTTTGGCATGAGCTGCAGCCAAAAGAAGAAAAAGAAGAGAACAGTGAAGTGTTTCACATTTGTCAAAGAACACACAGAGGAATGCATTCAGATGGACATACCTCCTTTGCAGCATCAGTAGTTTTACAAACAAAAGTAGCACCAAATACATATTCCATAGCACTCTGCAATCATTCAAAACTTTTAGAAAAAGACAGCAGCAAATAAATAAAAATTACCAATATTTGAATTCTGACTGCCTCAAGAGGTTCAAAGGTATATAGCTCAACTCATATCTAACTTCTATGACTATAATCTCCCCAAACAGATAGCAAATAGGCATACACCCGACATTGCCAACAGGCATCATGCTGCATGAGGTTTAAGATAATAGAATAGCCTAATAAAAGCATACCTCTAATTCCTCATCATAACCAACCAATGAAAGTGCCAGCTTTGCATTCTCCTTGCCAACCTATAAGTATAATGATGAAATCAAAACTCAGAAAAGGACAGGGATTCAACAAAAACAACAACAATAATAATAGATTTAAAAAAAAAAAAGAATAAAAGCAAATGCAACAACTAACCAATCTGATAGCAGCCTGCTGAGCCCTTGGGGGAACAGTATTAGGTTGGATTTTGTTTAAAGGTATAATTGTTACTCTTCTTCGTAGATCACCATTTTGAAGTAGTTGCTTTCCAGTATTTTCACTGTCAACAACCACATTAAATAGCTTTCCACCTGCAGTAACCTGCAAATTGATTTAAAGCGTTACCATATAAATATGATGGTGGGCTACAAATAACATCCTTTAGATCTTGCCAACCTCTAAGGCTGTCATTGTCGAGCTATCCTTCACTTTTATTAGTTTTGCAACCACTCCTTTCACCTTTGACCTATCAAAGTTTTTCACAGGATCACGATAAGTGAACTGAACATTTGCTAACTGTGCTGAAAGATCCCGTACTCCATCTTTCAACTTTTGGATGAGTTCCAACTCGGATGCACGATCCTAGAAAAGTTTGTCTGTTAAAAATGATTTAGCAAAAGAAAATTCGTAGAGTCCACATTGGACAAGAAACATAGAAGGGAGAGAACTGGAACCTTTTGCAATGCTTCCATCTGGCCTTCTTTGTACGGGAGAGATTCCAATTCGATTTTAACTTTTTCCACACCTTTTTTCCTAGAATTAAGTTCATTCTCCACATCAACTGCTTCTTCACGCTTTGACATTAATTGACGTGTTTTCTCTCCCAGCTCCTTTTTGCAATGGCTAATTTTTGTTTTCAGCTGTTTCAATTCTGTTTCAGCAGCCCCAACAGCAACCTTGGCATCACCTAGTTGATCCTCTAGGCATTTCTCCTCATTGCCACTGCTCTTGCCAGCTAGGACAGCCTGCCACGTTAATCACTGAAACTTCCTCAAAACACTTGGTTTACAAATGAATGCAAGAAATATAATGTTTATGATTAGCAGAATGACATATGCCAGTGTTTACCTGGTATTCCTTTTCTTGCTCTTCCAAACTCTTAGAAAGATCCTCAGCTCTCTTCTTCAGCTCGGTTGCTCCTTCTTCAGACTTTTGCACTGCAATGGCCTTCTCTTCTATAGACTGCCTCAAATCTTCAATATTATGAATAATCTGGAATACCAAATGTGAAATCTAAATCTTCTACATGACAATAGGAAGAGCAAAAGACTAGAAAGCAGAGGAGGATAAATATGAAAAAAACCAAAGAGAAGATAAGCATATTCTGTGTAGTATATAAATAAAATGCTTGAGCTGATGCTAAAGAAATAGCAGAGCTTGAGGCAATAAACCAATAACCTTCTCAGCATTCTCTTTCTCGCCCTTGAGAGTATCCTCTTTACTATTCAGCACAGAAACTTCCTGCACAAGATTTTTAGATAGTGAATCTACTTCATCTGACAAAGTCTTGACTTCCCCACCCATAGTAGCTTCTTTTTCAGCAGTCAACTTCGATATGTTTGTCTCCATATCCTGAATTTCCACCTTTGTCCTTTCTGCATCATTGTCAATTTCGGTAATCTTTGCCTTTACTCTTTCTACTTCACCAACAGCACTATCTCTAATCCTCTCTGCTTGAACATACTCGTAAGCAACACAAAACCTTTTAAGTTTATCCAGCTCGGCATTCCCATTAGCCCATTGCATATACTGTGTTCGTTCTTTTCTTAACTTATCCAAAGCAGGCAGTATTTCCTGATCAAGAAGCTTATTAATCTCGTCAACCTTACTCTGTTTCTTCTCAAGTGTTTTCAATGCAAACTCTTTCTTTGTTTCGTACATTCTTGTCCCGGCAGCCTCTTCAAGCATAGATAAAATCTCGGGTGGTTTCATGTTTAAAACCTTGGTGATCCGACCTTGCATTATGAGGAAATGAGGATTGTTAACATTAAGTTGAACCGAATGGAAAAGGTTCTGTACTTGACTCGGCTGTGCGAGTTTTCCATTGATCAAATATTTGTTCCTTCCACCAACCACAATCTGCAGAGGTTTCAAATACATTTTCAATTTAAAAAGATAGTGTTCCAAGAAAGAACATAAATTAAAATTAAACAAACATGACATTTTGCAACAATAATTCAAATTGAAACAAAATCATAACTGAAATAAAGAAAAAAGACAATTATTTATCACATACTTGTCGAGTTACAGTGATCTCTGAGTGGTCCTCGTAACCGAGTGGACTCCGGGATCTATCAGAATTATCGAAGATAATGGACACTGTGGCCTTGGTAATTCCAGCTTGGCCTTGCTTGTAAACGAGCTCTTGGAGGTTGGCAGCGCGAACTTGTTGCAAATTGGTGATTCCTAAAACAAAGCAAATCGAGTCCAGAATGTTCGATTTGCCCGACCCGTTTAAACCCGTTATGGCATTGAAGAAGGGATCGAAACCAGGGACCACCGTCCTCGTGGCATAGGATTTAAACCCTTCCAAACATATCTCCTTGATGTACATCGCGCTTTAATAGCAGAACTCAGAGAAGAAAAATCTTAGAATTTGAAAGAACCAACGGTACAATTAGCTTTACCTTAATTGCCGAATAGAGAAAACCCTAGAAATGGAGAGAATCGCACGGAATTGTGGAAAAAAAGTAACTTTAGAGAGTGCAATTAGCTTTACCTTGGCTTCCAAATAGAGTTTCGTTTGGAGCTATTGCGGCGTTGGGTGAGAGACTAGAAGCTAGCAATTTAGAGGAAAAGCGAGTGAGTGAATTAAAAGGAGGGTTTTGTGAGTTTGGAGTCACCGGACTCAGATAACAGGAAACGGTGTCGGAGGTCGAAACCGTGGATCCCAAAAATGTAAGAATTTTGGAGGTTTTTCTGTTTTTTGGAAGTCTGAAAATCAGAGCGTTTTGAGAGACGCTACTGGCGGTGATGATGAAAAAGGAAAAACCCAAGAGCGGGAAATGGATGTACGAATTATTTTTGAAATCTTGGGGGCTAGGAACTCATAGGTCCTTCTGGTCAATGCTTTGGGCCCAAAACATGTCCCATCTTAAGGCCTAAGCATTGGGCCTAGTTATTAGTTTGTGTTTACAATTTACAGTCCAACAGTAAGGCGTAAGCGTTGGGCAGTTGAGTCTAATGGCGATGCCGCGATGGAGGAGTCGTGGGTCGTATTAAATGCTGGCACAAATCTGATAGTAAATTTGGTACTTTATGTATTTTTATTATATAAAATATTAATTTATTTTATTATATAAAAATTATATATCATAATTTTTATTAATATAAAAATATAAAATATATATTTATTTAATTTTATTAAATTTATTTATAATTTTTATTAAAATTTTAAATTATATTATTTTTATATATAGTGTTCATATTGATTTTATATTTTATTATATCATATTTTAAATTAACAAATCTTACTCGGTAGATTCCATTCCACCACACATTTACAGGACCTTTCTTGACAAATTTCAAAATGAGGTCCATTACGTCCGTACAACCAGCAAAATAAAGGTGTCAGCATTACTAATTCAAAAACACGTTGAAAAAAAAAAAAGAACAATGTGAATCTGTTAATCTGTCAACATAATACTAAATTAATTAGTTAGTAGCAATCGGAAGTCCTGTTAGTCTCCCTACTACTAAATCTTAAAACGAATTACACGTGCTAACGTAGAAACAACAAAACAAATTTAGTACAGGAGCAAAACAGTTAAACACCAGTTCCCTCTGAATTCCCTCTTCCTGACGCTTGACCGGCGAACACAACATTGTCATAGAGAAGTCCAGCAACTCCAGCACCAATCAGGGGTCCAACCCAGTAAACTGCTTGGTTCTTTAAGCGACCAGCAATGACAGCAGACCCAAAGGCCAATGCAGGGTTCATTGACCCTCCTGAGAATGGCCCTGCGGCTAGGACCATTGCTCCTGCCATCAATCCAATAACCAAGGGTCCAATGGTCCCCAGTGGACCGGTTCTAGGATCACCAGCAGCATAAACAGTGTACACCAAAGCGAATACAAGCACACCTTCCAACATGGATGCTCCGAATCCAGTCATTTCATTTGCAATTGTATAAGTTGGGACATGCTGCAAAAATTACAGGCAACATTACATAAAATTTTCTTTCTCTCATAGTCAGAAGTATCTGACCTGCCAAAAACCTTTAGCACTAACCTTTGAATTTGATTTATTTATCTGTACCAAATATCATAAAAAACTTCCCTATATATATTCATTCCCTTTCTCTCCCACCAAACATAGTGTTAAATAAATTAAACAAAATTGTACATTTGTATTGCAGTTTTCTTACTGCAAATGGGTAATGAAAAACAGAACAAGAGAATAACCTGTGCTTGTAAATGAAGTTATGATCATGATAAAAATGCATAAATGTTAGTAGTAACTAGAAACACTTTCTTTAACCTTCATAAATTGAAGTATATCTGCAACAGATGAAACAAAGTCGTTTCTTACCTGCGAAACAGTAGTGACCTTCAAGAAAAGGCAAGCCATGACAGAGGCCAACATTTGAGAAACCCAGTAAAACAATGCCGTTGTGACACTAATATGGCCTCCAACTGCCAAGCCAAAGGTGACGGCAGGGTTCACATGCCCACCAGAGACATTTGCTGCAATGTAAACAGACGAGGACAGCGCAAAGGTATTTGCAATGGCAACTAACACCAGGCTAGACGGATCTGTTGCCGAGTCTGACATCAATTTCCCTGGTAAAAAACAAGTTGGCAATCATGTTTTATAACGTTTTGGAAAAACCCCAGAAAAGTAAAAGAAACAATTAAAAGCACCAACGTGAAGCCATGGCAGAACCAACAACGGCAAACACATAGAAGAATGTGGAAATGAACTCAGCAAGATATGCTCTGAGGGAATTGGGAGTAACAGATTGGTGGAAACGGGCAGTGAACGATGCAGGAGCCATTTTTGTGGTGGAAAAGATAGTTTATGAGTAGAAATTAGACTTTTGGATTGGTTTGCTTTTGAATCTTTACAAAGAAGAGAACAAGAAAGGCAAGGGAAGTTTATAACAAGCAAAAGAGGTCGCAACTTTTCGTGGTGCTTGAAGTTCAAAAATTAACCGCCCACTAGCCACGTGGAGGCGCTGGGTTGCGATTTTCTGGGTATATGGCGGTTTATACCGTTACGTCGAATCTAATTTGATGTACGTCTGAAAAACATCCGTGGAAATAACCCGTTGTACATTTGATGTCCATAACGACAGTTTTTTAGTAATACGGGTTGGGTTACCTGTTAGGTTTGTGGGCTTTTGTCTTGGTTTAGGCCCGGTTCGGTCCAAGATATTATTATAAAAGTAAATAACTATTTTTTTAATTATAATTTTAAAATATTTTTATTTTAATGATAATATAATTTAAATAAGTGTATCTAGGTTAAATTTAAATGAGTACATTTCACCCATAATATTTTTTTTATAATACTATAATTGTCCAATGTTATAAAAAAATTAGTATATAAAATTTATATAATTATAATCGTGATTAATTAGTTATAATACAATAATTATAGGTGACTTAAACAGCCTAACTAAATTTTAAAAGTATTTTTATTAAAAATGAAACAATTAAAAATTTAATCTTTAAAGTAAGAGATAGAATCATCGAATCAAAATGCTTGAAATGCTGTAGTAAAATGCTGAATAAGACAAAATTCTTGAGGAGTTGGGGAAGCCACATAAAGTAAAACATCCTTTTTTTTTTTTTTTCTTTTTACAATGAAATCAAAGATCAAACTGGAAGAAAATTTGAATTTTCTTTCTCTACCGAAAACATTAGGCATTACTGATTTTTAATCTAAGCGATGTATGAGGTTTAACAACCGGATGTACCTCCGTCTTGAAGAGAAGAAAACAGAGCTTGTCAACTGAGAAATACAAGAATCCTCCACTCGCGTGCGTTACAAACGACCCAAAACTCTTCCCCACAATGCAATGCCATGCCGGTCCATACAATGTATCGAATTCCTGTGTCATATTTTTTCAAACCTCCATGGTAAACAGAAAAAACAAAAGCTTTAAGAACCAAAGAGGCAACGTTTTGGGTACCTTCTTAAGGCACATAGCGAGCTGCGTAGGATTAGGTCGTATGTTTTTATCTGGGTTGGCGTCAATTAGAGCTCTGGCTCGCCGGATAGCTCGCTCTTGCATTGCCGATGGCATGTCAGCAGATCTCAGCTGAACTTTCAAATCGATAGCTATTGCTGCTAGTTTCAGCTCATCTGCAGGAGGAGCTGGAGCTCTTGCAACCGGAGGCAGAGATGAAGCACGCTGGAGTCTGCATTGCGAAAAATTTTTGGCTCTTTCCTCTCTATTTCTTCTTCCATTATATGAACGTTGTCTCTCCGTTCACTGAACTAAAATTTGAGGGAAAAAGCACACAAACAAAAAGAAATTGCTTTTTCTGTAATAAGAGAGTGGGAAGTTGGTAGCAGAAAAGGCTTTGAACTTTGAGCTAACTTTGACTGGCACTGTTTACCTTTGCTTCATTTGACTTAAAAAGAGACAATTTTTTAATTTTTATTTGAATTTTGAAGCAAAATTATTGGAAAACCAGAGAATAATAGAAAGATTGAAATGGTGGGGAAAAGATACGCGCAGACTACGGATATAGTAATAATAATAATAGGGAGTAGGCCCGTAGGTATCATAAGTTTCAGGCTTTTGGTACTTTGAGAAGAAAGACAGACCATTATTGGAACAATTATTTTTTCTTGGTGCCCTTTTGCACGAAGAATGGCGGATCATACAAAGGCTGCATCTCCAGGTTGGCGCTACTTTCAGAGCCAGAGAGTGATGTTGAATCCTGGTTTTCACTTGCAAAGCTCATCTCTTGAACAGGTGGAGGGTTGACAATAGCCATTGGCATGACGAAGTTATCTGATAAACGTCCCTTCATCTCTATATGCACCTGGCATAAGGCACACCAGTGCATGCAGCAGTGCAACATGCACGGAAACGGGTCCGGCTGTCGTTCGTTGGTCTTGACTAGGGGTCGAGACGGGAGGGCTTGGTTGGGGGGCGGACGACGGTAGCGGCTTCTGAGTTTTGGAGGTTGGGGTTAGGGTTTGAGGGAGAAAAAAAGAAGAAATAAGAAGAAAAAAAAGTCTGCGGCTGCCACATGATTAAAAAATGACGTGTCAACAGTTTGACGTGGATTAAAAAAATCACATTAGTAATTTAATGTAGATTATGTAACATGTTAGATTTTAGATTTATATTTTACAATCCGAAAAAAAAAAACAAAACTAATTTTTGAATAAATAATAAATTCTCATTCTTGCAAACATTAGCTAATTCATCTCTTAGGAAGCTCAAACAATCTGATCATAATTTCATCATTTGTGTTTGATGTATAAGTAACTATCACATTATAGTTTCATTTTTGTATTAAAGAAGGTTTCAATTCAAGTTTTCATCGTTGATTTACTTATATTTTTACTAATAAAGGAAACATACGAGTTTGGAGGGAAGTAAATGATGGATAAAGTCTTGTTCACCCCTTTGAAGATATTCACTAGGCAATTTGAGAGAAAATTTTCTCTAAATCCCTATGTTGGTTGGCAAATATCACTGAAGATATCATTCATACTTAGCCCTTTTGTTCTTATTCCTTGCTTCATTAATTTCACGTGAAACTATGCAGGAAATACAGCAAGGAAATTGGAGCAAAGAAAAAGGAATAGCTAAAAACTCTTGTTCTCTCCTATCCTAGTATAGAACAAAACAAACATATTTGCAAAATCGATACCTCAGCGTGAAATCCTCACTATTTTGGAGATAGTTACTGCAAGATTTGGAAAGAGTGTCCATCGAATATTGAATAAGACTTTGTTCATCAATTTTCCTTATAAATATTCTTTTATGAGGGCCAATTTCTGTACCAACCAGCCCATGCAGAGACCAGGCCACTGATTCCAAGAGTCACAGCATGGTTGCAGAATGGGTTGGGTTCGATATCTGCAATTGCAATAATTAAATCAGCAATATTTGCTGCCACTGCCATCAACCTCATCACCCTATCAGCTATTATCTTCCGTAACTTCTCTTTTGCATCTTTTGAATCTTCTTCTGTTAAAGCAATGAGCTTCTTCTCTGCCTCTAGCCCCTCTTTCATGATAATGAAATCTGAAACAATGAAGAAAATATAACCAAAAGACTCACCAAATGCGGATATGAAGCTCATCCTCCTTGCCAACTTCGCATCTAAAGTCCCAATTCTTGATAGCCATAGAAAGTGGTCAAAAAAGAAATAGACCATCTCTCCTGCATTAGCAAGAACAGCTAGGAACTTGAAAGTTGGACTGGAACCAGGGTTTCTTCTCAAAGCATTGAAACCAGTAAGGAACCTGCCAGTTCTAAAGGCTTTTCTGCTAAGACCCGAGGCAACCTCCCATTGCTTGAACCTCTTTGCAATTTCTGGGTGAGTGGTTTCCACTTGCCAGTGAACAAGCTTGGTGATATATTGGAAAGTCTTGACAAGCTTGTCAATGCCATCTCTCTTTGCTAGAAAGATGACCAGCTTGTCTACTCTGTCATTCATTGTTGAAGTAAGGTTAAAGATTTGGTTGTTGTTGATTATGAACTTACGGGAGAGCTCATTTGATTTCTTGACATGTTTTGGATATCCATTAAAAATTAAAGGAGAGCCACAGAAATCTGGTTTTGGGGATAATTCTGTGAGGGAGTGCTTTGTGGTTTAGCTCCTTACAGCCAGTAGTTTTTTCTGTCTTATTATATATTTTCCAACATGAGTTTTCAAGGGAAGCCTTCATCATCAGCAATTGGACTGCCATGTGGACAAATTTCTTCTTCATATATGACCACTTCTTATCTATCAGTACTTTATCATTAATGATAATATGTGCATACTTACATACATACATACATATATATATATGTAGATAAGCTATTTGTATTACCCAAAGAAAGCTGTCAAATACTGCTACAATGTACAATAAACTGCCAGCAGCGATCAGACTATACCAACATTAGATTGTTTAGGCCCCAAGCAGTAAATAAATCTCTATTTACAAGATCATTAGAAATGCTTTGCAAACCTTGAAGACGCAGTCTGACAGCATATCCTTAATGTAACATAGAATCAGTGAGTTCGGAGCTGAAGCTTGCTGATAATTAAAATCTCCTGTTCCAATCCCTCCAACCTGATAGATGAAAACACTCCAAGCAATGCACAAAATGATTGAAATCAAGGCAGCACAACTCAGCATTCCAATCCAACTTCCCTTGTCAGTATTTTACAAAAGCAGGACATGTTTCCAAATGTGATTAGAATAATCACTCACAAATGAAAAACAAATGATCCCTGGTCTGATCTAACTCATGTTGGCAGAGCATCCCCTTCAATAGAAATTTCCCAAGAAATCAAACTGTCTTTAGTTGGGAGCTAATTAATTGAGAAGAGCCATCCAAACAATTAATGCATGTTTGGGAACATGAAATGGTTTCATATGCTTACTCCTTATTTCATTCCAAACATAGGCAGTAGAGTAGCTTCCATCCAAGGCTTGTGTATCCTCAAGCTTCTCTGGTCTGTTTTTCAACAATCATGGACACAGGCATATGTGCATAATGGGAGAAGTTTTGTGGCAGATATTCCTATTCTTCAAGGGTGTAGCTGCAGTTGGAGAATTTTGCTTAAGCATGTCATCAATAGGGAAAAAAATTAACATGGTTTGACCTATATATTGAGCATAACCTAATTTAAGCAAGACATTCATAAAAAAATAAAAAAATAAATAAATTATGAGAAGAAATGACTGATATATAATTACATAAGAAAAGAAGAAAATCTCCTTCACAGTTCAAAGTATGCTCAACTTTTATATGCACAAAAAACTATTTTTATAAATAATAAAATGAAGACACAATGCTTATATAATTTAGTTTCCGATTTAATGGGTTATATTACATGAAACTATAAAAAGGCTTTTATAATTTTATAAAAGTTAAAAAAATATTTTAACTTTTGCCAATTTCCCATCTCATTTATCAAGTTCTATTCCACTTTATCTATGTCCATCCCAATGTCGTTTTATGGAACAGGTGACGCCGTTTTACTCTCCCTCTTCATTTTCCCCAACTATAAAGACCAAACCGCAGATAGCAGTCCTCACAGTTGCCTTAAAAATTAAAAACAACTGCACCTCTCCTTCCTTCCTCAAGAACCCTAAACCTCTTTCCCATTGATTTATTTCAACTAATTTTCGATTTTTATTTTTTATTAAAAATTAGGATTTCAATTTACGGAAAGATCCTCAAAATTCTTTAATCTCTCTCGCTATTTCAAATCTAAGCCATGGATGCACAACGAGCTCTGCTTGACGAACTCATGGGAACAGGTATTTGGAAATACCTTATTTATTTATCGTTGAGACTAGTTTAATTTTGATTTTTTTTTTTGACGATTTTTGAAAATTTATAGCTCGTAATTTGACGGAGGAACAGAAAAAGGGATACAGGGAAATTCGTTGGGATGATAAAGAGGTTTGTGCATTCTATATGGTTCGCTTTTGTCCTCACGACCTCTTTGTCAACACTCGTAGTGATCTCGGTGCGTTTTCAAATTTTCTATTTATTTTTCGCTGTCTGTTTGGTTGCTGAGAAAATTAAGCGAAAGAAAATTTTTTAGGTTTGAGAAAATTGATTGCTGAAGTCGATTTAAGTTTATTTTATTTCTCATAGTAGCTGAGATGGTTAGGTTTTTCTAGTTTTTTTGGTTATGAACATTAATTTTCTTTAGCTACATTATTTCTCAGCACAAACTAAAACATCAAGATGCTTCTAGAGAATGTGGAAGTTTAATAACTGTTTTTTGTGCATCAGGACCATGCCCTAGAGTTCATGATCAAAAGTTGAAAGACAGGTGTGATTGAATAGGCATTCTTTTTGGAGTTTTATGCTATGGGATTTTCTTTTTGTACCATTGCATCACATTGAGCTGTTCAAATGCCTTTGCTTATATTCTGTTGGTTTTTTTAACCTTGATTAGCCATTGTGGTTAATAGTAAACTTTTAATCAAAATGATCTTTTTTCACAAGAATATTATTGATTTTGTATTTACCTTATTAAGTTAGCTGCTTCATATGTCCGTGTAGGATGGAACTTAAATATGTATTACAAGCGGTATGCTAAGGTGTTGCTGGTTTTTCTTTTTGAGGTAACTGATCTAAACATTTTGATCAGATCCTTGCAAGGGGTAGGGAGAGATAATTGAACCCTGATCAACATAGAATGTTTACTAGGGAGCTAAATTTATTGACTCTTGCCCGATGCATGTGGCATCTGGGACATTTTTGTCATGTCCTTTCTAGACCTATGACATTTCTTACAAAGAAATGCTTAAGAAATCAACTTTATTGTACAAGGGGGAACGGGAAAAAAATACTATATGATCTATGTAATTTGGAGTTGTAATAGCCATGAAAAATTCTAATTGTATAAGTTGATATAATAGTAGTTGAGTGTTTTTCATACCATTGATGCTTAGTCCTTGACACCTTGTTATTGGATTTTCTTCGTACTAGTATCCCCTCTCAAAGACATTCCCATCATGATAGGCACCATCGGAGATAATTGGGGCTTGTTTACTTGCAATAAAATTTTCTGTCTGTTTTTTTATCTTTATGAACATAAGGATATTGGCGATATCCTGGATCTAACTATGTAACTTTATGTCTCTTCCTGTTTTATTAATGGTATCGTTCCTGGATAATGTAACTGCATGGTTGATGCACATAGAAGAGTAACTTCTCCTTTTTGTCGACTCTGGTATCTTTTCCTGTTTGACCTGTCTCAAACGTTGTCCATTTTGAAACATTTGTTGGGTATATTTGACCTTCTGAGTTAATTGTCCTTACCTTATCTGATATGTTAAAAGCTGAGATGGTATTATTGTAAGAATGAAGCTAATACTAGGCAAACACATTGGTTAAAATTGCCATAAAGTTTTGATGTTTCCATAGGGGATAATCTTTGGGGAGACAAGAAACCCTATGGTAATCTGGGGTAATCTCAGTTCAGTTGAGAAGAAATTATGGTAATTCATTTTTCTGTAATTATATTTTAGATGCAATATAGCTTTTAAAACTCGTAACAACTGCCTCACACTTATAAGCTATAACTTACCATGTTTAGAGAAATAATGTTCCTCGTTGTGGTAAATTCACGGAAGGAATTTTTAAATTAGTGCTTATGGCTATGAGTTGCCAAAAGATTAGATTGAATAATATGGATGGTAATTGGTAAATCATTTTAATTAATTAGTCTGCAGTTCTTTGTAATAAATTGGTGAGATGATCCTTTCTTTCATAGGTTTTGAAGACAATAGCTTTTCTTTAATTTTAATTATGTGCTACATTTAATACTTGTAGTTTGCTAAGATTATAGGCATTCGAACAATGAGCAAAGTGGGTAAAATATAACTTTAAGGTTTTCAGATATTGTCTGTCTGTTTTGTCTTCAATAGGTTTTGTGGTTGATTTTTCTTACTTCTATTGTCATGAAGGTGTAAACACTTGTGACTCTAAAAGGCCCTGTGGTTTAGGTTATATTCTTTCTGTTGCTTTGGCATCCAATACCGCTGCATTTGTTTATCCCATTTGCTTTCTTGCTACTTATTATTTTCCCATGTAAATTGCAGACTGTATCTTGCCTCGTTTACAAAAATAGCTTACCTGAGTTATTTTGCAACCTCTGATTTGTAGATTGAGTTGTCAGAACCTTTTATGCTTTTCCTGGTCAACATATATTTTTCATGATTGTGCTGTGGGATTCATATTTTAAGCTGCTGTTTGAAATTTGTGACTTTAGTTTTGAGAAGTCCCCAAGACACGATGCTTACGTGCCCAAATTTGAAGCTGAACTGGCTCAGTTTTGTGAGAAATTGGTGGGTGCGATTGCCCTTTCTTTTTAGCCGAATATCCCTTTTAATTTCTTGTGACAACAATTGTAATTTTCATGTGTTACATAACATGCCTATTCTGCTTTAGGTGATGGACCTTGACAGAAGGGTTAGGCGTGGACAAGAACGCCTTGCTCAAGAGGTGGAAACAGCACCACTTACTCCACTATCTGCTGAAAAGTCTGAACAGCTATTTGTCTTGGAGGAAAAAATAAAAAACCTGCTGGAACAAGTTGAGACCCTTGGTGAAGCTGGAAAGGTGGATGAAGCTGAGGTGCTTATGAGAAAGGTGGTATTAAGAGTTTCCATTCTCTATTAGTAATTGATCCAAAAAATTTTGTGAGATATTGGTCATTCAATGTTGCCTCATCCTGGACAGACAGCATCTGACCACCTTGGAAATTAGGTTTCTGTTGATTGCCTCTTCAATTATTATTGTTTAATTCATTTCGTTCCTGATTTGTAAATTTGTCTCAATGGGCAGTTCAGATTTTGACGTTTGACCGTCTGTGACATTTGTTTATAGGTGGAGACGCTCAGTGCTGAGAAGACAGCTTTGACTCAACAACCTCAAAATGATAAATTATTGATGCTTGTGCAGGAGAAAAAAATGGCTTTATGTGAGGTTTGTGGATCTTTTCTAGCAGCTAATGATGCTGCTGAGAGGACACAATCCCATGTTACAGGAAAGCAACATATTGGTTATGGCATGGTTCGGGATTTCTTCTCTGAGTTCAAGGTAAGTGTTTCTGCCTAGAATGAATTGTGGGCTCTTCAGTTCATTTAACCTTTTGCTGTGAATGAAGAACCTGAATGAACTTTTCAGGAAGCTAAGGCGAAAGCAAAGGAAGAGGAAATATTAGCAAGAGAGAAAGAAGTCGAAGAACAGAGAAAGCAGAGGGAGAAGGAATATGAGAATAGGAGGAGGAGAAGTGGTTCAGGTGATAGGGACAAATATCGTGATCGAGACAAGGGTAGGGACAGATATTGGGAACGTGATTTGGATCGTGAAAGGTCTCGAGAGTGGAATGGGAGAGGTAGTAGGGATGGAGAGAGGGATTGGAGGTACAAGAATGGCGGAGATGGGGGCAGGGATAGGCACCAGAACCGCAGAAGATCCCGTTCCCCTGGTAGACATAGTCACAGGAGATCCTCAAGAAGTCCAGTTCACCGATATTAGTGCATTCTATACATAAATGTTTTGGCTTTGAAAGCAAATGAGGTAGACCTCTAATTTATTTATTTATTTTTTTCAAGTTTATAAACGTGTGCTTTTGGAGTAATGCTAAATTTTGTCATCATGGGTGAAACTTTTTTCTTGGTATCTCACAGCTTTGTAGCAACTCCCTTTCATCAAAATTACTAGAAAAGAAAAGGGTTGAGGTAGGTATAACAATATTATTGTAACTTCTTTTATCTTGTTTTGACTAAATTTATATTATGCATCTGTGGACGTTGTTTTGAATCTCTATAGTCAAAGCTGCTGAGAAAGACGATGTCTTTCCAAATTTGAGGTAACAGATTAAATTGCATTTATATATATGTATCTATTTTTATTATTTCCTTTTTTTCTGGATGCATATTTGGCTTTATATTATTATTATTATTATTGTTGTTATTATTATTATTATTTGCAAAGGCTTGCTGTAAATAGTACAGGGAAAAAAAGGAGACAAATTGAGAAAGTACCTTTAACCACATGTGCTTTGGAGTTTGTTTTAACTTCTTCCTAAGCTGACACGTTTATTGTGCTCATGTTAATCAATGCAATAGGTTTAGATATTCTTTCCTTTTTGTTTTGTAAATGGCTAGATTCCTTTACGTGGTTTCTTGCTTTTTGTTCTTTGCGATGGATTTTTACTGATCACAAATTTACAATTTGTAGTTTGAAGCTCCCCTCCCCCTTACCGTCACTCCTTTCTTGCTTCCTGATTTTGAAGTTCGGTAATTACATACATTTTGCTCTAAGAGCTTATGGTTTGATCCAGAAACACGGCATTTAATTTTTCTTTAATTGTTATTCAAAGCTTACAAGCGACATAAATTTTCCAAATGCTAAACCAATGCCATTTGTTAAAATTTCATTTCAACATGATTTAGTCCAAGATGAACTTTTTTCTCCATCTTTACTTAATAGTAGGAAAGCGAAGCAACGCAATTTGTTAAATCCTTTTTTTATGTTACGGGTTTAGGTAAGACTAACTCAAATAATACTGGCTTGAATGTAAATTTTTTGATAGAGCTAAACTGGATGAATGCTTTGGTTCTAAAACTTTAGAATCACCAGAGCTGATGATTTCGATTTTATTGCGTTTACGTTGGGCTTGTAAAAACATTCAACAAGAAGGGTTCCATTGCACATTTGTCAAGGTTAGGGAATTGAGACTAGTATCAGTAAACAGGTGAAACTTAGAACGGTGAGGCCCAACAACTCACTTATGGTATCAATTACAAAATAAGAAAATCATTAATCTGAGGCAAAATTTTTACTGATCCAAATTCAAACGCCGTGTTTTACAAACAAGGTTTGCAGTTGGGAGATCAAGTTGGTTCGCAGAATCCGATTTCAATAGGTCTTCTAACTGATCTCTAGGGCTCCCAAGGCAGGTTTGAAAGGTTGCCAGAACTCGATGGGTTGGCATGGAAAAAGCAGAAAGCACATTACTCAAGTACTCGATATCAACCGACAGCTGTTGTGCTTTACGATCTGTTATGTTCTGGATGCCACGGAGCTGCTCCATGTACAGGCCAGTAGCACCTTCAGCAACCTTTCCAACGCATAATCTTATGTTAGTTATACTCTACGCAAAAAACAAAAACTCAGTCTAAAATATATTTAAACATCTTTCATCTATAAATTGATCAACTTTGCATACTCAGCCCTACCACTCAATTCCCAACAATAATTCACGGAAGACAACAAAAAATATATACTACAGCTCAAACTGGTATGTTCATGAATTTACTGATAATTATTTAGAACTTCCAAACGGGATATATATATATATATATATAGGGTTAACCCATGCCATAATTTTTTGATAATTTTGCAAATTCCAACATTGCACATGCTCAATTGGCAGGGATTCAAATAGCCTTCAATCTCAAAACGCCCCTTTCTCTCTTCCCCTCCCTCACCCCCTTTCTAAAAATAAATTTCTAGCTAGGCATTCAAACACTATCATGGTTAGCTCTCACATTAATAATTTACAGTTAAGGTGACGCTACCTTGAACATCCATTCCGTTGCATAGAACTGAGATTCATCATTGTTGGAGTCATCGCTAGAAATACCCTCAGCAAGTGGCTCCAATTGTTGGGGCAAAGTAAGAAGATATTCACCAACCCTGGTCACATATGATTGAGGGTATGCGCTGAAGGTTGGGAGAGAGGGAAAGCACTTTGGTCCTCTACTGCAGACCAGATTGGCAAACAAGACACATTGTTGAGACGTTGTCGTACTTTAGATATGAGGACGTCATAAACAAGCTCATTCACTGTTTCAGCAAATGCTGCTACCCTTTGGGATGCAAGCGGAAGTGCATGAAATCGGGTGTCTTTTGACTGCACAACAACACATTATCATTATCATCATTTAAAGTTAGTCGACTTGCGGTGGTAAATAAACTAGTCTTCTAAATGGGGGAGAACTAGTACCACAACAAATGAGAAGGTATTAAAAGTTTTAGTCTTTTGCAATTTAAACAACAGTGGATTTCATATACCTGATCTAAAAGGTTAAACACTTTCCGGGCCTTCTCAGGAACATCAACAAGCCGCACAGTCGCCACATCCAAGGAAGCCCTTCCACCCAATGGTGGTTCTGCATTTCCATCATTATTCGTGACATGTAACTGGTTTTGATCTAAACTTGAACCAAATACTGAAACTGACAAACTTGTGGTCAATCTAGCCAAGGTAGCTCTCAAGGATGCCTCAAAGACCTACAGCAAATCCTATTTATAGCATTAGAACATAGCGAAATATAAGCGTTAAATTACTGAAATCAGTTGACTTTTTAGGTTATTTCTGTATTTAAGAGGAATTGAATCTCAATTGAGCTTTTATGATTTTGGCTTTCAATCAACGAGGAACATTTCAAGTTTCGGCATTTTCTCGAGATCGAAAGCAACATTGAATTGAGATAAGATCTGAAAGGAAAAGATTAGACCTTCTTGAGCTTGTCGAGGATGCCAGCGACAGAATTGCGGAGAGAAACAGCGTCGTCTCGAAGTCGGAGGACGTCACGGGTGGCGCGAGGAACACGGAGGAAAGCAGCAGCGCTTTGCTCCTCAAGCGAAGCGGCGATCTCTTCGGAGACCATTTGGAGCTTCATTTCGAGATCCACCATGTGGTTGTCGAGGGAGTCCTGAGTGTGCCAAGTCTTGCACGCCGAGTTTATCCATTTCCTCGGATCGAATTTCTCGTCCGAAAATGGGCCTACCTCCAGCATCATGGTTTCTTTTCTGCTGATTTCTAAGGCTTACGAGTCATGAGGGGACCATTTTTTTTGTTCCGATGGAGTATTCGTTGCGGTTGCTCAGCGGTGACAAACTGACGATTTCATAGTCGCCTTCCGGTATTGGCAAATAGCTGGTGCGCGTGAAGAGGCAATACAACCCACAGCGACGTCGTTTCAATGGTTCTTTAAAAATTAAAATGAAAAATAAACAAATTTGATTAAAATTTTACATTTGAGGAACGCTGTCTCTTGTAAATAACCAAACTCAATTAAACTTTCACCATATATTTTGTTTTAATTTTAATTATGTACTGGATTATTGATTGGTTTGTTTATTTAATTAATTAAATATTTTGTTATATGAATATAATATTCAATTATAATTATAATTTTTTTTATATCTGTAATTTTATAAAAATAAATAAAATATTTGTAAAAAAAAGTGAAGATATTCAAATTAAATTGACTTCATTATCATTGAATATATGATTATTGCTTATAATATAAGATTTGATTGCCACAAGGATTATACTCCTATCCTATCGTATGGTAATATTAACATTAAGCAAAATTGTTAAAGAAATCGATCCTTTTCCTCTATTTTTTCTTCACCATTTCAATTCATATCATCTGAACTACGCTTTTCTTGTTAGTGTGAATTTCGATAGAGTTTACTCAATTTCAGTTTCTCTTCTAAAAATCAAAGTGGAAACACTCTTCAAATTCACCAAGAAAATTTAAAGCCTAATTTCAAACCGGATATTGGTCGATGGGGTTGATTACCTTTGAAAATATTCAGTTCTGATGGTGTGCTGCAGAATTTCGTTCTTGTTCAATTCCATAGCTAAGCCAGACAAGTGTTTTTAAAACATCAAAGTCAGTTCCAATCCTTCGCAAAAACTTATTGGCAACTGTGGATTAATCTTTTGATCAAAGATAAGACCATTTGGTTCCTTTCTGCATACTTTCTCCGGTTCCGCTGCTATTGCGGGTTTTACACAATCGATCGGAACATATAAATATTCTTTCAATACAATATAGGTTGTGGGAATGATTTTTAAGACTCACCAAAGCAAGAAAATCAAGATTTTTCCAAAAATTAATTCTTATTCGAAAAGTGTATAACTGCATGGACAAGCTTACACTAACCCGTTTATTTGGGATCTAATTCGAGATTTTCATTGGGGGTATCAATAAGGAATTGAAATGTAGATCCTAGTTGTGTGAGTAAAACTCCATTAAAAAAAATCCAGTTTGTTTAGATATGATCAGGTATTTTTCTAATTAGTTTAGATCTTGATCAGAAAGATAGAATTAGGCTAAGCACTATACATGCATACATACATATATATATGATCAATTGTGAGGTATATATCATTGGATACTATGATTCTTAAGGGATCAAGTTAAATACTCATGATCAAATCTCTTAGGAAAATTATTCAGTTCTACTCTCAGCTATTAGGGGAGCTTGATGGTAATGTGGGTTGTTGTACTGTTGAAGAGCTGAGAGATTTGTTCCAAACATCTTTTTCAGATGAAACTAGGACGTTGATGACTGCATATTAGTATAATATCAATGAACTATAATTGAACCAAACATTTCAAGAGACTCCAACTCTGACTGAAATATCCAGAGGCATGTTCAAATTAATCAATTAATGCAAAAATCCAAAGCGCCCCACCCTTTTGTGACGAGACAGAAGAAGTCCAGAAGACGAAATTTCTCCGTGCTTTCTTCAAAGTTCCATTCCAGGAGGAAAAAAAAAATGAAAAAGCTTCCCCATATACTGAAAAGTCCAAAGAAAACAGTCCCCAGGAAGCCAAGAATGATAATTGCTCTTTGATTATTGCATCATCCAATAATGATTCCGTGTTCAGCTGTCAATATATTTCTTTGGTGCTTCAAAATCTCTAGTCTCGGCTCAATCTAATTGTTTTCCTAACAAGTGTTCTGGAAGAAAATAATTGATGCGTTTACATATATATAGAACAATCGAATAGCTAGGATTGGACTTCCAGCAGATTTCCTTGCTATATGTTCCTTATCCACTTTCCAAGGTTCCCCCCTCCTTCAATCTATGCATCATGTATGCAAGTGTCGCTGTAAATCGAATACATATCTATTTATCAACATTATCCTAATTTCTAATTTACTAACAAAAAGTTCATTTCATAATAATTGTTTAGGTTCCATAAGATTTAAATAATCAAGGCTTGTATGAGTGTCTTGGGCTGAGAGCAATCGAGCAATGACACGTGCAAAATGTTTTCCTATTCGACACATTTTGATGATACGATGCTGAGCATTATAATTTATACAAGATTACGGGAGGAAACGCAGACGGCAAGCTCAGTTTGAACGGCTTGCTTTAATATCTTCTGATCTTTAAGCCGGATATAGCTCTCTGTTCTGGACAAAATTTACATAAAATTATTTAAATAAAATTTATGAATTTTTTTATAAAAATAATTTAATAAAAAATCTAAATCAATAAATTGATAAAGTTTAATGTGAATATCAATAATATATAAAAAAATTATTAAAAATATTATTTATAATTCAAATTTGATAAATATTTATTTAATGATAAAATTTTGTTAATATTTTTTTATTAAAAATATATATTTAAATATTTTTAAATTTTACACATTTAATTTATATAAAAAATTTTTAATTTATCGATTTTAATTTTTATTTAATCATTTTAAATAAAAAATTTCACAAATTTCTTTTAAAAAATTTTATACAAATCTTTTCTCTCACAGGCAAATTAATAAACCAAACTTTATTAATTACGTCAGTTAGTGTAAAACTGAAAATTCAAGAGATAAGTGGTAGAATGGGACTGCCCTCCAATTGTGACCCACATGTAATAACATAATCATAAAACTAACCATTCAATATTTGCTAAATCCAAAGTGACATTACATAAAGCCAGGCAAAAGCCCCCCCCCCACGCTGTATGATTCAAAATCGGAAAAATGCCAGACAACGAAAATTCTATGCGCTTTCGTTTCACCCAACAATTGTTTTTCAATCAGATTCAGGACAGTCTCAACCCTGACACGGACAGCCAGCCCATAGAACGCCATGCATCTCCAACTCCAGGTGTCCTAAGCTTCTGCCTTAAATTGCTCTGATCCAATTGTCATGCCACGTCATTTGTCCCTATTGCCACGTGGCAATTGCGGGTCCCTTGCTGCGGTTTCTCAATTCTTGGATATGCGAATATTCTTTTCCAACTACTAATAAACTCACAGCCGGCAAGTGGATTGACCGAAATATCCCCCCTATTTTGGTAAAATTACGCCTGCGCCACAAAGAACTTGGTTGTCTTTTTTGAACAGTTTGACCGAAATGACCTTTTCGATCATGTGTCCTGCTTAATTAGCCTGAAATTTAAGTTGGGACGTCGATCTTTTGAGATGGTGGATCCAATGGTATAAATTTATAGATAACATTATTTCGAGATAATTACCAGTGTGGGGATCAATACCTCATTTTTTAAATTTTATATTCAAATTGAATTCATCCTTTTATAATTAATTGATTTTAAATTAAATATTTAATATGATATTAATATCAAAAAATTTATTATTTGAAAATTTTTTTTATCTTCATGCACATGTGATAGGATTATATTAATATAATATTATTCTAAATATAATAAATATATAATTTTTTATAATCTTATATTTAATTAAATTCCTCTATTTACAACCAACTAAATTAACGTGGTTAAGAGTTGGTCATGCTGTCAATTATTTTTTCTCAATATGGGAGACTTGCACTTGAAGGCTTCATCACATTTGTTTTTATATTATTATTGTTGTCCTCAAGTTTCTTTTATAAGGGGACTGATTAATAAAAAAATTGGCATATATTTTTCTGGAAAAAGTAAAAATAAACAGAAGTGGTGCATATAAATCAACAAAATTCAACTAATAATAATTTATGTATTTTTTACATTTTATAAATAAATATAAATATAAATATAATTTATTTTATTTATTTAATTAATAAATTTTGAAATATTATTTATAATTATTTGTTAAAGCTTCCCAAATAATGAAGCTTCCGCAGCACGTGCTCTTGAGGGGTAATCAAGTCAACTCACTAAAATCGAGCACAAGCCATGCACAATTAAGAAAATAGGGGCAGGATTGGCAATTCGTATCTTTAGATTATTATTTACGCACAGTGGAAAGATCCTCCCGCTGGAAGCTTAAAGCCGTCGAGCGTTTTCGTTCGTTCAGCTGAAAAACCAGAGAGAACAGAGAGAGAAGAGTTTTACAGGGAAAAGAAAATAATTTTGAGGAAAGAAACGCAGAAACCAAAGCAAAGCAATTAGTGAGCTCAGCTAAACGAGAGGTAATGATCTTTTTGTTGCTGTTTTTCTGCTAATGTCTCTGTCTCGTCAAAGTTTTAATTCTTGTAAATTGTTTTTTTGATTTTTTTTTTTACTATTTTTTTGAGTTTTCTGTTTTGACTCTTTGGCGGGTAATATTGATTTTATTAAGGAATGGTCTGATAAAGTCTTCAGTCTGTCTCTGTTTTCTGGCGCTTCTCTGTTTTTTTCATGTGGAATATGTATTCAGACCTGCTCTTTAAAAAACAGTATTTAACGTTCGATCGTGTTTTGTTTGCGTTTTAAGTGCCGTTTCTGAAATATTTTGCAGTCCTTTTTTAGATTCCATTGAATCGCCTTCTATGTAGCAATTAGCATCGTTAACTATGGTTCTATTAGGAATTTGGGTACAATCTATCAAGGATTCAGTTAATTTCTATGTTAAATTTGAGACTGTTACATGTTTGAAAGAAATAAATTTTGGGTCTTTTCTTTAGTGAGAACATGGTGTTTATATATATTTTTAAGGAGATTCTAAAGGACTGGTTTCCTTTTGTCACCTTTGAAATTGTATCGACTACTTTAATGCAATATACTGTGCTATTTTTGACTGATGTTAAATCAAGTACTCTCTCTTTGTTTAATTTAGTATGAATGAACTTTAACTTGATTCTTTGATTATAGTATCTTTCATAATCTAGAATTGTATTTGTTATTTGCTGTTTTGCTTCATTAGATTCTTTTGTTGATTGAATAAGAATTAGTTTGGAATTGCATATGAATTACAGTCTCACGTTGCTTATTGATTTTTTAATTGTCCAGCTTGCTGTCTTTGGTCTATAAGGGGAAGTTGGAGCTCTTCTTCCTCTTTATTTTTTTCTGAGAGAATCAAAATACATGGGCTCTCTATGTGATTTGCCAGCTGAGCCAAGTTATAGCAAGCCTCGTGGAATTCGATTCTTAGAATACACTAAGAAAGCGAAGCTTTCCTATAAAACTCATCAAGCTATTGTCTTGATTGTAACATTTTTGGCTTACACTAGCTACCATGCGACAAGGAAAACCACCAGCATTGTCAAGAGTGCCCTTGATCCCCAATCTTCTGATGTAGGCTTGAAGTTTCCGTGGAGGATAACATACCTTAGCGCACCTGCTGAAAGCAATAGGCTTTCGTGGGTTATAGGAGATGGTTGGGCCCCATTTAATGGATCTGATGGGACGGCCTTGCTTGGTGAACTCGATGTGGCCTTTCTCGCAGTATATGCTTTTGGAATGTACTTCTCTGGGCACTTGGGTGATAGAATGAATTTAAGGATCTTTCTGATGGTCGGAATGGTTGGGACTGGCTTGTTTACTTCACTATTCGGTGCTGGGTACTGGGCTAAAATGCATAGTTTTTACTACTTCCTGATAGTACAAATGATTGCTGGTTTATTTCAATCAACAGGATGGCCTTCGGTTGTTGCAGTAGTTGGTAACTGGTTTGGGAAGAAAAAGAGAGGGCTTATTATGGGTATCTGGAATGCTCACACATCCGTTGGGAACATTACTGGTTCTTTGATTGCTTCAGCACTGTTGAGCTATGGATGGGGTTGGTCCTTTGTTGTACCAGGTCTGCTTATTGCTTTCATTGGCATAGTGGTTTTCCTTTTTCTGCCTGTTAGTCCTGAATCAGTTGGAGCTGATAGAGAAGAAGACGAAGTGGATTTTCCTGGGAAGATCGGAAAGGGAATAACAGAGCCTTTATTGGCCTCAGATACTGAGCTTAAGGAAAAAGCTGTGGGGTTCATAGAAGCATGGAAAATCCCTGGGGTTGCTCCTTTTGCTTTTTGCCTCTTCTTTGCCAAATTGGTCGCTTACACATTTCTCTATTGGCTTCCCTACTACATTAGCCGTACAGGTATTCTAATTTATTTTCTTTTTCCATACACATTTCTGCGCCAATGTATAATCGTAAGGGACTGACTTTGGGAGCTTGACCGTAGAAAGAACAGGAGACGAAGATACATATGACCTTTTTTTAACCAACAAGGAATACCGGTTGTGTTATCATAATAACTTTTGAATCGCATGCATCATTTGAGATATGATTGTCATAGATCATGTATTTTGTCCTGAACTATCTCCATTGGATTTCTGCTCGTCCTTTGATGTAAATTCAATTACTACATATGGGGTCTTTAGACATGCTTAATTACTTGATTCTGACATGTTCTTGGCTGACTATAGATGATTCATTACTAATTCTCTCTTCTATTCGTTAATCTTGCAGCCATTGAGGGAAAATATTTATCCAATGAGACAGCCGGAAAACTTTCAACAATTTTTGATGTTGGAGGGGTGCTCGGAGGAATCTTAGCTGGATACATTTCTGATCGCTTAGATGCCAGAGCCATAACAGCAGCAACTTTTATGTATTGCACTATTCCTGCTCTCTATTTCTATCGTAGTTACGGGCATATTTCCTTGGCAATGAACATAGTTCTTATGCTCATCTGTGGCATGTTTGTAAATGGCCCCTATGCTCTTATAACAACTGCTGTCTCGGCCGACCTAGGAACACACAGTTCATTAAAGGGAAACTCAAAGGCATTGGCAACTGTGACAGCAATCATAGATGGAACAGGTTCTGTTGGTGCTGCAATTGGACCATTATTAACTGGTTACATTTCTGCCAAGAGCTGGAGCGCGGTTTTTACCTTGCTCATGGCAGCAGCTCTCGTTGCAGGGCTGCTGTTGACAAGGCTTGTAGTGGCCGAGGTGGCTGCAAGGATTTCTAAATCAAGGTCACAAGAAGGATGCCAACCAAGATCTCAAGCTGCGGAACTGGATGTATGATTTGTTTATAGGGGCAACAAAAGCTCCATTTTTATAGCGTGTGCGATTTTCCATTTTTCTTAGTTCTAATTATAAAATGAAGAGGGAAAGTCCTTCTATTATGACTTGGGCAAGGAGAAGATTTTTGTAACCGTCTCTATGATGTTAGTTTGATTATCATGGAGTTTTTATTAACTGTTTTTCCTTTAAGTTGGAGAAGCAGAAATGAGGAGAAAGGGCAGGGTGAGAGGATTTCCCAGGTCTATCTGTATGTAAATTTTGTATGCTATATTATTTTCAGCGGGCATCATTCAGTAATATTGCTTATTCAGAATTTCACAGCTTTATTTTTTATTCGGAAGAGAAAAGTCCAGACAAATAAGAATACGATTACTTATAGGCAGAATCTGCTCTAAAATGAAACATAAAAGCTAAATGGTGTTGCGCTTACTGTTAAAACAAAAGGGTTGTCTATGTTTCTCTGTAACAGGATTCCGGGAAAGGAAATCTGAAATATCCATGAAAACAAGTTTGGAAGTGGAGTCTCGTTTAGGATTGTTCAGGTTGCAGGTATTCAGCGTAAGACAACTTTCGGCTGAAAAAAGGTGATGTCCAGATTCGAAAACTGGTCCAGAGCGGTGCCCATATAGATGTCTGAAAGCTGAAAAGGTACAAAATGTGCATATGTACGGAGATGGAGTCGGAGAAAATTGGTCCACACGAAGGAAATAGCTCCACTGTCCATGCATTTCTCGACCAAACGCTGGACCACCCCTCTTGAATTTGACAAATCTAAGCATCTAAAATGGTTGCTATCAGATTTGCAAAAAAAAATAAAAATGATGGCCCTCTTTCGTTTGCAAAGCAGGCTGGTCTAGGTGTAATTTATGGGAAAATGAAGCTATTTGCCACAAATAACATACGGTACAAGGCTATACTGAGACAAATGAAGAGATCTTATTCGATGCCCCGACCATAGAAATGAATAAAAGAGAACACTTCAAAGTTCAAATGAAATTGTTCTCCCTTCCTTTCATTTGCTGAGCATGAATTTACAAATTCCTATTATTTATTAATAGGAATTTGTTGGTGTTAATTAGCCCCAGAGGTATACTTGTTCATCATTTATTAATATTGTGTTTGGAAAAAGAAAAAAAAATAGAACGAAAGAAAGAAAAATAGTAGAAAGAAAATAAGAAAAGAGAAGGAAAATAAATGAACTTGCACATTCCCGTTTTCCAAATCTGTTCCTTTCAAATATATAAGTACAATATTCATTCAACTTAAATTGATAATTTTATTTACAATTTTACTTCATCTCTTTTTTTTTTTTTTTTTTTCATCATTCATACCAAATCTAGTGAAAGAAAAAAAGTTATGAATTGAAAGCCAGTTGGCAGCACTTGATTTCCAGCAAATAGTTTTTTTTTTTTCTTTGGGCAATATTTTCAGCAAATAGTTTGGGCAGCCGGATGAAGAGAGTAGACTAGTATAAATTTGATCAATCATTTCATTAAAACCTTTTAATTTCTGCGTTCTTCATTAAAAACAGATTAAGAAGAGTATGACCAAAATCTGACTTGAGATATACAAGAAAGATTCAAGTAGCAATCAAATTGCCCAGTCTATCTGCAAATTGTGACTATAGCTGGAAGAAGGCTTGGAAGCTATACTTAACCTAGGGACAATGCCGGCACTGGATAATATAAATTCTTCTTCCCTAAAACATATGACCACTACAACTTGGAGCTATACATGACCTTCATGGCACAGAACTTAAGACTAGGACAGTCTGGAGTGAGCAACGCACCAAAAAGGCCTCAAAATGCATTCCAAACCAATTCCACACCATAATTCACTTGAATCAGGATAAGCAATTTGCTAAATCTAAAAATTTCCAAAACAAAAATTCTAAGCCATATTAAGGCACAGGATTAACCACCAAGCTGCAGGTGTAGGAAACACACACCATTAACATCAAACAAAGTTAAGAAGGTAAGTATCTTCCTTTCATTAAAGCAAGGCCTAAAAGGGAAACCCATCTCAGAATCACAAGGGGCTAATGTTAAGTCAAAAGGGTTAACGTAGCTTACAGCTGATTTTAAATGTCATACACTCCGAATTCATAATCATTGAAAAACTCACCAGAGTATTATCACTGACTATGGACTAAAATCTAACTGATATAACAGTGTACTAAGACTTGCATAAATTCCATATGCAAACTCAAGATACATCCATCATTCAACAAAATAGTTAACTGTGCAAAGCGTGCCATTATTTTGAAGCCAAGTTAATGGTATATTTTCATTTCTCAAGATGTGAAAAGAACAAAAGCCCTTGTGAATAACCAAATAAGGGCGGCCTCGAGGCTTTTTTGAGGACTGTTGCATTCATTCCCACAACAATGAACAACCCAAATTCACACTGAACATAAGATTCCAACTGCAAAAAATAACTGTAACATTTTAAACAAAACCAACAATTTTTAATGCTAGACATCTCCAATTGAGTGAAAGAGCAGTAACTTATAAATATGCACCAAATTTGTCACTAATTTATCTTTGTTTATCTTATACAAAATCCTAATATCGTATTTGATCCAACAAAACTACCTCTTTTTTCTTTCCCACAATTAAGAAGAGTAACAAAATTGAACCTGTTGATTCTATTGGTTCCTCAAAAGGCGGAGTATAGCAGCTAATCGTCATCCCTGTTCTTGGGCTTTCGGTACTTCTCTTCGACATGCTTGGCCATGAAGAAGGCGGTGTCAGTCAGCTTCTTGATGTTGGGAACGTTGTAGTTTTGGGCAATGTAAATCCCACAAACTGTGCCTACGATGAACGAAAAACTGCTTTTTATTATGCCCATGATTTACTTTAATTGCACTGAAAGTTGGGATGGAGAGAGATTGTATGTTACCGATTTAGGGCCTGAGATCGGGGTTTTTTGGGGTTGAATTTTGGGATCGGCTTTTTTAGGGATTTAGGGTTTTGTGAAGAATTGAAATGAGGCTGTCGAATAAATATTGTCGGAAAATAAGTGGGCACACAGAGGGCATAATAGTCCTTTTCAAACTGCCAAAGAAAATATATGATTTTTTTTTCTTTTCTAATAAAATTTTCTTATTCCAGCAAAACACTGTGAAGAAAAAAGAAGTTCATTAATTAATTAATTTGACCAAATTACTACTCATTAATTAATTTCTTAATTCCAACGAAATTTCCTGCCATCACAGTGTTATTACCTATTATAAGATTGTTAAGCATATTTTATGTGAATGAAATAAATAATATAATAAAATAACATATATAAAACATAATATAAATAGTACTATTTTATTATTATTATTATTATTATTATTTGTTTTAGGATCCTGCGGTGCCTGTCTCTTTTTCATCCAAATTTTATATCATCTCAAAAAATTGCAATTGCCGGTGAATATTTGCGGAGACCTCCAACGACTCGTCACAGCTTTTTCTTCCTCTTCTTAGATCCAATCAGGTTTTCGCTTCTTTCCATTATTTATCTTATATCAATAATTTTTTACTTTTAGCATGAGGATTCCATGAATTTTTATCTCCAATTCGCTAATTGTTATTACTCTACGTATCCTTTCAATTTCCCAATTTATTTATTCTTTGATTCTTTCGCTTTTGAATTTTTTTCCAAGGGTTTCACTTCTATTCTTATTTGTGCCAATCTGGAAAAGTTTATTTATGGTTGTTGAGTTGTTCAAAATTCTGCTTTAATTCTAATATAAAATTGTCCTTCAATATAATTTTGCATTTTTTGGCCAATCCATATAATTATGCTTTATTAATTGTGAATTTCGTTGGATTTTTACGATTTAAACGGTGGCTCTTTGTTTCGTATTCCGTATCTGTCTGTCTTATTTCAAAGGAACCAATTAATGAGATAAGAAAAGCACATGATCTTTTAGAATCTTTTAAAACATCAATAAATTAGAAAAACTGCTACTATTTGCTCTTTTTTTCTGATGATGTTTATTATTTCTGGGTATGTTTTTCAGGTTCTTATGGTTTCAAAGTAACCTCAGTAGTTGAATTCATTAACATTGAATGTGCCGATTTTCAAGTCCGTTGGCTCCTTGATTATTATGTGAAAATTTGTCATAAGTGCCCGTGATTAGTGATGTTCACTTGGTTCTAATGAAAATCTGGAAGTTTGTTTTTGGCGGAAAAGTTGTGTTTGTCACCAATGGGTGTGAGCTACTTGGTGATCTCAGCATTCTCTACAGCTTTAAGCTTCGTAGGTCTTCAATTTTGGACAGAATTTTCACTCGATAGACTTCAAACTGATGGGTTAATTAGTGAGAATTTTATTCATACGGAAAATGTCAACCGTGCACTTGAGCTTATTTTGGGTTCTTATGCCACTGTGGCTCTGCTGGCAAATTTTCTGCTCAATGTATTTATTCTACTCATCCTTTCTCTAAAGGTTAGTTTAGTCTTTGTCCATGAGCTTTAAGGTATTAGTGATTTGAGATTTTGATTTAATGGTGAGAGATGAACTCCATATAATTGTTATTTGTGTTAAAAAATGGATTTAGCTATGGTTTGCTATCTAACTTTCTGCAGACATGATTCTGATTTGAAGCAGTGGTATGCTGCATTGAGCAATGTACATGACAAGTTAATTTTACAAGATAAATAAGCTTATGAAAATTGGTTAGTACTTTGGAAGAATCATTTGAAAGACTAAACAGTTTGAAACCAGATTGAGACTGTGATTCCCAGTCCTGACTTTAAACAAAAGCTGTGGAAATGTTAGGCAAATATGTGTCTTTCTAAGAATGTTCGAAGATCTCGTGAATGGATGTGCAACAGCACCACATCTGAAATTATGAAGATGAACTTTTAGCTTATGTTCTTGCTAAATAGTGGGTTTAGGGTTATTCATCTCCAAGGTGTTGTTTCTCTGCTTAGACCAAATAGGTTTGGATAGTTATTAATAACTATTTATTGTTAAAAGTGAATTTATTCTATTTTTATTTTTATTGAACCTTGTCTCATTATTTTTATGGTTTCTTCTTCTATGTGCAGACTGCGTTCTTTGGTGAGTTATATCCTTCAGAAACTCGGAAATTAGTAGAACGTCTTATCAACTATGTTATATACAAGGTAAATGTTTTAACTGATTTAAACAATATCAAACTGTAATGGACAGTATCCTGGATTTATGATAATTTAGTGTGTATCATTGTTGAGGCATATAAACGCTCTACTTTCTTCTTTATTTTCGATGATAACTGTAACGGACAGTGTCCTGGATTTGTGATATTTTAGCGTGTATCATCGTTGAGGCATATAATAACTCTACTTTCTTCTTTATTCTTAAGTGACTATGGTTGTGGAGAGTAAAATTTGATGATGCAGCTTGAATGCTGACAAAGAGATGACAGTGTTTAAGGCAGAGTTAAATTAGGAAGTTCTTGGTGCTCTTGGTAAAAGGTCTAATTGAGGATTTTATTGTGTGGATAGTTACATTTTACTGGACGTGCAAAAGCTTTCTTAAGTTATTTTAGGGTCTTGACGCTGCTGCTAAAACTTCTAATGAGAAATAGATGCTTTTTGAGTTGATGAGTAGTGGTGTCTTGTATCGGAATTTCATCAGATTTGAGCTTCTTGATGGCTGGAAACCACCAGGTGAGAATTATTTTTCGGATGGGTCAACATTTTAATTCATGAGACTCTCTTCAGGACAAGATCCTCTGGTCAATTGGATTTGACTGGGTTGGTTTTCTGAAGAAGTCTATTATGCTGCTGAAGTTATGGCCTGTACAATGCATGATGACCAGCTTTGATCTCCATTTCTTTCCTCATTAAATAAGGAGAGTATCTTTCCCCTTGGTTGTGGCTCATCTTGAGGGCTACTTTATTGTCAAATTTTAATGGGCTGATGGTTTTGCCATATGATGGATGCACCAAACGATGGTTGGATTAGAGAGTTGATTAGTTGTGTGAAGATGTAATAGAACCCTTTATTTTTGTTTTAAAGCTAAGGATTAGATGGAAGATACATATGGATAAATAAGGATATGCATGGTTCTCAGAGAATGGCAACCCAGTCAGTAGAAAAAAAGAGAAAGGAATGAGAGGAGAGCCCCTAGAGGAGGAAGAAGATCAATATACCCTTCTATGGTCAATTATCAGTCTGTTTGCTTCTAGAAACCTCCTGGTTCCTTCTGGATATTCCAGGAAGTCAGAATACTATCCGCAATTTTTCTTTTAAGGACTAGTTCTGTATCTGTAGTGTATAACAATAGATACTGCTGTACTGGCAGAACTGAACTTATGATGAAACTAAGTCAGGATTGAAGTTGCTATATATTTGGGATTATTTTGATCTTAAGTTATCTTGACATATTTCCAAGGTTTTTTTTTTTTTTTGATGAGATTTATGTTTCAATTTTTTCTTTTTCACTAATGCTGGAAGGTGTATTGATGAATTTTGTACAGGGGATCTTTCTACCATTAGTTATTCCACCAACGGTATTCCAAGCAGGTCTTTGGTCAGTCTGGTTGATTGTCATATGTTGTCTAAAGGTATATGGTTTGTGATGGAGATCTTGTTTTTAGCTCACAATGGAAGAGATTGAATTGCTTGCAATGCATCCTAACGTTTTGTTGAGCACATGCTACAGATGTTTCAAGCTTTGGCCAGGGATCGACTTGAGCGTTTGAATGCGTCTCCTTCTGCTACAACATGGGCATACTTTCGTGTCTTTTTAGTGTTTCTCTTTATCATCTCTTTCAATTTCTTCTGGTATTGCTCTGTCTTATGCTTATGTGAATTCAGAAATATATTCATAAATGCCAGTTCTTTTTTTTTTTTTTTTTAATTCTACTACAGAATTGCTAGTAAGAAAATAGCATTATCATTTTTTTAGAATGCATAGCAGTCATTAGAACGCTGACGTAAGTTATTTTTGAATAGAAATATGAATTCTGATTTTGACTTCTCAACCATCTAGCAAAGTTTGCAAACGAGCTAATATGGCCTAAAAGTTCTGCCTCTAGTTTGCTGGCCTGGGTTTAGTGCCACTCTGAACACCAAAAGAAGAATAGAAGGATGGGGGATGGAAAATATGATGGAGTCTGTACAATATTGTGAAGTCATCTTACACAAGTAACCTTGTTTATTGGATAGGTCATCACTCTAAAGGGCTTCAACCCTAGTGAAGAATAGCTTCAGAATTGAACTGCTTTGTTTCTATCTGTCTAAACTAAATACTGCCAATTGAGTGCAATTCTGTGATGTAAATTTTGGTAAATCTAAATTTGAGGCAAACAATATACTTCAAAAACTTTTTTCTGAGTTGCCTACCTGGCCTCTAGTAATGAATATATGACCTATTGATTTTGTTCCTTTCTGGATATCCTTGCAAATGTAATGACTGAGGGTAGCCGAGTTCCTGCTTTTTATAATCCCACTTTAGCATTTCCTCATTAGAAGTAGGCAGTTCGGCTTTGCACAAATTCATAAAAATCTGAAATATCCATGTTTTTTTGTGGGTGCATTCAGGATATGGCTGAGCTTTGTGTTGCACAAAACACTGAATTCATCTATGTTTCTGCTGTTGTTTTTTGAGCCTCTCAGTATTGCTTTTGAGACCATGCAGGTATCTTTGTTGAATACTTTTTTTGCAGTTTTTATGATAAATATTCTATAATACTATTATTCTGTGAAAAATATTGGATCCTGGTTTGATGAGGCGGCTTTATTATATCTACTATTCTCTGCAGGCTATTTTGGTTCATGGGTTTCAGCTGCTTGAAATATCACTCCCTTCCATGGCGAACACTGCAGATTGCCAAAGAGCAAAACTTTTTGATTTATCAGCTGCAGGTATTTTTACTTTTTCTGTAATGATGCATGGATGTGATTATTTTGTTTGTTGATAGGTTGGCTGGGTGTTCTCAAACCTAATGGTTCTCTAAATTCAAAGGTCATGGCGTATAAAGTCTTGTTTCCTGAGATTGCTAATCCACCTGAGCTGCAAATCAAAGGGATTTTATTATATTGTTGTCATTATTATCATTATCTGCATAGTTTTTCTTATATAGTAGGTAGGGCCATATGAATAAATGGAAAAGGAAAATTCTTTCTTGCATGTTTGAGTGTGACCGAATTATCAATATCTGTACCTATATCTGACTTGGTACTATTATGTTTAAGTCATTCAGATTGGAATGTTTATAACTTTTGGTTAATTGCAATGTAGTTCATGCTTCTTGTTAAAATTTTCTAGGCTGTGCATGATTGCAGGTTCATTTTGGGAATGGAAAGTCATTCTTATTCGCAATCTAGGTTTCTTCCTTGACTTGGCAACACTGTTAATGGCACTTGGACATTATGTGCTTATTTGGTGGCTCCATGGCATGGCATTCCATCTTGTGGATGCAGTTCTTTTCTTGAATATACGTGTAAATATTCCATTGTTCTTTGGAGCATTTTTGAGCCCAATATATCGATTTTTAATTTGACATCTCGATGCGCGATCCTTCCATTTACCAATTCAATCTCTTTGAGCAGGCTTTGCTAAGTGCAATTGTGAAGCGTATAAAGGGATTTATTAAATTGAGAATGGCATTAGGGGCTCTTCATGCGGCACTTCCTGATGCAACATCTGAAGAGATACGTGCTTATGATGATGAATGTGCCATATGTAGGGTATGCTTTGTTTTTTTATGTTGCCTTTTCGGTTTTCCACTGATTTCTGAAGGTCTAACTAACTTTGCAAAGCTCAGGAACCTATGGCCAAGGCTAAAAAGCTTCATTGTAATCACCTTTTTCATCTTGCTTGCTTGAGGTCTTGGTATGGTTATATTAGATTATCAAATTTGGTTTGTGTATTTGCTAGTGTGTGCTGCCGAACCTAATGCTGGATATTAACATACCATGCCAGGTTGGACCAACGCTTAAATGAAGTTTACTCGTGTCCCACATGTAGAAAGCCACTTTTCCTGGGCAGAACTGAAAATGAGGTGATTTCTCGCACAGGAGAAGCTTTAAGTGATGAGCAGTTGGCTCGTCAGATAAATTCTGGACTTGATCAGCAAAATATGCCTGGTCACACCCTACCTGCAGGATTATTCCCAAATCAAATGCAGAACCCAGTGGAAGGCAGACCTTGGAGGTTTGGTTCCTTTAAATTAGTCTCCCTAGCTTGCCTTGAAATAACAGTCTGTTGTACCCTCTATTTGAACAATCATTTATTTGAGAAGTTAGTATTAAAGTATGAAACATTTATACTTAATGTCCTGATTATCACTAAAATTCTTTTCTTTTGTTGTGCCATAAGTAGTTCATAGATTGTTAGTGAGGGTGAAAGGTGGTGCCGTAGCTTGTCTTGAAATAACTTTGTGTTACACCTTCTATTTGAACAATCATGTATATAAGAAGTTTGTTTTGAGATGGGAAACATTTACACTTGATCCTGATTACATAGGAATTCTTTTGTTTTGTTGGGTAATAAGTAGTTCATTCATGTCCTTAAAGAGAAAAGTTTCTCCGGTTTGTAGAAAGAAGTAAATTGCATTGCGTGCATTATTTCTTCTGTTGATGTAGGGTTTAGGGTTAAAAATTGATTATGAAGTTTATTGCAAACCAAAACACTCCATTCAACTATTCAGAAACCAGTTTTTGGAAGTGAGTTGCAAATTCTCGTTCTCTTTATTATTCTTCAGGTTTCTTATTGTCATATATTATTTACACTTCGTAGGAGTGCAGGACTGGATTCGGCATGGTTGCATTCTTGGCCAAACCAGAATGTTGATGGAGCTGGTCCTTCTACCGGTATCAGATCTGTTGGACTTGGGAGAGTTCATATGATGATGAGGCACCTTGCATCTGTTGGAGAAACTTATGCCCAGACTGCTCTTGAAGACACTGCTTGGAGCCTTTGGCCCATGAATCCATCTCAGGCAGCTGCATCTGCTTCATCAGTTCCTCCAAATGTTGGTGGGAGATACCCTGGAAATGGTGGTAGTTTACATATGAGGACTGCCTCACGTACAGTAGATGACAACATAGCAAATATACTTGCTATGGCTGAGACTGTACGAGAGGTTTTGCCACATGTCCCAGATGAGATGATTTTTCAGGTATTGTTGAGTAGGTTATCACCTTTTTAAAAAAAAAAAAAAAATTATTCCAGCAAAGGAAAAGCTTGGTGTATTGAATTTATTGTTATTATATTTCTTACATTTTATCTATTTCATCATACAATGCACGGAATTTGCAGGACTTACAGAGAACAAATTCTGTTACTGTTACTGTGAACAATCTTCTCCAAATGTGATGATGATGCACTGTGTTTCTTTGGACGCATGCTTCCAATTAATGAACAGATCCTTGGTCTTGTATTGGGGATAGGCAGAACACAGATTTCCTCTTATATGAGATTTATTTTCCTACAAAGATTCTGATGGTTCGTTCTCTGTATATATGCAAGTTTGTTCAATCAGATGTTATAATGGAAAAAGATGAGGTGGAAATTATAATAGTTTTTGTTGTTTTCCTGTGAAAAATAAAGTTGCTACATATTGGTGGTCATCGATCGTGCTGGTGTTGGCACTTTGGTTTTGTTCCTGCTTTTGAAGATGCATAAAAGGAGAGAAAGGTGGCAATGATGCAGCTGGCCCTCCTCTTAAGTTGTAAAACTTTTTGTTGTATTATTAATTTATTATTATATAACCATCCACAAATTTAAGATAACTTTCTATTTTGCGATAACTGAAATTTCATATCCAATTTTACTTCTTATGCGCTCATGCCAAGCGTTGAGCTGTCTGATTTTTTTTTTAAAAAAAAACATAATTGGATTGTAAAATATGCATTGATTTATCAAATTATGTTAATTAAAGAGCATTTTCATAAGAAGAACGTCCAAAATATTATGATATGATGTATTATGTTGTAGTCAATTGTATTTTGGACCATCTATTTTCAACAGATAGATTATACTTACTAGTATAGATCATTCTTTTTAGTAATTTATATTGGATGCTAGGCTAGGCTACAAAATTGAAGACGACAAACTAGCATGTTGTTGTTGAGTAGGGCAAGGCTAGTTTTATTGACCCAGGCCAAGATCCTGGGATTGTTATGGTTAGAAAACATTGTAGTAGCTTTGTATAAAATAATATTTCGTAAGTTGTTGTCAATGTTATAAGGTGAGCGACGAGCAACAAACACGGAGTCGCAAAGCATGAAATCAGGTATTGGAATGATTCCCTGGGAAAATGTAAACAAGGCTGCCTCTTTCGTTGTTTTGCTCTTTTTAACTGTGGCCTTTCTAACTGCAATTTTGCATCACAAATCACTAAGCTGCTGTTTAATTGTAGTTTTTTTTTTTTTTAAATAATTGTAGTTAATTATGTTAACATGACTGGCCAAAAAAAAACTAATTTATAACATGCATTACATAGAAAGTTGTAAAGAGATATATATTATATATTCACACATCTGAAAATATTTACACTTAGAATAAAAGTTTGCTGATGCTGTTCTCTCTCTCCTTTGAAACGGTAAAGGGTCGATATTTTTAGGGGGTGGCCCATGCGAATGATCCTATGTAAGGGAGACAAAGGAGGCCAGCTTTACTTCATTTTGCTCTTGCATAAGTCCCCTCTCTCACTATACATCTTGCATGTTCCTAGGCAGCCTCTTTTGCCCCTCAACAGGACCTGCTTTTAACGCAAAAGTTTGCCATTTTTAATCGCAGATTAATATTTATATATATCTACTCTCTACAATATACTTCCCAACCCTCCAACATTCATTCATCCAATCTTGTCTTTTCTTTTTCTTATTTTCTCCTCTCTTAATCCTTATAAAGATTTAGTTAGTGAGTCATGTCCGCAATCATATCTTCTCTACTCATCTTCTTCTTCTTCTTCTCTTGTGCCTGTCCACCCATACATGCAATGCACGGCATCTAGGAGCGCTCATGGACGACAATAATGCTTCCCACAAAAAACATCTTTTTTCTACCATTGTAAACCTTTGCTCCTCTCAATGTTCTATATGTTTTCTTTTCTTAATTTATTTCTTTTGCTAAGGACTAGCAAACATATATAATCTCCAAATTAGTAAAAGTTCTGTGGTAATTTCTATCTTATATGTAGGTTTTGGAAAGTGCTAGGCAGCTCAACAAGGACGGCGATCCAATATCAGTTCATGAGGAAACGAGTAGCGGAGATGCCATTATTTTCCATGAGAGTCATGCCGTGAAGCCCAAAGACTCAGACAGCCTCCTCAGGCAAATGAAACAAAAAACGGATATCTCAGCTCTTCTTGTTCCGGTCAAGCCTCTTGTATCAGTTTCTGGAGGTGTGCCTCGCAAGAATAACTTGGATGAAGGTACTGGGTTTTTCTCTGATTATTCTACACTTAGAACACGCCCACCTTCTCATATTTGAAGTGCTCATTAGTACTCTTAGAAAAACTTTTATTAATGGTTTTAAACTTGAAGCTGCCAGCTTTATTCTTATATAACTAAAAATGAGACCAATTATAAATAGCTTTTTTTTTTTTTTTAAACATAAGATGGGCATAGCCCATGGGAAAAGGGGAGGGGATTTTGTTCGAAACCAAGAGTCCTCCTAAAAGCTGGTTTAGGAGCTGAGGACAATTATTGGTAGCTTTGCTCTCTGTATATTATTTGCTTGTTCTTCTACCTCATCTATACAAGCCGGAGAAACCGCTTGCTCAGCGTATTTATCTCTATAAAATTATTGTTCTCGCACAAATTAATATTACTACTATTTTATCATGATGTTTTTTTTTTTTTCTTTATTCTTCTTTTTTATCTTAATTAATTATTCCTCCGAATTGGGGTGAAGCTACTATTTATTATTGAGTACTACTCATTATATATAGGGATGGAACATGCAGGAACTGCGATTTTTAAGCCCTCTACTGACGTGGGTACGCTTAGGGAAACAAGCATAGAGGTAAATAATATTGCTTGTATGTTTTCAATATATAGTCAATGGTTTGGGGTTCAAAATGGGCAGAGGAATAGAAACTCACTTCCAAGAGTAATGACTCTCTTCTCACCATGATAGTGATATATATATATATATAATTAATTAAAAGAGCCTGCTAATGGTCTTATTATATGTGAACGTAGGTCCATATATCCATGGAGATCATTGATGGGAAAAAGAAGAAAGTAACTTAATTAGTTTTCCCTTTCCATTATCGTTTTTGGATTATTTGGTATTTTGGGGATTGAATATCCATATGTTGATTATATGTATATGTAGGGCTCAAGGAGACGAGTTGTAGAGCATGAGCATGGTTCTCAATCTCAGGTTAAACAAGACAGAGATCCTTACAAAGCTCATCATTATCAGCTGGAAGATGCATCAGTGACGGATTATGATTCACCCCATCAGAAAACACCTGTTCACAATAGATAATAAATTACCTGAATATATAATATAGAATATCTAATATCAGTCACCAAGCTAATAATAATTACTTCATATTAATTTTCTCAGTGGATTTTATTTGTTATCCCTCTCATTTGAGCAGGTTTTCACATGCTGTAAGCCTTTAGAGGCGTAGAGCTAGCTAGGTCATGGTCGCTAATGAAAAATAAGTTGCAAGTTTACTGATCCCATACTTTCAGGTACTGATATATATATTGAGCAGTTTTTGGCTTTAATTATTTGCCTATATCATGTGTATATAATGAAAATATACAACTCTTTCTTTTCAAGCCTATCCACAACTTATTCAAGCTTTTCATTTAAAAAGGAAAAAACGGAATGCTCTCATGAAATAGCAATAAAGCCTAAAAATATTGTTTTGTGATGCATGGCAATTACTTTCATCACTTTCAGGAAATGGAACTAAAGCATCTTAAACTATATATGTATGACCAACAATCATGGTTAAAATTAAGTACTGAAACCAGGTTGTAAGCCAATGTTGATTTCCATGGAAACAGAAGCAACAAATCAACATTAATATATACCTGTTTTGACCTAAATAATATCATAAATCTCTTAAAACAAAGCAGTTCATATAGTATGTTTCATCCGAAGAAGATTTCAAATTTATTTAATCAGCTAGCTCTATCATCCGGTGTTCCAAGTTCCAGTAGATGGATTTATTGAAAACAGAAAAAACGATGCAACATATTCAATTATTCCTGACAATAAGACATATATATATATATATATATATATCCTTGTCAAGGAATTATTAAGAATGTTTAAGTGTAGTGACAATCCCTGTCAAGTACTAAAAATTAATCCTAGAGCTTAATGGGAACGATATTGCATTTCTTTTTATTGACTGCCCCTGTAACAAGCTTTGTCTACCCAGAACTAGAAGCGGGGAAATTTTATCCATAGGTCATGTGCAGTGATTAAGTGCTTGACTTAAGATCCTCTAATTGATCTCCATTAATCTAGCCAGGAATTGTTTTGATTTACACAGATTCAAAGGTTAACTAGGTAGCAGGTAAAATTGTAGCTAGGGTTTAGCTTAGGCTGGCCTTTTAGGAGACGAAGATAAAGGGTTGCTACCATTTCAAGAATGTCATGTCCCCCGATGGAATTTGAAAAATGTAACATGCTGAGAACATCGTATAACAAAAATCAAGGGGAGTGGACAAAAGGCCATGCTTTTGAAATTAATTAAGTTTTGATCAGCAATTTGTATAATTAAATAACAATTGCCCAAAGCCCCAAAGAAAATTCAATGGAAGATCAAACAAAAACTAATCAAAGTAGAAGATCTCAGTTCAAACTGCAATGGGACCAGTTACTTTTAGCGTGCCGCAATCTCCTCCAATCCGATTGAACAAAAATACTTGCCTAAATAAAATTTGGAAAGAAAATTTATGATGAACATTAAAATCTTAATTACAATCTCTTGTGACTCATGCAAAAAGAAAACGTCTATGAAAATTTTCTTACAAACCTTAATCCTATTTTAGTAGTATATATTTTGACTGTCGAGACCATAATTAAAGTATTGCCTAATTAAATTTCACCATTAAGATAGCAGATTAAGATACCAAATTGGCGAATAAATTCAAGATATCCTTTATTGATCTTTTCTGTTATCATCTAACATACTCCTCTAGGCTTTAGACATATATATAAACAATAGTTTGACATTGATCTAGAAATTAGTCAAGCCAGCAAACTCTACAAAAGAAAACACTAAGTACGTACCTAGTTCTGAAAAGCAAGAATCTGCATCTATATAATTTCATTCATATATAAAGTTTCAACTTTTTTGACTCTTGTAAGCCATCACCAATCAGCATAACATAAATAAGTACTATTTTTTTAGCTTTATCATGTATTAATTGAAAACTCACTTCACATAATTTCCGCTTAATTTCACGTAGCCAATCACTATATTCAAAGGATTTTTTGGTAACCGTAACCGCCTCCAAGATTCTAACTTCTCATCCACGTAAACACCACGTTCCATGAACACCAAAATATAACTACTCGAAACCATCGATCCTCTGTGTTTCTCGCAAGAATACCAAAAAAGCAGAGGCCAAATAAACATGACGAAGAGATGCTCAATTTTGCAGAAGAAAATGAAAGAACTGGAATCCGAACTCAACCAAGTGTTTTCTATTCCACCAGATACTACGTGCCAACAGCGTTTCTCCCAAGACATCCAACAGCGGTTCCAGTTCTTGAAAAATCTCTTGTCTGCCGAAATCGTTTCTTGCCCAAGAAAGCCTTACCACTTGCAACATCTCGCTCAAAGGTTGTTAGAACTGGAGGCCGCTTTTCAGGAATGGGATAGTTTTCACACTTCTGACACTGACCAAGTTGAAAAGGGTTCAACGTGTTCTTGTTCTGAGTCCTTGCTCAATAATGATGGCGAGGCAGCCGAGGGTTCTTCTGAGTTGATGAGCTTGGCTGATTTGGAACAATTAGCCGAGGCTTCTGTAGAGTTGAGTTTGGCTGGTCTGGATTTGGAAGGCTTTAGTGACGAACATGGGTTGGGGCCTGTGCCTGTGTCAGTGGAGAACACTGAGCACACTAGTGTTAATGATAAAGCTGAGACAGAAAAGAGAAAAGAAGATGAGGAAAGAGTTTGGGTTGAGGCAGAAAGAAACATGATGAGAAAAGAAAAGACTAATGGGATTTGGTTTGGAAAGTGTCTGGGGAGTTTGGTGAGCGGGGTGGTCCTTGGTATGCTTTTGATGGCCTTTTTCATGGTAAGATATTCTGGCTGCTGTCAATATTGTTATGCCAGTAGCAGAGATAATACTTTTTGCCAGCTCAGTCCTACTTAGATATTGTGGTCTCGATCTTAAAGTAGTTTTTGTGATGATTATGCAAACTGATTGGTAGTATCGTTTATGACTTGATTTCTACATGTTTTTGTGAAATTCTTTCAGACATTAACAGCTTGTATAAGTTTAATTTGCCATTAGTCAGAAGGATTATTTCTATTATTTGTGTATTAAGACCCAGGAATTAATGAACGAGGAAGCTGTCTTTTTTAATTTACAGCCGATCCAACTACATATCATTCCTTTAAATATTATTAGTTTAGTTTGGTGTTTAGAACTCTTGACCCTACTTCTATTTTATATACTTCTAAGACTTTGTTTTGTGATTCAAAATGACTTCAAAATTCATTAGAATTATGAACAAAAACTACTACCATATATCACAGTATAATGTTTGATGCAAAATAGACTGATTTTATTTTTGGCCAATAAAACAAAGGAGATAAAGGCTAAAAAATCTGTTAAAAAAAGCTTTATAATATGATTTTAATTGGTGTTTAATTATTACTTGTATGAAATCTTAAATTCAAATTTATTATGCTAACTCTCCAATCATATGATAAATATGGATTAATCAGAATCGAAAGTTCCTAACTATATATACTCTCTCAACAAATGGACTATTAAGAGGGCCACGTTTGCGGTTAAATTTGGGCTAAACCAACTGCTGAGGTGAAAATCCAAAGCCCAAACCAAAGCACAAAATGACTCAGACTAAACCCACTTGCCCTGCACTACTGTGGACTTTTAACTTGTAATCGCGCTATCTAATTCTCATATCCCCCTAATTCTTCACAACCTTCATGCCCATTTCCGTCCATTCCCGCCCCTCAAATATGGGAACTGGGTTCTTTGCCAGTCTGATTTTTGGAAGATGCAGCTTAGTTTATGATCAATGAACATGAATTTCTGTTGCCTCTCGTTCATTGTTTGCATTTATGTTCTGCATGAGCTTCTTCAACTTATTTTCTATCTTTTAAAAGGTGGTACTTGTTTTATGCAAGAGCTTCGTTTCCTTTTTTACTCTACTACTAAACCCTCTTCCTTGTTCCTCTACTACGAATCCCCTCCTCTTCAGCTAGAAATGGGCAATGGCCTGCCATATTGACAGAACTGCTTAGTGGCTTTAATCAGCCTATTTGGGTTTGAATCCTTTCATAAAAGGAAATATAATTTTTGGGCCCAAAAAGAAGAAAAGAGTGTTAGGCTTTCCATTCCATGTGATGCCTGCGCCCTGACTACTGATAAACAAGAAGAAGTACGGATATAGCTTCAAATTCTGGTCAATGTAAAGCGCACTTCTGATAAATGAAAATGGACTAGGGAACAGGGAGTAGAAAGCAGAGGTCGGTTGGCACAAAGTTATTTGTTTTTATTACCATATCACTAAACAATCGTTTATAGCCCGGTTAGCTCTTCTTGGTCGCTTAAGCACTTTACAATAACAAAAAATTTGGGCCCTCGCTACTATTTAGAAACACAAGTTGCCCATGCAATGATCAAGAGGGGATAAGAATAGATCATCTCCTTTTTGCTTACAAATTTAACATGGCAGAAGGTCTCGCAGACTTCACGTGTACATGAAAGCCGTTGCTGGCAGTTAACTGAATTAGCACGAGGCATTAGAGAAAAACCAAGTAGCTTGGCAAATATTGCTGCCAAACCGCGATGAACAAAAGCTAAAAATTGAAAGCTGGTGCTTAGCTTATGACCCTTACATTTTTCATAATTCGACGAACTTGAGACATCGGAAATGAAATCTTAAGTTACAATCCAGGATGTTCTTTCTAATTAGGACATTGTTCCAAACAATTTGTATCGTTATAATGAGTTATACCCAGTTTTTTTTTTTTTATGGATAAATTTACTCACTTATTTTAGAAGTTTTAATTTAACTTAATCATTGGATTAAATAATTTTTCTTCCACCTCTCCAATTCATATATTAAAAAAGAAAAAAAAAAAAAAAAACATAGCAAGATCTGCTGTAGATGAGCGGTCGTAGGGAACCCACGAGGTGAAAATTGCATGAGTGTCGCTCATGGTCCTAGGCATCCACAGTTCTTTGGGCTTGCCAAGGCATAAGACCTTCCTAGGACAGAACTTCTTAAATGAATCTAGATCAATCGATCAACTTTACCCCACTTGTCCATGGAATAAATTTGTAACGTTAATGGTTTTTATTTGGTTATGACCAATTCAACACTAATATACCTTTTAAAAACCGAGTACAGGGACCTTTTAAATAGAGAATATTCTAAACCATTGCGACACAATGACTCAACTGTGAAGTTTGAAAAAGAAAATTTTCCACACCTAGGAAAGTTCCCCGGAAGGAAAAAAACACTGGCCCTCCTATTAATTTACTACTAGTTGTAACTTTTCCAAGTCAACACTTGGTTTGAAAGATTCCGTTCAGACTCCAGACTAACGTGGCGGCAATAAACAACGTATGTCTAAGTCAAACAAAGACCGAAGATTACTTGGAAATTAAGATTTCAGCTATGGAAACAAAATTTTAATCAAGTTCCTTAATCATCATTTTATTATTAATTAAGATTTGGTTTTGGCACAGTCATAGGCTAATTAGTGCGCTATTAACCCTTGGGATTTTAAAGCAGTTGGCTTTGGATCATTCTTATTACATACGTCAACTGTCGGAAAACATTATTGTACTGTTATAATGCGGTGACGGTTACTTTGATATATACCCAGCATAAATCTAAGGCGATTATTGGTTAACATGAAAGAACAACTGTGGTTTTTGTTATAAATGCAAAATAAACAAGTGAATATAATGGTGTGACGACAATGACGAATATGACAGACAAAATAAATAAATAAATGCTAAATGGAAAAGGAACTACCATCCCATGATTATGATATATAGGTTTAATTTCTACACACCTATTGAAAACATTTGAGGAAAAAACATAGATTTAAAAAAAAAAAAAATGAAAAAGAAAGAATTCAAACATTTGCTTTTTCTTAAACAATAAATCATGCTTCAAACCTTTAAATTAAATGTTTGAATATCAACGTTTTTTTTTTTATAGCAAGGAAAAATTCAAAATTGTTCCATGTGGAAATGCATGATTTTCTTCAATTTTCTTGCCTCTGATTGCTAAAAGTAACAGTACAGCAGCAGAGGCCGACGGAGTAAGTTGAATTTACTGTAGTCTATTTGTAGCAGCAGTCGGTTTGTTGAGCTGTAACTCCGACATGTAGAAACTTCTTCACGACTTCCCTCATTTATTTTTTTAATTAGAAAAATTAAAATTTTAAGTTTGCGTGGAAAATGTGGCGATGCCTGTAATGATCGCTCCAGGGAATTGGTTGCAACGTCAATCTTACTAAAATATGAAAATTTTATTAATAGAAAAATATTATCGCGGAGAATATAGTACGTCCATTTATTTATATTAATTTAATGTTGGAGTACACTTTCCAAGAAACCTGTAGCCCATAAGAATTGGCATTTGTTATGTTGACTTGGAAAATCTAGAACATCAAATCAAATCAAATCTTTGCTAAAAATATAAAATTAATATGCTATATTAAAGGCAATTGGGTGGGCAAACTGACCTCAAACAACGCCGTGGAAAAGGAAGATTCCATTTTGGAGTTCCGATTTCCAAAAATAAACATTAAACAATTTTAACCTTCCCCGCCGGCGTTCGCTGCCCCGCCACCGTACCATGAAAGCCCAATCCTCTCCTTAACCTGTTATTCTACTTTGGTATTTCTATTCTACTTTTCTTTTTTTTTTTTATTATTATTTATTATAGTTTCCTTTGCTTTCCTTTTTGGTTTTTCTTGGCAGGATATTTGACCAAGCAATAAACAATTAAAAACTAAATTGCCAGCTCCATGGAAACATTTGGTAGTTACAATTATTCACAATTTTTAATTACTTATGTACGTTTTCTTTTTCATTCGTCAAAAGCATTGATAATTCTTTTAATGGGACTGTTGTTTTCAAATTTGATGCACTCTCTTTGCAACTCGAAGGTAAATTTTTTCTCTGCCCGTGCGAAATTGTAATTTAGCGTGGCAAAATCAATACCCCATGTGAAATCAATTTGTCAAGATTTCCATATAAATATTAATCAGTGTAGTAAGATGAATCGTCTTAATAATAATAATATTCAAATCAGTCGAATTATAATATGGTCTTATAAAATCACTTTTTAAAATTAAATTTCAGATTAAATTTTTGTAAAATAAAATTAAAATTAAATCAAATTCATATATTTATTTAATAAAATTAGATTAAAATTTAAAAATTGCCTCTTTCTTTATTGTTGATGTCCTAGAGAAATGCAACCTTTCGCGTATCAATCACGGACATGTTATATTGGCTAATATCTTGTTATATTATCAGATTATTTTGGTTTTAAAGGTTTTTCGTGCGTTGATATATAAGTGGGTATGTGATTTTTATTGCAAAAATTATAATATAAATACAAATATATTTAACAACTTTAATTGAATAATTTTTAACAGAGTTAATTTAAAATGTGTTTGTAATAGGATGATTATAATGGAGTTTTTTCCAAATAAAAGTACTTTGATATCTTATTTCTTTAAGTGAGATATTTTTAAATTTTATTCTTAAAAACATAAAGTATTACACAATTCAATTCCATGTCAGCATGCAATCCCACGTCACTTTCTTTTTTGATCTTCTCTCCCTTTCTTCATTACAACTATTTATCTCTTAAAAAATATAAAAAATTTATCAGATAAAAGACAATCATTACAACATTGTAACATGCCCTAACAACAAATATAAACTTACTTTGCTATTTGATAATATTTATCAAAAGCCAAGCATAGGATGTTCTTGGATTCTTGAGAGCACCAAATAATTTTGAGCATCTTTTAGAGTAGATATAAAGAATATTGGAGTTTCAATCGCATCCAAATAATCTTTTTTTTTTTGCGCTAACAAAACCCTATTCATCTATTTTTTTTAAATAATTATTCATCTTTTTTTAAATCTTTATTTTTTTGGACAAGAGTTAGTATCTTCTTCACGAAATTTTTTGAATGATTTTAAAAATATAAAACCATCACACCATGATAATTCACTTCCCACCAAATAAATGCTCTTCAAAATTTATTTTATAGTTTTTTAAAATATTTTTTATTTCTTTCTTGTTATACATCTTTTGGTTTTAATCTTAGAATTTTCCCTTCTCTCTTTCTCTCTCAACGTAATTTGCAATAGTATTGGTCTATATTCCATGGAGTCTCTCCTTTTTATTTTTTCATCTGCTTTCTTTATAGCTTTGTTGCTAAATTCAATTTCAATTTTAGAGAGTTAAAATCCTGAAATACTGTCAGGATAATGTTATATTTTCATTGGATTCCTCATTAACAAAATTCGTAAACAAGAAATTTTCTTTTAGAAATTTCATTGAACACCCTTTAAACATCAATAATTTGTTTTTAGTAAATAACAATGCATGAATATTTTAATTCAAATGAAAAGAAGATAAAGAGATGACGATCTGATGAAGGAAAAAAGAAGAGAAGATGAGACTTTTTCAATATATATGTATTTTAAAATTTTTTGATTGAGTTAAAACTAATTAAATAATTTATCATTTATTTTATTTTTATATAATTTATCATATATATCTGATGTGGATTTGAAGTGTATAAAATTTTTATTTTAAAAATTAAATTTAAAATTATTCTAAATTGATAAATAAAATTATAGGGTATTTTATCATAAGAAATTTACTCGACTGCAATGTGTAAAAATTGACCGCAAATAGAATCAAAATTTCTTAAATGAAGTGGGTTCCATGGAGAAGCCATCCTCCCACGTGGGACCACCTGTTTGGCCATAATTCAAGCAACGACCATCACCGACGACAACCACCCAGCAGTGACTGAAAGCGACGACACGTTCACAACACGTCTAGCAATTGCGTGCTGGGTCCCGCTCTCAAACGTGACCACGTCAGAACTGACTGGATCACAGGTGTCCCGCGCATTGGTTGCAAAGTCTTCTCGCCACGAGTCCCCCGGTTTCCTCAAGATCCCCAGTGGCCCCCACCCATTCGTTTAGCCTCAAAACCATAAATGTAACTTCCAAACTACCATATTATATTAACTAATAAATAAAAATTTCTGGTTCTTCAGTTATATGGCTAAATAATTTAACTCACGCGCTCCCATCTACTCGCTCGTGAATTCTACATACAAAGAAGGAGAGTGGGGAAAATCCAGTCAGAAGGCATTTTCTAGTATTTTTTTTCAGTTATGTTTCCTGATTAAACTACGTTTGCTTTTTTATTTCTTTTATTGAGATTGAGATTGCAGGAGCTTCTATAAACTTCCCAGCGGTTGGCAACCGAGAGTTTGCTTTATAAATCACGTTCTCGTCGAAACCATAACTCTATAAATACCCAAACGTTATTGAAAGCGTTTTCTTTCTTTTTCTTTCTTATATCTATCTCTTCTCTGAGTTAAGCATCGATTTGGTATCATACGATTTTTAGCTTGATCCTCGTTTTAGTTCTCTGCGATATCTTCTCCAGTTCAGGTGATTATAATCTTCTCCTTCTCTTCCTCCCCCTACCATGTCAACTCACATTTTCTTGCCTTCTTTTTTGGCCGCCGAGAAGGTAGAATCAAGCTAGTGGTTTACTTCAATACGGCATCGCCACATTTTCTTTACATATTTTTCTCATTTCTTAAACAAGGAAATGGTGCGTTAACCATTTTGTTTATTGGTTTTCTCCCTTTTAAAGTTTTCTCTTTTGAGGCTTTTGCCCTCCAAGTTATCTTTGTTTGGTTTCGCTTCTTCATTGCTGTTTCATTTCGAGCTTTCTAAACTAGGTGCGATTTTATGATTCTTTCCAATATCTGTTTTGCTTTTGTACATAATGCCGTTTCGTTGACTAACTCTTCTTCAAAGCTCTTCTAATTTCTTGCGCTTTCTAATCTGATGAATATGCAAATCTCTGCTTTTCAGAAGATTTCTTTTTCCAATTATAGCAGTTGTTTATTTAAAGATTTTATGTGGATGTGATCATTTTCAAATTAAGTTCCTTTTAAAAAAAAATTTGAGTTGCTTTGTGCTCTGTTTTCTTCAAGATGTTTTTTTACTTGTTTTCTGGTTGGTTCCGTTGTTGTTTTTTTTTTTAATAAAAATAAACAAGAATTAGACAGATGGTTACACGATTGGTTAGTTCAGTTTTTTCAGTTTTTTTTTTCCTAACAGCATGACGGATGCTGTCAATCTCTATTCCAATTTGTCAGCCCCAAGTCTTTGCTTAGGCGGATATGAGATTCCCTTTGTTTCATCTCTGATTTTTCTCTTCTTTTTCTTATAAAATAAAATTGTAGCTGCATTGGCAACCTCTCTACCTATTATATGACTGATTTTATACCGTCTGGTTTGAAGTTTAATCAAATCCACCTCCTCAAAGTCATATTTTTCAATAGTTAAATCTTCAAATTAAAAAAAAAAAAAGAAACTGCTTATTTTGGTTCTCCGGTAGTATTCTTGACCTTACTGATTAAGCGATGATATGAAATTACTGATCTTCGATATACTTGAATGCTTTTTGTGGTAATTTTGATGCTGATGGATGGAACGTTTGATAGCAACATAAGTATGGTGGAGCCTGAAATTTCAATTTTGGTTTTCCAACAATGGTTTAACTCAATCAATGAATCTTTTTTATGTGCTTGGGGTCCATTTTTTTTTTTTTTTAATGCTCTTTCCCATTCTTCATTGTTGGTCCGTTATTTGTGGTTGCACTTAATGTGGTTTCCCCATCCACCATATGGGGCTTTTTTATTGAGACAACTACCATTTACTTTTTTTTTTCTCTACCAGATATCAGCCCTTTTTTGCTGGCCAGTTTTATTTATGAATGAATGCTGCTGTTTCAATTACTCTTTTCATATACATTGAGGTTTTGCTGCCTTTTGCATGCTTAGTTTAAGTATGAAGTAGGTGACTGTTAATATTTTTCTCCAACAGTTACAGCTGTTTGGTTTCGAGTCATTTCATGGTGTTGGTATTATTGCTTACTTTTTTAGTTCATGATGTCAGTGATTTCAAATCTTGTATGCTTATATTTTCATTTCAGCTGTATGAAATCTCTGTGCTATTAGCATAGTAATGCTGGTTTATTTAGTTGTGTTTTTGCAAACTGAGTCATAGGAAGACTGTAAGCAACAATTCATGTATCAAATATTGAATCCTGTGATGGATGTTAGTGGTTCAGTTTTTGTTGGCCATTATTCATTCTCAGTCTTAATGGATGTTATTCTGGATCAGTGCATTGATTTTTCTTCTTAAATCTATTACCTGCAGATATTGTTTACTCACATCGGTTTTAAGCAGAGTAACTAAGGGGGATGAACAGGTTCAGTTCAGATATCTGTCTCTTTTGAAAAATATTATAACCTTGAGATTCATTTTGTCCATTTTAACACTTTCTTATGATGTCAGTTTTCAGGGCCCTTATGCTTGATGGACTGCTTGCCGAACAGCAGTGACAAGAAAACTTTAAAGAGGAGGTTCTTCATTGATAAAAGGGTTGGCTTATTTGAGATTGAACATTAAGATTTGTTTCTTTGCACTTGAGTGGATACTTTGTTAAAGGAATCTATTAGCTTTTACATTATAAGTAGTGATACAAAGCTGGATTCAATGGACCTGAAACCCAATCACACTGCTTCTGTTATTGCTGATCCTGTACCGCTAAGCAAGTCAAGACTAGGAGTACCTTCCAGTCTGTTGCCATACTCATCTGCAGCGTTTTCTCGAAATCTATTTTTAACTGTTCCTTGGAAAACTGGAATTCTTGATGATGTTCGTACCAGCAGCTGGCTTGATGCTATGAAATCCTCATCACCTTCTTATAAGAAAACTAGGTGTTTCAACAATGAGCTCATATCAGCTGATACAGATGTTGCATATCACACATGGATGGTAGTTATTTCTCTTTTGCTTATCTGAGTTTAATTTTGATACAGCTAGATCTGCTATTGATGTGTTCTATGTACTTTTACCCTCTGGTTTTACAGGTTAAATATCCCTCTGCCCTCACATCTTTTGAACAAATAACAAGTTTTGGAAAAGGCAAGAGAATAGCATTGTTTTTGGATTATGATGGGACTCTTTCACCAATTGTGGACAACCCGGATTGTGCCTTTATGTCTAATGATGTAAGAATGACTTGTCTGAAGAATGATTTGTGAAAAATTTTTAGTCAAAATTGTCATTTTTTTTTCTTTCTTCTCTACTGATGATATGCTAACCAAAGCTTTTTATTTAGATGCGAGCTGCTGTAGCAAAAGTGGCAAAACACTTCCCAACAGCAATAATTACTGGAAGAAGCCGTGACAAGGTGATTTGAGGACCAAGCTTTTTAATAATTTTGACATCTTCCTTGGCTCTGTTTTACTTATATACACATCAGATTGGTTCCTTGACAATATTTAGTTTATTTATGTGTTTGATTGCCGCTTGATTGGATTTTAATTTCGACTGTCTCTTGTTAATTCAGGTATATGAGTTTGTAGGATTAACGGATCTCTATTATGCGGGAAGTCATGGAATGGACATCATGGGTCCTGTTAGGCAATCTTCCAATGATCATTCTAACTGCATTACATCTACTGATAAGCAGGTTTCTATTTTTTTACACCATTCCTTGTGTTTCTCTCCACCTATCCTTTCTTAAGTTATTTTTTAATCTTGTTTTTATTTAATGCACAGCGCAAGGAAGTTAATTTATTCCAGCCTGCTAGTGAATTCTTACCTATGATTGATGAGGTATGTACATGTCTTTAAAATTCCATACTTCAAGCCCTTGACCTTTTCCTCTCTGTTCTAACGTAGAATTCTCAATCATCACAGGTTTTTAACTCACTTGTAAACAGCACCAAAGAAATTAAAGGAACAAAAGTTGAAAACAATAAGTTCTGCGTCTCTGTCCATTACCGTAACGTAGATGAGAAGGTGTAGTATTTTTCCTCAGTATTTGATACCTTCATTTATCTTTTGGTAATTCTCAATAGCGTGTACATTTTCCTTACATAATATATTGACTTTGGGCACTTTCTTAAATTTATTTTCAGGACTGGACTACAGTTGCAAAATGTGTCCGTGATGTGATCAGAAACTACCCTCGCCTACAATTGACTCATGGGCGGAAGGTGATCTTTAAAGACAACATGATTCTCTTGTCATTATTTTTCACTGATTTTCTGCTTGTGGCTTGTACTATATGGCATGGATGTTATAGTTTTTGTTTCTGTTATTTTATATTATTATTAATTATTTTTTAAAATTTGTGTAATCAGGTTTTAGAGGTTCGGCCTGTGATCAACTGGGATAAGGGGCGAGCTGTTACATTTCTACTTGAATCACTTGGTAAGTATTTTTTCTAACCTGTCTTTTTTGTTTTCTGTCATGAGCATGTGTTGTTTTCTTAGCGTGATATAAATTAATAATGTGACAAAAACAAATGATTTAGGGCTTAGCAATTGTGATGACGTGCTTCCCATTTATGTTGGAGATGACCGGACAGATGAAGATGCATTTAAGGTAAGATATAAATCACCATAAAATTGATATATTCTTGAGAGTCCTGTATGAGTTTAAAAATATATATATTAACAGAACCCATTTCATTGGCTATAACAGGTTCTGAGAGAGGGAAATCGCGGATATGGCATTTTGGTATCATCCGTGCCCAAGGAGGAGAGTAATGCAGATTTCTCCCTGAGGGATCCACAAGAGGTACAATTTATTTTTTTCTTTCTAAGATCAGAGATGCTTGATGCTGTGATAGATACACACAAAACGAAGATGTCAATTTCTTCTTTTGAGAAAACGTCAAAGGACATTTGGCCACAGAGTGGGAAATAAAATGGCATTTGAGAAAACTTGCTTCTGGATCTACCGACTTCGTTTTCTGTTTTCATGCTTGTGCTACTTGTCATAGTCAAACGAGTGTTTGGAGTTTTGTTTATTCAAAATGGATTACTAGCCTTTTCTACCTTTAATTTCTTGATTCGGTTGGATTTTGAAATTGATTATGCTGCTGCCTGTGAATGGTCCAGGTGATGGAGTTTCTTAAATCACTGGTGATTTGGAAGAAGAAAAGTGCTCTCTGAAATCTGAATACAACAAATAAATATAGAGAAGAATAAAAACTCTGATGCAAACGTGGAGCCTATATGTTTTCTAATAGTCAACACACGGAGGCTTTGGAGTGGAACTGCACAGAGGAGCTCCAGTAGTCTCCAGGACTGGTGCCTTACTCTTGCTACTGCTCAATTCTTCTTAACTGTATATTCCTGCTTTAATTATCTTTCTGACTGGTGCACAAAGGATGCTTCACTTATGAGATCAACCATTTATGTTTCCTCTTCTTTACCTTCAGTTTTGGTCAGCAGCTCTCTTCCAATGGAACACACTAAATATTTTTTCATTCTTTTAAAGTATAGAAATGCTTGTATGTATAAACTCCTCTTAGCTATACATATTTTCAAGCATTCTTCTCTATTATTTTTTCCTTAAAGTGTTTTTTTGAAGTGGTCCACTTGGGCTGGCTGAGGGCTTAACTAGAAGTTGATGTGTTTCTAGCAAATCAAAAGTTGAGTGAAACAGCTAGATTATCGGCTGGCTGAGTGTAATCTAGGCATGAATCAACTGTTTCTTCTGAACAGGATTAATGGAATCAATATTATTTTGAGTAAAAGACAACCTCCCACCCGCCATCAGAGTCACTCAATTACAGGGTTTATTTGTAGAATCCTAAGATTTTGCGAAAGAAAAAAGTTTCGAAGTACTCGGGTCAAGAGCATGGATTAGTAAATGAACAAGATTCCTGGAAAATTGGTTCACTGAAATTATCTTTCGGAGTATGTATAAATACATGGACACAAAACATACACGTTAATTTAACTAATGTTAAACTTACTGAATGACATTGCGCTGTAGTCCACTAAATTGAACCCAAGTGACAAGTTCCAAGTTTTCACTACACCTAGATGTGTCCTATTTTCGTCCGTCTTTCAATCTTTCTTCCTCCCTTACTTGTTCTTGGATAAGTACATTCAATGAATTACTGTTTTCCAACTTCAAGTGGCTGTTTCCTTGATTGTGGAGAAAGGCGAGTAAGAGACAAAGAGGACAGCCGGTGTGGGTTGGTGGTGGCAATCCAGGTCATACCACACCCCGTCTTCATGAACTTGATGAGCAATAACGTTGATATGGATGTGGTGGTTCCCTTCAATTACTCTACTCGTCTTTTCTCGCATGATGTCTCCATTTATTCTGAAAGACAATGGACCATGACATAAAACATGGATCCATCTTTGCTGAATGCTGGTTGTTAAAATAAGATCTTCGGGATGCACGTGGCCCTGGTTGGTGGCAAATTCAATTTTATCAAGTTTTTTAACAGCGAAAATTATATATAATATTTAATGCAAATATAAATAATAGAATTGAAATCTCAATTTTTCGGTTTCCCTAGAAAAGGATGTGACTAGTAGCTACTTCATTATTTGGTTGTCCTAATAGCTGAGTAATCACTGCTGAGAGATCCAAGAGCTAGAATTTTGGCAGGATCCATCATTTCGGAAGTGATACAGTAGAAATTTCATTCAAAGTAGATTAACACTGTTTATTCCTTCGGGAAGTGAAAAAGAGATTTGCATGCCTTCCAAAAATGATGTCTAGCTAATGTTTACTTAATAACAGACAAAACACTATTCAAGATTTGGAAGTTTTCAGGTCTCATGGAAGTAACTAAGTCTGTAAGTCATAAAGTTTAAAGGTCATCCGCACCAAACATTCTTCTTCAAGGCTTCATTTGCCTGTTTCAAATCGCCAGTGCGCTCGCAAAACAAGCTTGTACATGATAAGACTAGAATCTAACTAGTCTAAGAAGTCAGAAACCAGACAGAATCAGGGTTGGATTAAACTGAGTCAAAGAAGTCTTCTATAGTATATTTAGTTGATTTGACTGGTAGATTCCATATTTAGTTGCTCTTATTAATTCAAATATTAAAGTTTAAACTAATATATAATCAGGCTTGATGTGAAATACATCCTCTAGATATTGTTTCTTTAACCTTCAGCTTCTGTAGGGACAGAGCTGCATTTGACAGCAAGTAACAGCAACAAAAAAAAAAAAAAGAATAAATAAATAAATAACCTAGCTTCTAAAAGCTTCTGCAATTAACACTAGCTGGTTCATCCAATGAACTCGGGAAGTGCTTACGTAATGGTTGCTATATATTCTGATTCTGGAAGTTAGCTAGGCAAACTAGTTCATGCATGGTTGATGATTCTGATATGATTCGCCAGAAGAAGGGCCTGGATATAGTGTGATGGTAGTAACTTCTTGTTGTTATAATTGTAATTTTATTAAAAAAAAAAAGCAGCAGCAATTTAATTTTGTTGTTTGCCAAGAATGGACAAAACAAAAGACACTGATTTTAAACATCGCAAGATCCTATGAGCCTTACAGTGATGGTGTACTCTCAAATCCTAACAACCATTCCATCCTAAAAGCAGCACAAAGATTTCAAAAAGAAAACAACAAGCCTCCGAACTAAAAGACGAGTGATATTTACTCACAGCTGAAGAAGCACATGATACTTGTTTCAAATCAGAATAGTGGTAAGACAATTAATCCTGGATTCTAGGCTTTGTTTACTCAAGCATGTCACATGATGTTCCAAAATATATGTTTTTGAGATTTTAAGGTTCCATGTGAATCTGATAACTACCATTCCATTGAAAATTACCAAAGTCCAAGTACTGATTGAAGCGGAAAACACCATATATACATATATAGGAGAATTGCCTATTCTAATTTGTAATTTTAGAGGTTTTTGAATTGAAATTACACATATAAGAAAAGCTGGAATTTCCATGTAAGATATAGTTATCATTTCAACGTCAATTTTCCCCGACTTATGTGAATGTAACAATTGCTCTCATATAGAAACCAACAAGTAAATTATTTGTTCTTGAGTTATAAATTTAAGTCCTAGATTTCGTGTCCTTTTTTCTGAAAAGGAGAAAGTTTCACAAAAATAAATAAAATAAAATTTCTATATTTTAAAACAAAATTCCTCTTTCTTTTGAGAAAGATAATGCTATTTTTTATTTTTTATTTTTTTTATTAATTCAGAGAGGATAAAAAATAATCTCATGTTTATTACTAATTAAAACTTGAAATTAGATCAATTCATATAACTGAAAAATTATTTAATTTTTCTAATTTATGATAATGGAAAACTAGTTATTTTGATGCCAACTATTTTTGATAGACAAAATCAGAATCCACAAAAATGGGAAATTAGTACTATAACTTTATTAAATAAGATCACATGTTGTTTCAAAAGAAGGAAGGTTGTAGAAAGTAGAAAGCCATAGCCTTAGTAAGAGACAAAGGATGGAGCAAAAATCACTTTCCCATGACAGCATCATCACGATTCATAACCTTGGCCTAATTCTGACCACTATCAATTTTTTAAAGTCATTTTTAATCTCAGAAATCAAATTCAATATTGGTTGATTGTATTATTTCCTTCAACATTAATGCCAACCACCCAACTTCTTTGGGCTATCCAGAAAATTAACCATGTGATGATGGAATTGCCAAATGTCCTGTTTCATTTCATTGAGGTCCCCTCTCTCGTGATCCTTTTGGTTGTTCTATTAACTCCTTCGCCTGCTCTGTTTCAGCTATGCATTAGCTTCTCCTGCTTTATTTATTTATTTATTTATATGATCATCAAGTTGAAGATCAATTGCATTTATAGGTGAAGGCAGACAATGCCGGATTAATTAAGAAAATTAACTCTCCAATCTCCCAGACCAAAAACCAAGTGATTAAATACGATCATTAATAAATATTATGTAACAGATTCCTAACCCCAAGAGCTTCATCTTAGTTTGTCTACCTTTTCACCTGTCCTTCTTTGTTTCGCCGCAGAAAACACGAGATCTCTCTCTCTCTCTCTTCAACTACATTGGACAACCACCAATCCAAACTTAGCTATATTTACCCCACGATATACCAACCCTCTGCTGAGACATGTAAAGCTCCCTCTCTTCCCTCTATCTCGCTTTCTCGTTGCTCTATTTTAAACCCTCCGTTACCCTTTTCTCCTTTTGTCATTGCTCATTGTACTTGTAACATCTCTTCAACAAGTAACCATCCACAAGCTAGCTCTCTTAACATGGAGGCCAGCACCTCCCATGACGCTGAAGAAAACTCCGCAGCATTCTATGCTCCCTTGCTAGACCACCGCGAAGCGCTAGCGACTCGGGGGAAACCCGTTAACGGTTTTGCAGTTATCTCTGCCTCCGTCATTTTCCTACTTTCATTGGTTACATTAATTTTTAACCAAAGCCAAGAACCATTACCAACGCCCAACAAGGGACCGTCACCTTCGCCCACGTCAAAACCTGCTTCGTTTTCAAAGGCGCTGCCAAGAGGGGTCGCTGAAGGTGTCTCATCCAAGTCAAATCCATCTCTTTTGGACGAGGTTTCGTTTAATTGGACAAACGCTATGTTTGCTTGGCAAAGAACTGCCTACCACTTTCAGCCTGAAAAGAATTGGATGAATGGTAGGTAACATAACATTTTTTTTATTTTTATTTGCTAACTAAAGTTCTAGATCACTTTCAAACTGTACTATATTGAGGTTTCTGAGTACGGAAGTTAATTAGATTGTGGAGTTAGCGCTTTTTGTCCTCCTTCCCATAGTTGAAAATCAGACATTTCATTTTAGTTTTATTGTTTTAAATGATGATTACTTTCTGTCTTGTTTTTTGTTTGCTTTCTAATGATCAGTCTTTTCTTATTATTGCGCGTTGGTTGGGGGAATTTGGATATCCTGCTTCAGATCCTGACGGTGAGTTTCTCATTATCTCATAACAAAACTACTTTACTTTTTTTTTTCGCTTCCTTACCACAATTTGAGCCCAAATTTTTTTTTGTTTTTGATAAGCTAACAATCCTAGGGAGGCGCATCATTAGCCCTTTATGATTACTATTTAATCATTGCACTTTTTTAGAAGCAACGTGAACTAAATTTGGATACAAAGCCTGCAAGTGTTATACTATACATATTTAGAGATTATAAAGAATCACTCTATAACTTATATTAAAAAATTAATTAATCTAAAAGTTTTAAAATCAGCGACGAAATTAAATTCTATAAAATTAAAAATAACGATAAAAAAAAATTTAACTACTATAACAATGATACTGTATTATCCAACCGTTCATGCCATTGTGCTAAGATTTTGGTTGTTTTAGGATTGATTGAAGAGAAATACTCCCACATTTACCAATTACAAATAATCTCATCTTTGTTTTTTTTTAATAGTGGTCTCCTTCACGTGGCTCCCTAATTATAGCATTTGTCAGTAGATTCTTTTAATGTATAGATACGGTCCGTACGGATAAATGACCATCAAATAATGTTAAGCTAAGAGAAATTGTTCCTTGACCGTTTGGTTTGCAGTCCAACTAGTTTTACAAACTAACCCAAAAAAAAAAGGAAGTTTGGTAGCATGTGATTTTATGGAGGAAAGATATGGTGGCTGCAGGTCCATTGTATCACAAGGGATGGTACCATCTTTTCTATCAATACAACCCTGATTCAGCTATATGGGGCAACATAACATGGGGCCACGCTGTGTCGAGGGATCTCATTCATTGGCTCTATCTCCCACTCGCCATGGTTCCCGACCGCTGGTATGATATCAACGGTGTGTGGACGGGGTCCGCCACTCTCCTGCTAGATGGCCAAATCGTCGTGCTTTACACCGGCAGCACCAATGAGTCGGTGCAGGTGCAAAACCTTGCCTACCCCGCCAACCTATCTGATCCCCTCCTCATTGATTGGTTAAAATACCCGGGTAACCCGGTCATTGTTCACCCAACCGGGATTGAATACGATGAGTTCCGGGACCCGACAACAGCTTGGCTTGCACCCGATGGTACCTGGCGGATCACGATCGGGTCAAGATTTAATTCCACCATAGGAATCTCTCTAGTATATCAAACAACAAATTTTACGGATTATGAATTATTAGACGGGGTTTTACATGCGGTTCCGGGTACAGGTATGTGGGAATGCGTAGATTTTTACCCTGTTGCAATAAACGGGTCGGTGGGGTTGGACACGTCCGCATTTGGACCAGGAATTAAGCATGTGTTGAAGGCTAGTTTGGATGATACAAAGGTGGACCATTATGCACTTGGGACTTATGACCCGGTAACGGATAAGTGGACACCCGACAACCCGAAAGAGGATGTGGGTATCGGGTTGAAGGTGGATTACGGAAGATACTATGCCTCAAAGACATTTTTTGATCAACATAAACAAAGGAGGGTTCTTTGGGGTTGGATTAATGAAACTGATAGTGAAACAGATGATCTCGAAAAAGGTTGGGCTTCCGTTCAGGTACACACATTCATACTTGATACTACTCATTAATATAGTTAGGATTTATTAGTTAATTAAGTTTATATTTGATGGCATAAAGTTAATTAACTTGAATTTTAACTTGAAACCGAAATGATTCCCCACATTTGTTTCTGTATTTTACAGACAATTCCCAGGACGGTTCTGTTTGACAGCAAGACTGGAACCCGTTTGCTTCAGTGGCCAGTGGAAGAAGTAGAGAGCTTGAGATTGAACAGTACAGTGTTTAAGGAAGTGCTTGTTGAACCAGGATCAGTTGTGCCTCTTGACATAGGCACCGCCACTCAGGTTTTGTTTTTTTTTTTTAGCACCCCATAAAAATGAAGTCCTTTAAGTACTTCTATGTTACTGCTTGCAGTAACTCTCAATTATCTCAACTCTCAACTCACCAGTATTTTTCTTGAAAACATTACAGCTAGATATATTAGCAGAGTTTGACATAGAGTCATTGGTATCTAACACCACGGACGAAGATAGTGATTGCGGTGATGGTGCGGTTGACAGGAGCACTTTTGGGCCATTTGGAGTCCTGGTTATTGCTGATGATTCACTTTCTGAGCTCACTCCTGTATATTTCCGTCCCGTTAATACTTCTGATGGCAGTCTCAAGACTTACTTTTGCGCTGACGAAACAAGGTTTGCTTCTTTATTTTATTTACATGCTTTTTTTTTTTTTTTCAGCTTTCGCCTAGCAAGAAAAATGTGAGCCAAATAAATTGTTTGATGCAGGTCTTCTAAAGCTTCCGATGTCTTGAAAGAAGTGTATGGAGGCAAAGTTCCAGTGCTTGACGATGAAAACTACAAGATGAGGGTATTGGTAAGGGAGAAATGTTCTGTCAGATTGATAGACCTTTTACCTTCTACTAGGTTGGAAGACATGTGTTTAAAGATAAAAATTGAGTTATAAAATGTGTATTCAGGTGGATCATTCAATCGTGGAAAGCTTTTCTCAAGGAGGTAGGACGGTGATCACATCAAGAATTTATCCAACGGAAGCCATCTATGGAGCAGCAAGGGTATTCTTGTTCAATAATGCAACGGGAGTAAATGTGAAGGCTACACTCGAAATATGGGAAGTGAATTCAGCCTTTATTCGTCCTTATTCTTTTGAGGAAACCTTGTAGAAATGAATGCTTCCTGTGCCAATCCCACGTGATGCTGCAACATCAATATTCTTTCCAGAAATTTTCTGGCAGGGAAAATCCTAGTATTATGTTGTTTCAAATTTTATTGCTCGGGGTTGCCATGTAGTTCATTTTGTACTTGCGGGTTTATTAATATATTTTGGTTTTATTTCGGAAAACAAATTAATAAAATTTGAGATTCTTCATAATTAATTTACCTAGGGTTATCGCAGTCAACCTATAAATTTGTTTCCTTTATTTTATCTATCGCCTGCACCTTTAAGGTGAGGGTATGAGGCTACCGCCCAAAGCTGTCACTAGTATTAAATTCTAAAAATGGAAGAGTTATTGTAGAACAGAGTGTGTTTATTTTGTTTCAAGGAAAAAGCTCTTTGACCACATTGGTGTTTGGTAAGGCAACCAATAACCAAATGTTAATGCAAAAATCTGTCAAACCAAAATAATAATAATAAAGAAAAAAATGAATCTGCCGAGCAAGTATCAGCCAGGCCCTAAATAGACCGCACATATAGATTCTATGGCAGAGCTACTAGAAAGTTGAACAAAGGTTTCCAAAAATTTCCAATATGTTTCCTAGAGCCTTACTCCTATCCTATCCTATCCTTGAATATGGGTTCGGCTGTTAGCTAATATTAAATCTTATGATTAAAATATAATTTTAAAGAGAAATTTCAAATGCTTAATGAGATGGCAGGATCTCCAACTGTGTCTAACACGATTAATTTTCTGGCCTATCTTCTGGTAAAGCTAGATATAAATGTCTTTTGTTTTTATCTTGTATATAAAACCAATGATTAATGATTAAATAATGTTTTCATGTTTTAATTTGATACATAAGGTTTTAGTTAAACGTGTATTAAAAGAATCTTCTCTAATTAAAATGAACTTGTTAATCGTTTAATTTAATTGGTTCATTATCAATTGGTTCACGTAGAACTCTTAACTTTTGTGCTGTATTTTAAACAACTTTGTGGGTGTTTGATGCAGAATGGACTTTGGTCAGTGGATTGAAAGCAGTGGAGACAATAATTATAATATTAATAATAAAAAAAAAAATGGGATGCGATTTCTCGCTGCACAACAGAGGATCGTTTTTCTAACAAAAACACTTTTACCTTGCACACCGCAAAGGCAAGTGCTTAATTGTCTTTGGTGGTCACAATTTTAGCTTCAATTTTCACTTTAAGATCATTGTCGGGAGCTGATAATTCATAAGCCTTCTGTATGTTGTCGAAGGGGTTTGTAACTATTCACCGTTATTTGTGTTTCAAAATTTGATAGTTAGATTAGGCGTGCGAGTTAAGTCACTAGACATTATTTTTGGTGTTAAAAAGTTTTGTCTTTAGACATTTTTGCAAGTGAAGTCTATCCTATTGTCATTTAGGTCACTGGGGATCCATCATTAATCTTATGTACTTCCAACTCACATACCCATTCTCAATGCCATTGGACTCTATACTTAAATTTATCGAATATATCTTCTTTGTTAAAATATTTTGCTTTCTGTGCTTCCTAAGTTGCTTTATTGGTTTAGGCGGCCCATTGAAGTTTTGTTAATTTTCGAACAGAGCAATTATTTGATTTAATAAATGATTAATATTATGCTATACCTTAACCTACGTCAGTATTACTTGTCTTGATCTTGTAAGCAGAGATATATCCGTATAAAGGGGACTTTTTTTAGGAATAACAAAAAATTAAAGGTAAACTGTGTTCAAATTGATTCCTCGAACATTTTAATTTTCTTGATTCTGTAACATGACTTTAATAATGAAGTGATGGTATCATAATCTTGATTCAAATTTTCACAAAATGGATTAATCATCGACTTTTAGTGTGTGCCTGGCCAAGGTAGCTTTTACATGGATTTGGGGATTTGATCAGTTTAATTAGCTTGTAAGGAAAATGAGGATTAAGAATATTCTTTCAAACACAAGAATTAATAATATTCTGCGAGCAAAGAGGTAGAGCCTTAAGAGCAAAATCTAGCTAGCTAGGCAGATTGCTGGTATTGAGAAGAGAGTACCCAACTGTAATCGGGTCAGCAAATATATAGCATGCATAAGCTATATATCATTCTATAAGTTACTGGTTTATTCTTAGTCTCACTCTGCATGAAATGACTTCTATACATATGCATCTGCTCTATATCCTTCTTCCTCATCATCCAATTTTAATTAAGATGCTGCTCATATGTTGCCTTTTAAACACCTTCCTGGTAGCATAACAAGAAAATTTTGGGGCTTTTGAATTCTTTTAAGGACGAGTTCGGTGTTCATATATAATTAGCTTATAATTCTCTGGAGGTCTGACAACTTGCTTTTCATACTCATGTTCATGCATTCCTAGCTAGCCGCTTTAATTTGGCCTCTATGTTTTGCTAGCTAGCTAAGTTGTGTTAATTCAAGTGATATATATCTCTTTAATTATATATATATATGGGAAATTAAGAAGAAGTAATTACTACTTACTTAATCTTTATGGTGTCTTTGGACTAAATATTAGCAGAAACCTATACTATATAGCCACCACTAGAAACTTAACTTCCAGCAATATTTTAGGCTGATTGAACTATTTGAGTGCCTTCTACGCTTGAAAACAACTATATTTGAGTGCGTATCTCATTTGCCAAACTTTCCAGCAAAGCTAACCTTCAAGTAATCAGTTAGTTCGCATTCTCGTGATTGCATAGTGCAAAAGTCTTTTCAGTTTATTATTGTTTCCTACAAGTTTGGATGATATTTTATAAAAGCCGAGACATTGATTGTGCATGGTCCCATAAGATGTTTGTCTGATATATGAATATTAATTAGAAGCATTGCCAAAAACTTTTTGGAAATTTTTTTTTTTTATTTTCTTATGTGAAATTGTACTGAATTAAGCACTTAAATTTGCTTTTCTTATAATCTTCTCTAGCAATCAATAATCCACTAGAAACTATTTTAAAAACAAACATTGATCTAGGTAGAAATTTAAAAGCCTAACGCCAAGAAAGAGTCAAAGCAAAGTTACCCTAAACACTACTATTTCATTAACTTAAACATATACATATCTGATCAACTGCCGGGTTGATCAATAAGTAGTAATGCCTCTGGCTGTTATACATATATAAACCGTAGGGGCATAATAAAAAGCCTTTACTTGCAAACAACAATGCTGCAATTAACTCAATTCCTTACAGCAACACTCCACCTAGCTACCTATACCAATATTTCTTCTTGGTAGAAACAAGTTTTCTTTCACTGACTACTATTTCATACTACTAGGGAAAAGCTTGGAGCTCAACAGTTGAAGTTAAGCTTTTTTATACAGTTTAATTACGTACAGAAAATTTAACTCGTAACTTCCCTTTTTTTTCTTCTTTGAAACTGAATACCCTATGATCAGTACTATATACTGTCGAAATAAGTTAAACAAAGGACCGGTCACTTCCACAGGTCAATCTGACAACTGCATGTTGATGATGGTGCATTTTCCGGTACCATTTCTTGTCTGTTCAAGTGTCTGATGAGCAAATTTGTCTGCTCCGATGAATGGAAAACATTATTGGCATAAGCACTTGAGTAGTTATTTTCCTTGGCAACTTCTTCTTGACTGAGCTGAGAAGCCACAAACTTGTCGAGGACGCGCCAATCAGTCACTTGATCCTCCGCTTGCTCATTGCTGCTGTTACCATAGAGTGCATGCAAACGTTGCCCATGAGTTTGTTGAATATGATCTTCGTGTGTCATGGATGAAGACTGTAGAGTGTTCGCATTGTTCATGTCTAGGCCAAATGCAACCATAAAATTGCAGTTTACGGCACCCGGTCCCTGGTGTAGTTTCGGGCTTTCTAGAAGTGGTAGCTGGAGGCGATTCTCATGCGGAACTTGGTACTGCAAATCAAGCTCTTTCTTGCGGGAAATGGGAAGGTGGTAAGCCATATTAGACTGGGATGTTTGCTTTGGTGAATCTAGATCTGGAATGAAAGAGACTTCATCATCATACCAACATGGAGATTCATGCTCACTGACTTTGCGCATAGTCGTTATTCTCTTCTTGAATACCCTACACACAACCCATCCTTCTTCCTGCTTCATTGATCAGGAAAAAAACCCAAATTAATAATTTTGCATATAATTTCATCTCATTAAAGTACAAATATAGGTGAATAGGTACAATTATATGAACTTAATACATAATTAACACTATTTCAATAACCAGAAGTGCAATTACTAATCTCTCTAAATATTTTTAGTTTTTACATAATCTCAGTGTAATTAAGAGTAAATAAGAAAACAAGCATATATGTATAGGCAAATCCTTTCAGGAAAAAGCCAAAGCATGCGTCACTACATATTCCTCTCAAGTAAATTTAAGTAGTAATTGAAAAGACTTGCCTGTGGAGTTCCATTTTCATCTGTTTCAAGCCGATACTCATGCATAATCCAGTCTGACTTCTGTCCATTCGGGGCTCGACCTTTATAAAAGACTAAGGTCTTCCTCATCCCAATCAAGTCATGCTTAGAATAAATAGCCTTGTCTCTACCCGTTGCTTTCCAAAACCCAGCTGCAGTGGCTCTGTTTGTGCGAGTTCCAGTTGGATACTTCTTATCCTTATGGCTGAAGAAATACCATTCATTTTGCTCTTCTGTCCCTATTCTGCATAAATCTGTTCAAAATTCATGACAAACTATATTTAGTTTCATTTAGCCTTAACTTGTATTCTATATAGGTTTAGAAAAATTATGAAGTCTTAGATACCTTGAAGATCCCATGGCTCAATTTTATAGAGATCGACATCTTTAATTACATCTAGGTCAATCCTTCTTGAAGTAATTTTCTTCTTAAGGTAATAGTCGACAAGTTCTTCATCTGTGGGATGGAAGCGAAAGCCTGGGGGAACTTGTGAAAATATATCCATCTTCTCCTGCTTAGGCCTTGAATCCTGCAAATCCATGCAAGAGAATACTTCTTATCAGCACAGTAAAAATTTAATACATGATACATTAATAATTTTGTTTTTTCCATTAACAATGACTAATCATCTTGAAATATTAATTAATCTTTTGCACAGATTCAGAATGTGTATACAAATGGTTTTCCTCTTTTTGCTAGACGCAGCAGCTTTAGTTAGCGCTAGGTCATTCAACTTGGGACATGAAGTTGGCTTTGATGAACAAGAAAAAAAAAAAAAACTGTTTTCCATGTTTGATAACTTTCTGCAGTTCCGACAACAAATCAACTATAAACCAGCATTCTAAGTAAAGGGGAGAATGATTAATTCAGGGATAAGGAAGTTGCTATGAGCAAAACCTAGCTTTTAGTACTTTTGTGGTAATCAGAAGTTCCATCAATAAGAAGGGAAAATTCCACTATATATTTTATTCTCAATCAGCAAGACATGATGAGTATATATGAAAATATAAACAAATCATCATATAAATCGTAAAATTCATTTTAAAATCACGTATCAAATTTCATGTCTAAGAATCTTTCATGCATTGATGAAAACAACAGTTTCTAATTTGGAGTTGCCTACATTAATTTCATGTGTGTAAGAAATAGAATATGACCATAAGACATCTTTATGAGAAGAAACTGATCGTTTAAGGATTAATCATAGTTTGAAACTATCCTTGGAATCGATCAATGTGGAAAGAAAATATATGGTACTTTTTATCATTTTTTATCTCTTTTAAAATAGACAATAGAGCAATACGACTATGATCGCATTGGACTAAATGAAGAAATGTAAAAAAAAAAAAAAATTCTTAAATACAGGAACAAAAACAGTTCATGAAACTTGCAAGATAAGTCTAGTTTCCAAGAATTAAATGAGCATATGGTAACTTATTTTTGTTTTGTTTTTCTTTTCTTTGTGATAATTTCCGATACTAGAATGCAAATTAAATTTAAAGGCTTGTTCTAGCAGATTGAATGGCTTACATTATCATTGAAATAGGAATATTTGATGCAGGTCAATAAGACAATAACATAATGAAGACAAGTGAACAAAATCGTGTTTGTAACATTATATATGCATATGTAACAGTCCTTTTGTTTCCTTTCGCTTTATTTATTTATTTTTTTAAGGAAATATGATGAACATGGATGTGTTCCTTTTTCTCAAGGCCAAATGAGTGTAGCTCAAACTTTGTCTGTTGGACAGTGTGAATAGTTTAGGTAAGATGAGAAGAAAATTTTTAAATCCGATGCACTTAATTAAATGTTAATGCAAATTACATTTTTAAGCCAAAGACTGTGAGGGCAAGATATCTTATAAGCAAAAGATATTTGAGTCATCAGTTTTTCTAAAGTTTTCATTTAACTAGAATGTAAGGAAAGCTATCAATTGTCAACTTAATAATGAAAAAGTTGCATATAATCATGATAGATTCAAGTAGTTGAAGCTTAAAAGCAAGAAAATTAGGTTGGCTTTTTTTCTTTTTTTCAGCTTCCTTTGGGAAAAAAAAAAGAAAGGTAAAATCATCTAACGTAGTTTCTCATCATTCTTCTCTTGTTATTACCGCAATATGTTACATAAACAGAACAAGGTTGAATATAGATGAACGATGATGCAGGCCCACATGCAGTGAAATTGAAATTACACAGGCAAATTCTCATAATTTTGAATTTGGATTTGTCATGGAGTAATAAATTCTCTATGCCACGATCATTATGCATTTGATAAAACCTTTATCGTTATTGCTATTGTAAAATCATGACATTGTTGACCTCACAATTAAAAACGAAAGCTATTTAAGAATTAAAAATGTTCATTGCGGCTCTCTCCCCAAGAGATAGTGTTTAATTTGGGATGATGAAACTTAATGGAATCAGCATGCATGCTTTCGCAGTCTAAAAAAGTCTAGAAGAACATATTAAGGGCAGAAAAAAAGCATATGAGAAGTACAAATGTTTATTTTTGCTGAATGAAGTATGATAATCATGGGATTATGCAAGTTTAATTTTCCCAAAGTGGTATAAGTATGCCATGATGAAATGGATTAAAGATCCACTTTTCATCAGCAAAGAAAAACTTGTAGATCTGCGCTCAAAGAAGGTTTTCGCCAAATTAAATTCATCCCTTAACGTAAAACCAAACACACAATATTTTATACATTCTAAAGAAAAGTATATAATTGTCAAAGAGAGAGAGAGAGAGCTCACGGATCAAGCAACCAAAGATCTCTAGCTCTTTATAACCCACTGTTCTGGGTTGGTTGAATCTTCCAGCAAGAATCAAGAAACCCTTTTTTTTTTCTCCCAAAATATATTGATCAGGAGACTCCAAATTTGGACAAGAAGACAAAGACAAAGAAACAAACAAGTACCAATAAATTAGTAGTACTAGGTATTTTGTGGCCTCAGGAATTGAACCAAACTGTCTTTCGTACTCTCCGATAAAGCGTGTACCTGAAAGAGTCGCTCAAGTTGGATCGAATCCCGAGGAAGAAAGAGAGAAAAGAAATGGGTACAAAAGGGGAAGGTTTGGAGGTGGAAGAATGGAGGAGTAGGGTTAAATAGGAAGCAAAAGAAAAAGAAAAGTAATAGAGAGAGAGAAACCCTAATGATCAAGAATTGGTGTGATATATCTTAGTAAGCCAAGTGTTTTCATTATCATAAGCTTTCATTTTCTCTCACTGTCGGTTTGGAGCTAAATTGATGCAAAAGCTTTGGGTGGAAAAAAGGTGGCACAAGATTGGCTGAGACAAAGAGTGAGATACTGCCACCACCTGATCCACCCGCAAATGATAGAGACCCAAAAGAGAGAACGTTTTTCTGTTTCAAATTAAGGTGTCTATAGCTCCAGTTCTTGAATAAGACCCTGGGAGAGAGAAAGAGAGAGGAGACGTTGAAGTCAGGAAGTAACGGCACAGACCAATCAGAAAATGCACTGAAAAGGGTCCAGAAGACCCCGAAAAGAGAGAAAGAAAAGTCACACACATACACAGACACAGACACAGACACACACACACACACACACACACACATATATATATATATATATATAAAATAGCGGTGAATCGTGATATTGGTGGGTGACGTAATGGAACAGCTACCAGCCAAAATAAGCTCCAAAGGCAAAAGGTCTACCTGGGTCTGAATGTGGCATGGTGGCCCCTCTGTTAGCCCAAGCTCCATTCCTGGTCCCTACCATTTCCTCCCTTTCTTTCAAGTGTTAAACTTTGATAAATCACAATGATGATGTTGGAGTCACCCTTTCCCCATGGCCATATTTTGTGGTCTGCTTAGCTAACTCTAACATCCTCCCATGGAGTTTACTCTTGATTTAGCTAAACATTCGATCAATGAGTGCAAAAGTTGCTACCTTCACCTACTTAGTTGGTTAGTTGGCATTGAGAAATAACAATAATAATAATAATAATAATAATAATAATAATAAGAAAGAAGAAGAAGAAGAAGAAGAAGAAGAAGATGATGATGATGATGTGGCTCACCCGCTAAGCTAATGCTAAGTATAAAGTAAAATCTATTTATAGACAGACTCATCTCCTTAATGAATGTAATTTCCAGTAAAGCAATAATTAACCAAGTGGAATTTACTCGTTCGATTACAACTGGACTGTTCTCTGTATCAAAATGGTAAACAAAGGAGCTTTGCTAATATATGAGGATCGATCAAAGAGTGAATGAAAATATGAAAGGATAGAATCTAAAATTTAATCTAATTTATTTGTTATTATAATAATTTTAAAATTTAAATCTTAAAAACCGTAATTTTAATTAAAAAAAAAAAAAAAAAAGAAATGAGGGCTCCTGAATTTCTGCACGTGGCGGCTTGCGGTCTGGCGTGGGCTACCCACTATCATTAAGCACGCAACTTGACGGGTGTTGTTAGAGATGTGCCATGGGCCGCGGGTCCCTATATGTGGTCCCTTTTCCTGGGTCCTAACTCCTAACCCCACGTCCTACTCTTTTTGTCCCAAATTTTAGTCCCACGTGAAATTTAGCAAAGCTGCTAGGTAGTTTTTTTGGCCAGAAAGTTGCTTGTATTGATTGCCACTTAATTCCTATATGTGAAGGCACCGACAAGATATCAGATAAGCAAATGCGGTAGCACGCAATATTGCTAAAATTATTGTAATTTACATTCTGAAGTTCGGTGGCCCTATTGTAATTTATATTTCTTAATTTTTGTTAATGCAAAGTTTATTTTTTTTCATAAAGAAAAAGAACCCTTGATTGTCAATCATCGAACATTTTTACTTCTTAGCATTGATGCAATAATCCTAACATTGCACTGACATTCAAAATATGGTTTTCTTAAAATGAGTATCCAAACTTTTTTCTTCCTTCTCTTCTTCTTATGTATTGTTAATTTCAAGAAAAATAAACCTATATATGCACATATTCTCTACATTAATTTACTAATTCCAATTGAAATAACATCAATAATTCCCTTCATTATAAATTTGAAGATCTCTTTGGTTAATGAAACGCACCGGTTTGGATGATACGATACTAAGTCACTATTTTATTTAATCTTATTTCAATAATGAATATCACATAATTAAGATACAGTTTTAATAACATTAGCAAAATCAAGATATATATATCTTTTTAAAGGGCTTTCCAGATGTTCAATGAATTATTAGTTGAATAATATTAGATTTGTTTTCAAATAAAAAATATCGAGTTTAAATCTTAGATGCTGACGTGGAACCGTTTGGATCGCAGAACTTGGCCGCAACAAGGGGGAAGCGGGTTCTCTAATTCAACTTGGGTCGCACTTAGATGTCGCAAAATATTTTCCTCATCATGGCTAATCCCTCGGGAGATTCTATGCTTACCTTTTCCCAGTCTTTGAAATTGGGCCACGTGGCCAGTCTCTATACGTAAAATACTCCAGAGTGGTGGGTTGGGCAGCATTTTTATATCAATGGGCTATGTAGGGCCCAAGTTACTTTGGGCCAATCGTTTCCCTGACTTCAACTTCAATGGCTATAGGGCTATGGATTGGAAATAAAAAGAAAAATTCAAAGGACGCATGGGGACTTGAAACTTGAAAGAGATTAGGATGGAGTATGTAAACAGAAAAAAGAAGGGTTAAACTTTTGGTATCAAAGTAACTTAAGGTAAGCGGCAAGCGAGATATTATTGAAGCAGAAAGGCAACGTTGCTTTTGCTTTTCCATTTAAAAGGTTGTTTAATTTAATTAATCCAATTAATTACCTTTCCTGGTTGGCAAAATCGCTGGATGCTTAATTTAATCCCACATATTCAAATTACAGACGTCATGTATGTCTACTAATGCTTATATTGTTTTTTTTTTTACAAAAATACCTTTTTGTTCTATTTATCTTGGCTTGGAAAAAATAATAAAACCCAAACATTATGTGATGAAAATCATCATTTTATTAAAAATGCATCTCAGTTATTTGATTACTGATCCAACAAACATATCTACTAGAATTTACAAAACCAAAATAGGAAAAGAAAAATAAACTATATTAGAAATATAGTTTATGTACGAGTCTTACTGACAAATGCAAGTTCCAAATACACTGAAACCAGCGCTCACCACCGTGCACGTGGCCTCCGCTTTCTGTATTCTTTTGTTTGAACAGATCACAGAATCAATCTGCCTTTCAGGGAATAAAGCAAATGCATGCTTCATTACAAAGCGATTTGGTCATCCGTCATCTCTCCATTCATAATTGGATTCGGATACATTCATCTTTGAAATTTAACCCGTGCTTATATATTTCTTCCTAATCGGACATGTTCAAGTGGAGAGAGAGTACAAGGATTATTAATTTTAAACAACACAAACGTTTAAATATCATGAGTGTAATACAAAAGGTTATTAATGTTAGGAGTGGCGGCAATGGCGATGGGGTTGGTGGCAAGGATAGCTTCGCATGAATATGGTGACGCATTAACAAAGAGTATTTTGTTCTATGAAGGCCAGTGGTCCGGGAAGTTGCCTCCTACTCAAAGGGTGACCTGGAGGAAGGATTCTGCTCTTCGCGACGACTTTGAGATTGGCGTTAAGTCTTTCTATATCTCCCATACTAGCAAAGATTGTAATTTCCAAAGCCATTATTGGTTACACTTTGTTATTAATTCCTTTTACCAAATTTGTAAAAAATAAAAAAATAAAAAATTTAGAATAAAACCAAACATTAATGGATTTTATTGTCCAAAGCAGCAGGAAAAACCTGCTATAAAGTAACAGCAGAGTAGAATACTTATGGTTCTCTTACATACATATATACATACATATTTTATATATCTCATTTGGAAATGTAGTTTATATGCATGTGAATATCAAGCAAATTAGCCCTAAAAGTTAAAATAAAAGGATTCCAAGTCTAATGATGATAACTTAGACTTACATTAGCAAGAGTTAAAAGTGTCCAGCTGAATGGCGAAATGAGTGGTGAGATAAAGAGCAGGTGATATCCATTTGTAATTACAAATGCTTGATTCAAGCACGCATGACGTAAAGCTAACTTTTAAATAAGTTATGTTGGACTAATTGAAAAGAAAAAAAAAAAGAAAAAGAAAAACATAGCCATGGTGTGCTAGCATGTGCGTGAGACAAGTTCTTATATTTCATGAGATTCATGCCTGACTGATACAAGTATAAGAGAATTTCTTTGTTTCCTTTTTGTTTCTCTTTTATCTTCTCAAATGAAAATTTTAAACAACAATTTCAGTTTGGAATATACATAGCAGGATTTGATTTTTTTTCCCACTTCAAAATCTTTATATGGATCAACTGAAATTATGTAAAATAGACCATAAAAACTGCAGAAATAAATAATTTTTGTTTTGGTATCACATTACATGCTTTTTCATTCTCAGGTTGATTTGGTGGGAGGTTACTCTGACGCTGGTGATAATATTAAATTCAATTTTCCAATGGCTTTCTCCATAACTATGCTAGCTTGGACTGTACTACAGTTTGGCCAATCCATGGGCTCAGATTTGCAACATGCATTGGAGGCAATCCAGTGGGGAACCGATTACTTGCTTAAAGCCACAAGCATCCCTGGCTTTGTTTTTGCTCAAGTTGGCGATCCTTATCGTGATCACAACTGCTGGGAGAGGCCTGAAGACATGGACACTCCTAGAACCCCATATGCAGTCAATAAACAGTTTCCAGGGTCAGAAGTTTCGGCTGAGATAGCTGCCGCGCTTGCAGCCTTTTCAATGGTGTTTAGACCTATTAATCATGGATATTCGGAAAGGCTCCTCAAAAGAGCAAGAATGGTAAAAGGTAGTATTAATTTCTTCAGAATATCCAATTATAGCTAGGAACTTGTTCAATGAGTAACAATTGTGCTCGGATTAGGTTTTTAAATTTGCAGATAAGAACAGAGGATCATACAATGATAGTCTTGGACCATGGGTGTGCCCATTTTACTGTGATTATAGTGTATGTCAGGTTAGTGTTCTGTTCGGGGAAACAATAAGCACTCAAATTATCAGTATAATAGATGACTTACCTTGGTCACAAATTTCGATTTAAAGCCTAGAGCTTCTAAGTGGAACTGGAAATGCTTTACAGGATGAATTAATTTGGGGAGCAGCATGGTTACTCAGGGCAACGAAGACTCCCTATTACTGGAATTATGTTTTGGCCAACATTCAAAACTTGGAGAAGCTGGGTAGCTTAGCGGAATTCGGATGGGATACCAAGAACGCTGGCATCAACGTACTTGTTCATGTGTTTACTGACTTTTTGTTATTGTAAGAAAGTCTGAAAACTTTGAAATCAATGTAATAATTTTCTGATCTGCTGGCAGTTGATTAACAGTTCCAACTCCATATCTTGAACCTTTCGTTACCAACGCAGACAAGTTTGTTTGCTCTGTGTTGCCTGAATCACCAACTGTGTCAGTCTCCTACTCACCAGATAATCCCAAAGCCAATTGAAAATTCTTTATTAAACTCACCAAGTGGCCAAGATTTGCCTGAAATTAGAAGTTTCAACTGAGGATGCATAACAGAAGGGATTTTTTAAAATTAAAAATAAGGGTAAAACGTATATCCAACTTCTTTATACTTGATCACATGGTTTAAGATAACAATTACTTCCTCTTTTAGTTTCAAATGTTTTTAAATGTTCTTACCCTTTAAAATAGTTTGCTAATTAAACATTTAAAATTAATTAATAATATTTAAAAATAAAAATATTTGACTTAAAAAAATCAAAGTTGAACGAACAAGATGAAGTTATGGATTAAACAAATCCAAGACTTTCTTGCTTATTACTTTATTTATTTATTTGAGTCCAATGACTGGAATATAGAATAGGGTAGCTCCCTTTCTATAAACCTTCTTATTTTTGGTGAAGGCAGAATTTAATTCCAAATTCTTATATAAGTTTTACCGGTTAAGATTGTTAATATAATTTGAAATTATTTATTCATTAAACATGTATCAATTCTAGCTTATTTTGAAATGTATGACTTTGGTCGCAATAGAATAAATGCCAAAATTTTACCTTAATTGTTAATTAGTTTTATAAATTTACTAGTATAAGGAGATATTATAATTATAGTCAAATACTATATTTCATACAAAAAATCAATGAATCAAATCACAAATTAACAGACGATATAACATCTACTTAAATAAATCTAATATAAAATTAAATTAAATCTATATAGTGAGACTAAAACTTGAGATTTCAAGATTTTAGAATCTCTTTTTTACCACTAAAATAAAATCTCCCTGACTAATTGTTATTTGTTTTTCTTGCAAAGGCATGTATATCTCCCCAGGTGGGCTCCTTATTAAACCTGGAGGAAGCAATTTGTAACATGCAACTGCTTTGTCCTTCCTTTTCTTGTCTACAGTCGCCCTCTGAGTAAAGCCAATCGGGCGATCCGTTGTGGAAATATTGTTGCATGCCCTGCCAGGCTCACAAAAGTTGCAGGAAGCCAGGTACCAAATTAATGTCCATTTATATGCCTGTCTTGCTATTTAAATTCATATAAGAACCAATTAAAACCCCTTCTAAATATAAAATAAATCTCACATAATATGCCATATTAGTCCAAAAGTTATCAGTTTTGTTTTTGGAATCATATTGGTGCAAGTGGATTACATTTTAGGAAGCAGTCCATTGAATAATTCATACATGGTGGGATATGGCAAGAAGTTCCCACAAATGATACATCATCGGAGCTCGTCTTTACCTTCCATTACTCAACATCCTCAACACATTGATGTTGGAGGTGGAGACATCTATTTTTCAAGCAACAATCCTAACCCTAATTTGCTAACAAGACCCATTATCGGAGGACCTGATAGCAAGGATTCTAATGCTGATTCCAGAGCCGATTTTGCGCACTCAGAGCCAACCACATACATTATGCACCTCGCGTTGGGCTTTCGGCTTACCTCAAATCACATCAACCTTGTTCGAATTTCTTGCAACTCATTTTGATTAATAGAAACATATGTTGATTTTCAGTAAGATATCAAATCACACGGTATATATGAAATGAATTAATTTCCAAGGAATTTGTTAAATTTTATAAGACAGGGCTGCAATTTAATTAGTTTTAAATGAGTTAGAATGGTTCTGAGATCCTACCAATGAAAAAAGGAATGCATTTGGGAACTGGATAAATTAAGAAATCAAATACTACACAAAAAGAGGTGTTGCTTCCAACATAAACCTCTACTGCAAGAGAGGCTTCATCAATTTGATTAATCCTGCACTAGTAGTTTATGATTTTACAGAAAGCAAATTTACTGTAGTACAATCTGTACAGATTACGGATAATTAAGAAATCTCAATACTAGAATCACTCCCACACTATCTTAAAGATCAGGCGCCACATGAATTTTACTATGTGAGAACAAGATCACATATATCCGTACTTTAAAACCACATATAGGCATGCTTATATTTTACATTTGACAGGAAATTAATACGTAGTTTCTAAAATCAATATATACATATATATATATATATATATTTGCTTTCCCCTGTTCATGGTAATCTAACCATGAAGAGAAGCATAATTGTTGACCAAAGCCAAGGCATTGCTTGTCAAATGAGCGATTGTTACAATCTTGGTTCTGACAGCAGCCTTCACATTTCCGTTCAAATTATTCCCTTGAAATCCATCACTGCAGGTGCTCTCGTCTGTTAGAGCAGCGCTAACCCAAGTCTGGATATCGTTTATCATTAGTCCAAAATTGGAGCCTTTTATATGACCCATCTCTCTAATTGAGTTTCGGAGCTCATCTATCGTGTCGCTCAGTTCCTCCACACAATCTTGCATGGCTTCCATCTCTCTAGGCTTCAATCCTTGGCTATTGGAAAGTGCTACCATCATGGTGGAGGTTGATTTGGCGGTTGAAAGGGTCACATTGAGGGCTGCATAGGCGAGGAGCTGAGGGCTTGTCTGGATCAAGCTAGCGTGGGTTGAGAGAGAATCAAAACAAAGTTTTGGGTAAGTTGTCGAACTACAAGATGTTTTGATAAACTCAGTGCCGGTTTGTGGGGCAATTTGCCTACCAGCTGAACTAAAATATATGTAGGAATTAAGGGCAAGAAGAACGAGAAGGGATTTAAAAGAACGATTAGAGAATGTGCCTTCCATATCTCTAGTATTTTTTTTTCCTTTTTTTTCTCTTACCTAATGACTAAGGAGAGCTACTGGAATGTAATGAAAATTAGAAGGAAAATGCCTCCAATTTATAGGGGGAAATCGTTACTCCATGTGGGCTATTCTTGCATTCGTGATGTATATAATTGTTGAGGTAAATCGATCGCATTCATCAAATTCCGTTACAATTAAAAAAATGGTTTCAGCAATGACCATCACATAATATGGCCGTTTACTGTACTGTTGGTCTTGACTCTTTTCAAGCCTAAACTGTTGACGATATCTTTTGCTGACACTATCAGAAAAATATCTGCACGAAATACGTTGTTAGCACCCATTAACGTAACATCTCATCTCTAAAATAATTTTAAGTGGCTCAGTTTCCTTGTCAGTGCAAGTGGGAGGTACTGAAAAGGCTGTATTCTCACAGACAACGCAAAATGTGACTTTAATTCAACTGTATTTGAAATGGAAAGATTGAAACTGCTTGCCTACTCGATGTACGTGTGTGGGGTCTTCAAAGCCAAAGGAACAGGCTTCAGCCGCCGGGTTCAGACCACCCATTTGGTCATTTGTGACTCATCAAGTCGGCTTCCTCAAAGAGAGAATTAGAATCATTTTCCAGAGTAGACCATCATGGTAGTCTAATTGGTTAAACTTTATCTTTCCATTTGCAGTTTTACCTGTTTTAAAAATTAGCATCATCACTTTAGTCAAAAGGATTTCCCAGTTTCTTGGATTGGATTGTTAGAATAGGTAAATCTTTGTCTATTTGACAATTACGGAGGAGCAGGGTTAGATTTATAATATATCCTATTTTTAGTATGACGTTTGATTGAAAATTGAATCAAGACGGTCATTTATGCTCTTTAATTGTTTAAATTAAAGATTGTTTCCATCCGAACGCTAATCTTTCTATCGGGAATAAATAAATATATATGCACAAAATTTTGTTAGTAGAAAATACTAGTCATCTACTTTACACCATTAGAAGTCGCTTTCAGTAGAGGTTGATTTTGAACATTTCAGATTGTGTGGATAAAGTCTTGGATCGAAGATGCTGTTGCCATTACAGATTGTGTGGAGACTCAGTGGATGAGCTCCACCAATCAATGGCAGCAATGAAGTAACATCGGCAGAGTTGCTGAATTAACCAGCAATGGATTGGCCTTAATCAATAGACTCCCTTATTATTCTCCTAATTTTCTTTGCTTGTGTGAATTGGACTGTAACGTAGGAAAAAAGGGAATATCAAAGTGCGGAGGAAAGCGTTTGTCATGCTTGTAATTGTCTATCTCCACCTTTTAAAAAAAAAAGTACTGTCTCATCTCCACTTAAGTCTAAAAAACATGTAAATTCCAATATTCCATCGGGATCATGAGTCGTTTGTAAATTGAAATTAATTAAGTAATTATATCAATTTATATTCATATTGTTCAATAAGGAAAGTTGTTTCTAATTAAATGATTCACGTCTTATAGTTTGCAATATTAAATATGTTTGTTCCTTGTTGGATATGGATACCTTTCAATATTTTGTATTATAAAAAATGTTAGTATTAATAATATTATTAATCTAAATTGTTGCTTTGGGTTGGTTGAGCAGCCTCTTGATTTAAGCTGCAGTCTTGGCTTATCACTTATGCATAAAGTAGAGATTTTTTTTTTTTTTTAAATTTCTTGTCGGCTGCTGTTTTGTTTTGCTTTGCTCTGTAACAAAGCTTTAGGTAACGTTTTGTTTAAAAAAATAGCCATTTTTGGTATTTATTTTTTTAAAAAAATAAAAAAATATGAATGAAAATGTATTTGATAATTAAAAATGAAAATAAATTTTCAAAAAATAACAATAAAAATAGATTAAAATATGAAAACAAAAAAAATATTTTTAATTGTGAAAATAAAAGATGTATATTATTTTTTTTCTTTTCATTTTACAAGTTATCATATTTAAACACTTTTTAATGTCATTAATTAATAAATATATATTATATTTTTAATTAAATGACATTAATAATATTATTGAATATTTTATTTATTTCTTTATTTTTGCATTTTAGAAAATAATTTTTATTTTTATTTATCAAATATATTTTTTAAAAAATAAAAAAAACTATTTTTTAAATATGCAAAAATCTTTTATGAGATCAGTAATTAAAATATGCACGAGGCGAGGGAAGTGATGTATTGATTATATTAAGAACCAATGAAAGGTCCGCTAACTTTTCAACTATATTATTAAATGGCCCAAAATGTTTGTACCCAGAAAATTAAAATATATGGCCAAGCAGCTTTGAGAAATTGATCCTCTTTGATTTTGAGACAGGTTCTTATATAAACAAACATCAATGAATTAAGGGAGAAGTGACTTGAAATATATATGGGTAATTCGTCAATTAATTAATTAAGGAATGGTAGCCCACTTCACTCGTTAGTGTGTGTGTATATGCCATTGCTTCTGCTCCTTTTCACGCATCCTGTAATCCAAAGACACTTGTACCATCTTCAAGGGGAGTTTGACTTTGTTAAATTGCGTTTCGATTGTATCTGATTGGCGCATCACATGGCTTTCCCTACGCCTTCACATGAACAATTCCTTCCTTTATCTTTCATCTTAAGAGGATGCATGTATCAAACAAAAACCTCTTTAATATCAGTGTTCAGTTTATACATTTCATTTCTTCTTTCCCATACAAATTTTAGATAATTATATGAACAAACATCGGATTTGACTATAATGACCATTCTTGAATCTGATTTAAGAGGTTTGATAAATTAAAATAATTTTTTTTAATCATCAAATATCTTATAAGACATACGTAACCATGAAATATAAATTGAATTTTAATTTAAATTTTCAATCAGATAAAATATTCTTGTACCATACAATATATTTACCATTTTATCTAAATTCAAAATTATTAGATCAACATATTGTGACAATAAATATTCAACCACTAATTAATTTACATAAGCTACCATTGTTAATTTTTGCATAGAAACCAACACATTTACAACAATGAGAATCTTTAACAAACACTTCACCCATGGATTTACTAATACTGTAATTTACCCTGTTTTATTCAAGTAATTAAAACTTATAGTTATTCGGTAATTTAGCTTCACGTATGTATAGGTATGTACAAGCTTCCTGCTACCATTTTCACATCCAGTGAGAACACATGCTTTTGCCTTTATTTTTTTTATTCTGCTGAATAAGTGCAGAATAAGTTAATAAACTGTAGGTTGCTGCATATATGCTGTTTCACTATTGTTTCCATTAGACAGGGAAATGCATGTGTTTGCACTTAATTTCCAACCAAGCAGAGGTGACTGTGCCTGTGCTCTGCAACATCTCTAATTTGCAAATTTAACTGGACCGATCATAATTATTGGCCATCTCATATTGTTTCAAATTATTTTAAAAAAAAAAACAGTACTGAGTACTGACCTCAGATCTAGTTGACGGTAAACTGTTAAGAGTTTGAGAAGAAGATCTTCATTACATTTTTTCCAATTCTTCATATTTTCCCTTGCCATTGTTCTCTTTCTCCTGTTAAACATTACAACCGTCTCTGCAGCCAACAAATCTAGTACCGAGGCCTACAAAAGTTACATCAAAACAGCCTGCAATTCGGCCGCATATCCCAAAGATTGCTATAAATCTCTCTCCGCGTATGCGTCCACCATTAAAACCGATCCAGAGAAACTCTACAGGTTATCCTTATTCATCACTATAAAAACAGCTTGAGAAACTTCCTCCTCCATATCATTGCTGTGGAGACTGAACGGTTTAAGTCTTACTGAGCGTGAGATCATCCGTGATTGTGCTGATACCGTAAGTAATGCCCTCGACGAGCTGCAGCAATCCTTGACGGTAATGGCCAATTTACAAGGCGCAGACTGTAAGTTTCAAATGGAAAATATAAGGACCTGCGTTAGCACCACGTTAACCGATGAAGGCCCATGCACGGATGAGTTTGATGGGCAGAAAGTGAGCAACGCACTGAATCAGAATATCAAGAAGACTGTGTTCGATCTTTTTAAGATGATTAGCAATTGTTTGGCTCTTCTTGATCCTCTCTCAATTATGTACTAGCTAAACCACTACCAGTGTTTTCCCTTCTGCCATTTCATATATAATATATTTTTTTCCATACATCTTTGGCAGTTAATTCAAATGAAATGTTCAAACAGAGATTTGAAAAGAAAAATTTTCTCTCTTTTTATATGTTAATTTTTTTTCTCTACTGTTTCCTTATTGTATGCACCAATTAATATTGTGAATACTAAAGAAAGAGCTTACTATTTCTTTTTATCGGCCTACGTATGCAAGCATGCAACATTTTCTAGCATTACTTTGATACAATAAGATGAAGTATTGCTAGGAAGACCAAAGAAAGAGCGTTCAAGTCTAATCATTAAGTACTATTAATTATTTAATGAAGATAACAAGTTTTCGTCATGTAATCAACCTTGTTTTCATCATTATTTTTCAAATACGAATACTGCCCTCTATTTGGTTTCGATCCCATGTGCGAACAAATTTTTTTTTTTTTTTTGGTTTTTCAAGAACAAGAAGGATCAGTCTGTTTTAAGTAGATTAATCAGATTCCTTGTGCCAATTATAATAAATATCAATGATTCTAGATTTCTAAAGCAAAATTACACACATACACACCTATATATATACATTAATATGTATATAAAACTCCCCAATATACGAGAAAGTAGCATGCTATTATTGAATCATAACTTGTAATTAATTAATTACCTCATCAAAATTGTTCAAAATAATTACTAATTAATGTTATTGGTAAGGTGGTAGAGCTATATATATAATTAATGTTATAGGAATTCCTCTTTACTACTAATTAGCCAAAGCTTACTTCTTGCTAAATCCAATTTTAGCGTCCACCTTTACCCTACATTCTCTGATCTTTGACTCACATTTAATGTAGATATAATTTTAATTTTGATATTTGTCACATTTAATATATCATTATTTAACTTAACAGTTGACAGACAATTTTATAAAAAAAGATATTTGGTTTAAGAGTTTTTAGATTAATAATTGGTAAATTTCAATAGTATTTATGTTTAATAGTAATAAGTAGTATTTTTTTTTAATAAAATAGTAATAAATAGAAATTTTTAGTCAAATGAATCATTTAAAGAAGGGGAGCAACTAAGCAAGGTTTACCCTACAATATTTATATAACCTTGATTCACAATTATTTTTCAATATTATATACGGTGGATGGCCTTCGTTTTGTCCGACTCAAATGTAAAATTGATCCCATGTGCTAATTACATGACCCTAATCTCATCAGCTAAATAAGAAATTAAGAATTAATATTATAATCTTGTAACACGTGATCTGTACTTCCCAAGAATATTAGTATTAAAATGTTATTTAGAAAATTAATATTAAAACATTGGTGACTTGGTTTAGCTAATTCCATATTTCATGTATTTTCAAGTATTAGATTAAAAAAAAAAAAACTCGAAAAAAAGAAGAAGAAAAACTGAAAGAGTACAGCATGAAAATATTAAAATCAGAGAGTCGTATGGACAAATTATGAATCAAAACAACTTATGAACAAAATGAATGTGAATCGCACGGATGCATATGAAACTTAGCATGCATGTCCTACGTGTATGTATATATGACTTATATATATATATATATAATATATTACTAAATATTATATAGATTGATGAGAAACAATTAATGCAGCATTCCTTACTTTTTATTTTTTTATCTACTTAATTATTCCATTGTTTTATTTAATTTATGAATATGATCATTCTGTATAAATTTATTCGTATGATCATAAACATTCTTGTATTTACAAAAGTATTAATTTGTGAAAAGTAAACCCAACGGGAAGGATTTTTTATTTTATTTTATTTGTTTATTCCATGATTTATTTTTAATTTATATAGTAACTATAGTCCACCTCTAAACGTATCCAACGTGCATTCATTTAACATTGGAAGGGGCGAAAACATAAGGCATCTTTTCTTAAAGAGCCTGCAAGTTGTAACGCCCAATGTCATATTGGAGGGCGTTATAATGAAAATGTAGATATAGATAGGCATAGCCGCATCAATTCAATAATTGAGCTTTGAAGAAACAACTTAAAAAAAAAAAATCATAAAGAGAGGAAAGCAAATGAAATTGAAAATAATATATATTTTTTCAAATCTAATTAATAATTATTAATTACACAACATAAAATTATGTTTGTCAATTTGAATGTATCCCTCCACATGCAAGATGACTGCAACATCATATACCGAATTTGAAAAGAAAACGTCAATAATCATATTTTTTTAAAATATAAATTTGATAATTTTATTGAAAATGAACCTAAAGTACTTTTTATAATTTTTAATATATTATTAAATAATAAATTAAAATATATCTTTACTTACGTGATTTTGATCAATTATTGAATACAATATTAAAAAAATGAAAAAAATAATAGTTGTAGAAAAAATAAAAAGTAGTATGCTTTGGACCAACAGTTACAAATTGGGAAAGAAAAGAATGAATACTTCTACTTGACTCGTGACGGTCAAGTGTCAATGATGGGTGCCCATCCCATTCGACTTTGGCTGCAAAAGAAAAAACAAAACTTTAATTTTTTTTTCATTGGTTTGGAAAATTTAGCAATAGCTGACGAACTCACGTGGCCTACGTCAGAGAGTGACCCCATTCACCAGCCACCTAGCCCCACCTCGACAGGTCGTTTGCTGCATGCTCTTTACCATCCTTTCGGCTTTCACCCCCAACCACGATCACCGTCTTTATATATACTAAACTATTATCTAAAGGGAAAAAAAAGGGGTGAAATTTATAAGTTTTTTTTTTCTCTCTCAATAAAAAGTAACCATATTTAGAATGCTAATTTAATTATAGAATTGATCATCCTATATCTCACATGTGATTTTACCAAGCAGGTTTGGCAACAAGTTTTACAACTTTGTGGCATAATTTATAGGCAGTGATCAGGAGATATAGTTCAGTGAGTTTTTATGTATTTTCACTGAGAAAAACGGAGCAAATAAGCAAATCAAGTTGTCCATGTTGTACTAGTAGTTAACTTTGAAGAGAAGAAATTATTTGATGGTGGAGTCAGTCGTCAATGGTCCAAGACAGAATTTGGAGCATCCAATTAATGCTTTGGGTGACGAATAGCTGCTTTGATTCTCTTGTCTGAATTGCTTCCATTAAAAAGGAAAAACGTAGCCAAAGAGCTTTAAGAATCAACCTAAACTACTACAGAAATTTGGGAACTTTCTATTGAGAAGATGAGAGAAACCTAATCTAGAAAACTTTAATTACCTCCCCTGGAATGCACTAATCACGTCAATATAATGGAGTTGGCGAAGACACTCATCAGATTTGATCTAATTAAGAAATACTAGTTAGTATGTTATTAAGGTGTTGGTTTTTAAAATGTTTTAATAAATACTACTAGTGTAGAAAACTATTTAATTCCTCAATCTATTCGTAAATCACATTAGCGTGAATAATCCATTAATTCAAGGACTCCAACTTTATTATTTAGTGTTTATCAAAACCAAAACAAAAACAAAATGAGAAAAGTAACTAGCTCCATGTCTGAGCAGTGACCACCATCATATATTCATTTACATATACACACATCAGAACCAAACCAAACGACAAAACTGACCAAAAGCTAGCCTCTAAAGAAAATTACGACTAGTCCACCACTACTTTTTTCAACTTTTCTGCAAGTGCCAGTGAGCAAACAACAGTTGGTTAATCACTGCTTTGAAGCAAATTGGTTAACCAATGACAAAGCAATGCTGGTGACCTGAGCAACATTGATGACACGAGCTCTAATCGAATCTTTCACCTTACCATCCATGCTCCGCCCTGCGAACCCATCAACGCAAGTGTTCTCATCGGTTAGTGCAGCACTAACCCAGGTCTCCACATTTCTAACGTGCCACAACAAGTCTTGACCCTTGGCTTGACCCATGTTCTTGAGCTCTTTCACTGATTTGCTGAGCCTGTCCACGCTCTCAGTCATTTCCTCGATGCAATCTTTGATTGCATCGTATTCCCTCTTCTTAAGTCCCGTGAAGCTTTTCATTTTGGACACGAATGCCTGGGTGGACTTAGCCCTGTCTAGGCTAACCGACAGGGCAGTCTGAGCCAACTGGCGTGGGCTCTGCTGGATTGAAGGGGCATATGCTGCGAGAGATTGGACACAAAGTGCTGGATATTGGGTGGCACTACATGAAGCCTTGATGAAATTCGAGGCAGGAGAGCTTGCAGCAGTTGGAGATCTGGCCTGGCAAGCAATGTAGAGAAGGGAAAGCAGGAGGAAAATAAGGGAGGTTCTGGCCATCTTTTTTGGAGAGCTAAAAGCTTATTAGAAACTTGAGACTTAGGAGTAAGATCAGCTTGTATAAGAACATGCTGATAGGGTTCTAATTTATAGTGTTTAAGTTGACAATCTTGACATGGGCAGTTGGGCTTGGGCACTTTGCTTTAGGTCTAACGCGCGCAATCAGGGTTGGATAATGGGGACAGAGCAGCCTCTATTAAGATTTAAGCATGTTATAAAGTAAAGTCTTTCGGCCAATAAGATCCAAGCCCTGATTGTCTCAGTCCTCACATTGGCTTTGTGAAATTTTTTTAAACAAAAGAGATTTATTTTGAAAGGATTGTAAGTGTTGAAATATGAGTTTTAATTTTGTTAAATATTAATTTTTTAGAGTGATTTATAAATCAAATAAATTTTTAGGGAAAAAAAATGGAAATGGTGAATGAGTGGGGTTTCTGCTATTGAATTTATGTTGGGGGTCTAAAAATGATATTGGACTTGTAATTAATTAATAATTCAGAATTTCTATCTCAAGCTTTAGCAATTCTCTAGACCAAATGAAAAGGGAAGTTAAACATAGGCCAAATGAAAAGCAGCCAATAAAGAGATATTTGAAAGGTCAAAACAGAGTGGCAAAAAGTCAAAAATTAATATGAAAGGCTAATTAAATAATTAGGTAAAAGGAGACCCAAGCCAAGAAGCTTCCGTAGACTTAGACGATGCATATGCAGCTGTTACATTTCCCTTCTTTTGGGAGCCTAGTTAGGTGTCCATTTATTAATGGATGCGAAAATTGATAGAGCGGGCGGTCCACCTATGACTTGGATACATGGAATAATGCATTATTTTGGCAGCTTGAATGGTGAAAACCCCCTAAAGTCTATGATATAAAATTGCTTCAAAAAAAAAAAAAAGGGTTTATGATATAAAATAATGAGGCTCAAGTAAGGGCAAAACGTATCTGTTGCAAGGAATTAAATGAAAAATAAGTGTTTGCTGATGATGCAAAGAAAGAGTACTTTACTTGTAGTCTTTTAAATAAGACAAAGGAAACAAATATTTGAAAGATATGCTGTGAGACATGAGCACATGGTTCCTTATGTTAAGGGCAGAGATATTATATAATATTAACATAAAAATAATTATTGCTTGCACGATTATAATCTTACAAGAAGTCATTCCATATTTTTAAATCCATTAATTAATAGTAATTAGATAATTGAGATGGCGGTTGCCACATAAAAACACAATTGCGTTGATTCATGTTGTGTTTCTATCAACTAAGCCTTCATTTTATTGGGATTTAATGATTTATTGTGCTGCTTCTTTCTCGGATTCATCTCATAATTTTCATCAAACATGAAGTCGTCAGCGTTTTAATTTTTGGAGAAAGAAGAGTGGAGCACTGCATCTGAGGAATTCTGAATACTAAAGTTTTTTAATGGGCCGCAGGAAGTCCAAGAACTACCATTGGACGCTACATGGTCAATGAAACCTAAAGGATCCAATTAATATTATCATGAAAAAAAAAATGCCTATCCAAATTACCTTTACCGCCAACCAAGGCTTTACCAGCTTCAACTTTACTCAACAGTCCACAACTATCCCAACAAAACATTTACCTTGAATAGCAGGATATTTATTACGAACTTGAACGCTAGAATTCAGCCTCATATATCTTGCATGTTATTTTGAGTAAAAACTTAAAAAGGTAAGGAAAACTGAATAGCAGTCCTTAGTCAATATAAATTGTCAGATTATTTTGTTTTCTTATGCAGTTACGTTGAGCTAATAGACTGTTGAGCTGCAACACTCCACTACTTTCTCGCAGTTGAGCTAATGTACATCCATCATCAAATTCACCTCAACCATATTACCAATCTTCTTTTTCTCTAATTTCCTCATCTTACTGGAAACTTTTTAAGTTCAACTGACCTCCAAAACAAGGTAAAAGGATCTTCATGTTCCTCTGATGAGCTTGTTTCATAAGAACCTCATCCAACGACCTGCTGCAGACACAAAAAAAAAAAAAACAAATCACCTCTAAAACTCTTACCTACTAGTATATTGGTACAGACATTACAATGGCAGGAGGAACTAATGTTTCTCCAGCCTCTATTCTCTCTCCTTTAGTTCATATCAACCCACTAGGGCAAAGATGTTCCACTGCGTATTTAAAGGGATGGACTTTTCTATTCTTAAAAGTAATAATATATTCAAAAAAGATCACAAGAATAATAACCCTACTAGTTCTAGCCAAAAGTTAGTTACTAAAATGAATGCTAGATTTCAAAATCAATGCAGGCACTGTGTTTTCTGATTCAAAAATGAAATCAACACAGCTGGATAGAGAGGATCATTGTGCTCACAGAATATACCTCAAAGGCACGAAAGACCGGATGAACTTGTTCAAATATTTCATCTACTGTTCCTATTGCATTGATCTGCATGTATTTGCCTCAGTTACTATAACAAATACAGAATTTTGAATATGTATGCCATGTAAGCAATCATTGATTAGAAAGGGATAACATAAAGCCCCAGAAGCAGCTGATAGTATATATATACCTTATAGAGCTTTCCTCTCTGAGAGTAGTAGTTAATAACCGGAAGATTCAATGCCTCAAAAACTTTAAGGCGTTTTCTGATTGTTTCTAAGTTGTCATCAACTCGACCCTGCATAAGAAAACATCACATTTCAAATAATGGTTTTCACATGATTCAACTTAAGGCAGAAAATTATCTATATGTACCTGATTACGATTCAGCACACGTTTCACCATTTCTTCTTCTGGGCAATCAAAGAAAAGTACAACATTTGGCTCTACTCCAATCTGCATATGCCATAAAGAAAGTTAAGTTAATAATAAAAAACACTTCTTCAAATAATTCCACATATCTCATCATTTTTTCTAGTAAGTTTCTTGAACCCAACAATCAAATAACTTTAGGTGACCCATAATTAACAGCAAAGTTTGGAAGGCAAATAGTTAAACTGTATACAGTTCTCACACAAGAAACCATTAGAAAGAAACAAACTAAGAAGCTCACAATTTGTTCAAATGCTATTCGGTTCTCCTCAGTACGAGGGAAACCATCAATGAGAAATTTGTGATTTTCACTTAATTCCATCTCCTTTTGTATCAGTTTGACTGTCACCTCTGAAGGGACAATTTTTCCTTCTTTAATCGTGTTAAGAATCATGGCACTGAAATCAAAGTTATATCATCAGAGGGCATGGATTACTATAGAAATTAATATGATTTGTCAACAATGAAGAACAATTATTACCCATCTGCACTGTTAGAAGCTATTTCCCTCCTTAACAAGTCTCCAGCACTCAAATGTCTGAACCCAAAGGTCTCAACAATCTTTATACACTGAGTACCTTTTCCACTACCAGGACCACCTGAAAATGGAAAGGCAGAGTGAAAAATCTGACTAAATGTAAGCTCCAGAAGAAAATTTACAAATCAAACAATGTTTAGTTAAACACATGACAGCATCACACATAGTGCATCAAAGGCTGGTGCCACAAATATCTTCCATATGAAAGTAGGGAGCAAATAGTACATCAAAGGCTGGTGTCACAAACATCTTCCATATGAAAGTAGAGAGCAAAAAAAGGTCCAAACAAGCAAACAGGATATAGTTTTTGATATCACTATTTCTTTAATGTAACAACAGAAAAATGTTTGATCTATCAAAAGGTTTATAACACTCGTATATCATTGAATAACCTCAAGTATCATTTGCATATTAACCATAAAATAAAATGCCAAGTGACATCTACAATAGATAACCTATTCATATTATGATTTTGTGGATCATGTAACCTATGATGTTTTATGGCACTTAAAAAGGAAAAGATTCAAGCTAGGTCAGAATGCAACCCCTCCTTTTGTTAAGCAAAGAATAAAGTATAACAGATGTGCGGTTTGCAGCTTGAATTCTGTTTTCTTCTCCAAAAGAACATTTAAAAGATAAATATATTAAAACAAGGAAAAAGAAACAAACTTAAGGAGACAATAAGGTTTAAGTTTGTCCAAAACTTCCCAAGCTCAAAAAATAAGAGTTTCAAAACCACAACATAATGCATAGCACATAAATGTATTTTGCATGCTAGGATATAAAGTAAGCAAGGGCCTTTATTTACTCACGCCAGCAATGCACAAATTTTACCTAGGACAAAAGTTATGAATGGAGTTTTCTCTTTGGGGACTATTACACCTTTTGCCTGCATGCAGATAATGAACCAACAACAAGAACTCATTTTTATGAATATATCATGGAAAACAGACTGTTGCTGTAAGTAAGAGGAATGCATTGCAAAATTAACAAAACATACAAAAGTAAAAAGGAATTAAATTTGAAAAAAGATGAAATTTATCTAACAAACAATCTAAGGTAGCAACATGGATTCGCATGAAATAAGTGAATACGTTGAAATCCTGGGGAAAAATGATTGGTATGCTAAATTCTTCTTATTTACTGTCTAACTCAGAAGAACTCAGATTCAAACTATTCATATCAAACAAAAGCTCATCATTTTGATACATGACTAATGACAGAAAAAATTTTAGATGTTTTGGAGAACATCTAACACACGTCTGTCGAATCTGTTCAACTCAAAGAAGGTCCCTCAAAGTCAGTTTCAAATTAACAAGAATCTATATTTTCCCTCCTAACACGCTCCCCCAAGCAGCAAAACCCACAGCAAAACAAAATAACAGCATATCCTTCACTCAACGCATAAACAATGGCGTTTTTGTAACTTCTATCCAACTTTTTTTGTCGCAAATCAGTTACTTTCAAAGTTTCAACCTATCCAAGTATAACACGAGCTCAATTACAACAAGAAATGTTCATCACTTTGGCAATCGAAACAATACCTGTTGCGCGATCCCTGTCGTTAATGATTCCCAAATGTTCAATCTGCATGCTGCCTATAAAACAGCAATAAAAAATTACTGTCAGAAGTCATGAGTAAACAAGCTAGAAAGAGAAGAACAACAAAATATGATAAATCAAAATTGAGGTTTTTTTTTTTTTGAATTGTAATAGAGCAGAGGTGAAAGAGAATCGGAACCTGGGCAAGAAAGGAAGAGTTGGAGGATGAGATGAAGGAAGAAAGCGAAGCCACGCGCCTCCACATCTCTGTCGGACTTGTCTAATCGTTAGCTTTTTGCTCTCAATCTCAAAATATTTCCTTTTTTTATTTTTAGTTTTCTGTTCGAGGAATGAAGCTGGGTTGGCTTGGCTTATTTTTCGTTGTTACTGTTACTGAGACATTACGTCGAACAAGTAACGCGCTCCATGTGTGATGTGTCGTGTCCGTTAGTTGATGCAGGAGAAACGCTGACCCGCAAGAGTAGTGACGTCGACTGTGCTGTGCTGAAGTGGGGCCAATCAACTTCCCTAGTTTGTTAATGGCTTGATTGATGCCTTGCCGATGTGAAAGGATTTTAAAACTAACAAGTTTGCAAAAATACAAAATGCATTTTCAATATGATTTTTAAAATTATTACACATTTTAAAACTCAAATCGCAATCACAATCGCAATCCAAAATCAAATTAAGTAGAGAATTATAAAGAAAGTTTAGTGATTTTCTAACCTAGTAGTATATAATTAGAAAGAGAAAATATGGAAATAAGACATTATTAGTAGACAATTTCTTTTGTGTAAGACGAGACAACCATGTTAATCACGAAATTAATTTCACAACCTAACCCACGTTGAACAAACAAAAGTTTCATCTAAAACTATGCTTCAATTGGGGCATTACTTGGAGTTTTAGACGCAAAGCTTAGTGCATTCTACCTCTAAATTCCAGGCCAGGTTCAGCACTAGATTCCTCATTATGGAAGTGGGAGAAATTTTACAGAAATGCATTAAAATGAAAATTACGTTGCCTCTTCTCAATTTTGAAATTGACAAGTACCGGATTAGGCCATTGGCAAATTCCCCCCCCCCACGTTGCTTACAAGTTAACAAGGACTTTGTCCATCTTATATAATTCATAATGATTCATTTCACATCAGCCTGCTGCTTGTTGCTTAGCACTGGCAAAACCATTACAAGCATTAAGTTAAAATTTCCAGTTTCTTATTACTTCCTTACTGCTATCTTCCCTTTGTTACATCCTGCCACTCACGACTATGTTCAAAAGAGCTAACTAGTCTACTCGACTCCACACACCCCTTCCCAGGCCTCTTCCACCATGTCCATATCCCCTTCCATATCTAGAACCCCGTGACCAGCCACCACGCCCTATTCCCCGATCACCATGTCCACCATGATTAATTCGGAAACCACCGAATGTCTGAAACATCCATCATCATTAAAAGGTCAACAATTCAATATCCAAATATAAATCTAATAGAGGAATAGACCATGAGAGTAAACTACCTCTACATCTAATTTCTTCTGCTCAGAAAACTTAGACCGTCCTTGCTTTGGCTCCCGATCAAATGTATTGCAAGAAAGAGAATCAAAAAACTCATCCTTAACATACACAGGCTGTGAAATAGAAGGGAAAAAAATAAGGCATTACCATAACCAAATAGAAACCAGATTAAAAGTTGCTTCAACATACATAGCCAAAAAACAAAGGAACACCTCAACCTAGCAATCTCACCTTTATGTCAACTTTTAGCAGTCCATATCCATCATCATGTTGTCTATCGTCTTTCTGACTGTCATCTGCATCTCCATTGTCTTCTGATATACCTTCGATACTTTTTCCAAGTTGACCCCATACCTCATCTTTGTTGAATTTCTTGTTCATTGCCTCAAAATCAAAATCCTCAGTAAACTTGGTAACAAAGTGTGAAATCTACATAGCAAACACTTAGCAATTATTATAGCTACACTTAAATTTGAGAATGATCTTTAGGCATCTCTGGAGAATATAAGAGGAGAGAGAACCGGAAAAATGAAGTGATCTTATCTACAATAATCTGAGCCTCTTTAACAGTTCAATTAAATGTCTATTTCTCCAAACCTCTCAACTTTCTTTCTTTTCTAAATTCATGATCTTGATGTGCAGTCTAATATATGTGGAATGTGGCAACAGTTTGTAAGGTAAGGTGTGCAATGTGGAAGTGAGTATGCCTGTGTCACTGGAATTTAATCTGTGTATGCCAACATGAAAGCACCAAAGTAAAAGAATCAGGACATCCAGCATTAGATTATCAAAAGTATTTTTTTTTTTCCACAGCTATTCTTCAAGTAATATGTTAAGAAGTTTGATTATTTCAAACTACAGATTGTGAAAAAGCAATATTGTGTCTGAAATTATCCCAAAAATATCGCCATATAGCATAGATTAATCACATGCATAATTCATATTTAATGCTGAAAGAGATGCATGGCATATACTATCAATTTAATGGGAAATCTTTCTAACTAATCAATTGGTTTTCAATTGATCATTTCTTCAATAGTTTGATTCGATTACAAGCTTCATTATCAATGGTGCAAGTAGATTATCATATTAATTAGCAGGCTAAAGTTCCACATCCAACTACACGTGCAAGTTTAAGTTTCTAAATTCTTCTAAGTTACTAAATAAAAAAAAAGGAAAAAAAATCACAAAAACCACATTTCTTACCATGTTTGTTCTTCCATGTGCACGGCCCCAGCTACCATAATAAGGGTGTGGAGCAGTTCCATTCATCTAGGAGATTGAGAAAGTAACACAAGAACATATGCTTTAAAATCCACATAAAATTTTATGAAAATACAGAAATTGATTCCAAGAAAATTAACTTAGGAAATTCTGAGAGTTGAGGGGAATACAAAGGGAGTACCACTTTTTCTAGTCTCCATGAGGGGCTTATGTTACTGCGATGAGAGTGTGACGCAGTTCCATACAACTGAAAGGAAAAAAGAAGCAGCACAAACACATATAATGGAGTTCCCATGATATATAAGTCCATTATAAGTAAATTGAACTTCTGCAACTCAAAGAAGCTAAAATATTTACCCCATTTCTTCTCCTCCTAGCATGAACCTTATTAGCGGGGTGAGACTGCAATGTAACTCAATTGGACTGGATGAATATAAACAATTCCAAACAAATATGTGTAAATACCAAGATTCGTAGAATATAAACTGTAATTCCTCTTTACCTTGTTTTCTCTTTCCTCCACAGGGCCGCTAATACTTCGGGGAGTATGTAAGGCACTGCCATATGGCTGTAAGGAAACAGCAGAGAGCAAAGATTAAACCCCTTATCATGAACTTAATATAACAAAAGCTAAATTGAAAGACAGTAAATATTGAATATACCTAATGAAAAAAAATGAAAAGTTGGAAATCAGTAAAAACAGAAAAATTGCAGTTAATAGACTACAAAGATTTTGAACATTCAGATCAGTGAAAGATTTTGGAAGAAAAACTAAAGTAATCTAGATGAGATGGAAATTGAAAAAAAAAGATTAACCAGCAAACTCTAAATAATTAACCAAATTAACCAAAATCAATGACAAAAAGGAGTAAAAGCATGGCAATTAATTAACAAAAAGAAAATCCATACAAAAAATTAATATGATAACACACTTTTATCCAGAAAATATGAAACATAATTACGTAAAATGGATTAACCCAAATCCTCTAACTTGAGCATCTACAAATAGTAATACAGAACTCTAAATACAAGGGACAAATTCACATAAATATCCCTAACAAAGATTAAATGGAAAAGAAAAAGAAATATACACCCAAAAGGACATAAGGAAGAATTGCTAAACATTAGGCAATTTAACAGGACAACGTGAAATCCCTCAATAATTCTGTGGATTTAAGGATATTTATCAAAGGACCTGTCATGTAATTGAATCATATAAACTTTTCTTTATACCAATTAGTCCCTTGGGAAATTGAAGACTCAGATTTTTTTTTTTTTTTATTTTGCCCAAGGGAGACTCAGAGTTTCAAAATTATATTATTCCCCACCCACAAGCGAAAAGTAAATGGATTAAGAAAACATTCTAGAAACCCCATGTATGTGGTGCTGAAATTTGATTTAAAATCCACAGTCAAAATAGCTGCTTCAAAACTGATAGATATTCATGGAATATTTAACAGATCAGTACACATTCAGTTAAAAACAAAAACTTAACTTATCAAGTTAAGAAAAGCAACATCCGCTGTGCCTAAATGCAGCATTAAAGATTAAAGAACATTAATATTCTTACCCTATTCCTTCTTCCTCGTTCACGCCCCTTGTCATGGTGTTGAGAATCCAAAGAAGCTCCATTCATCTGGGAAAAACAAATGCATCAGGAAAGGCCATGCATCAGAATTCCACATGACAGTTAATTCACAGAATTAAATACCATAATATATAAATAAGCAGTATGCATTATTTGTAGCCAAAAGTGGAGAACAAGAAAAATATCTGCATATGTAGATATTAAGAGAAAAACCCCAGAGGAGTATCTAAGGTAGCTAGAATGCAAGCATGCACATGCACAGAGATGCATCCTTGACTTTCCAAATTAACAGATCACCACTCAAAACAATATCTATCTTACTGATCTTGACATCAAGAAAGACACAGAAGAAATACCTCCCCAGATGGCGCCTGAGCCTCGTTTGCATCTGCTGAAAGTGGTTCTAATGTTGATGTTTGAACCACCTCAATATCTTTCTGAGCAGTTTGGAGGGGAAGAAGTGAAAAAAGTATTGTGTCTGGACTTGTGGGTGCAGACCGTAAAAGCTGGCCCGGTGTCACTAGAGAAGGAGTTGGTACCTCAGGATGATTGGAGACAGATGTCCCAACAATAGAAGGTGTATGTGTAGACATATTTGTATAGGGAGAAGTGGAGCCAAGAGTTGATTTAGATTTCTCACCAAATTGAAGTGCAATTTTAATTGTATCCACAGCAGAAGTCAAAGCAGATGCTAAAGGCAAGCAAGAACTCAATTTTAAACCAGGAGCATTAGAAACTGATGCTTCTTTAGAAACTGATGAAGCAGCATAACCTAATGGAAGGTTAGAGGGCAAAGCTGAGGAAGAGATTGATGTCAACGTAGAGTTCAGGGAACTACCACTTGAAGGTGGCAGCATTGTGGATCTCTGGGAGCTATAACTTGAAGGTGGCAGGGTTGTGGTGTTCTGAGAGCTAGCACTTGAAGATGGCAGCAGTGTCGAGATCAGGGAGCTAGCACTTGAAGATGGAAGCAGTGTTGAGTTCAGGGAGCTAGCACTTGAAGATAGAAGCAGTGTTGAGTTCAGGGAGCTAGCACTAGAAGATGGCAGCAATCTAGAGTTCAGGGAGCTAGAACTTGAAGGTGGAAATAAAGGATGGGGAATTTCAGAAAAGTTTGGTACAGCACTTGGAATAGATACATCCATGATGGAACGTTGCATCTGACGCAGCCCAGGAGACGTTAACAAGCCAGGTGGTGGTCGAAGCAAAGACTGCTGTTGTAAAAAAGAATAACCTCCTAAGGGCCCATTCAATCCTTGCCAATACGTTGGCATATTATGCTCATTGCTTTTTACAGTCGTAGAAGTTGAAGAATCCAATGATAACACATGTCCCACAGGCTGATATTGAGGCACGCTGTCTTGGAAAGCTGAACTTGGAAGTCCTAGCTGTGAATTTGAAGTAAAACTTGTCATAGAACTAGAAGCAGAATGTGGCATGATTGAAGTTGCAGCAGGATGGTGATAATGAGACTGCAAAAGGAGTTACATTAATTATTCTTTCATCTATAGTATAATTGGTACAAAACTTTCTTGTTTAAATTTCATGCCTGAATGATAGCAGGATCATCAGGTATAGCCGATTTACTCTGCACGGATAGTGAAGACAAAACTTGCAAATCCTGATAGGGCATGGAGAAAAGGTAAAACTCAGAATCCATTAATGGTGTAACTTTGTTCGTAAAACAAAATAAGACACATATAGATTTAGGTAAAATTATTATTCCCAGAAAAAGAAAAAAGAGAAAGAATTAAAAACATATCATATGTATTACAATATCAGTGCCACAATTTCTAATAAAAAATGCTACCAGAGTATTACTAGAGAGACAAGGTTACAAATTTTGACTTAATGTTAGCAACAGCTTACAGCTACAAAATAAACTAATATGACTCTAGACTCAGTACATTGCGAGTAGAATGCAGACCATAGACAAAAGACAACCTAGTTGAGAAGCTTGTCACCATAAAACATAGGGTCCATTCTGTGAACTTAATGCTTGCACTAACCCTTAAAAACAAAATCCGCTAATTTCAAATAGGACATAACCGACAAAGATATTCTTAGTTTCCAAGTTCAAACCCGTCCAACTTGTTTTAACATTGGGGAGTAATAGAATAGAATGTCTCAAAAATAATTTCCATTTTCCAAAACCCAAAGTGGAAAATAATTATTACCAAACGTGCAACAAAAACTATTGTAATACTATTTACAAAAGTGAAAAATCATTTGGCAGAAAATATATGTATATAATAAAAAAAATGGCAGAGGTATTATGATTATTATTATTATTATTAAACCTTAATGTCGTTTCCTCGGAAGTATATGTAATCATAAACTTTGTCACTTGGAACAACCTGCGGCCCAACCTTGTTTCGACCTTCCGCACCGAAACTTCTTACTGCAGCAATAAATAAAATTAAAAATAAAAATTCAATGATGATTTCTTTCATTAAATTCCATTTATTAGTAGTATTTCTTTTCCTGCCTTTGCAATTTGACGCAAAAAAAAAAAAAAAAAGGTGATTGATTTTATTTTGTTACATAGAATAATTTTGTTGAATTATTTCTTCTTTTTTTCTCAAGGAATTTTTAAAAAGAAAAAATCGAACAAATTAATCATAGAGTGGAAGAAAAAAAAAAAGAAAGGAAGGGAAGGGAAGAAGAAAGGTACCGTTTTTGAGGCCAATGGAGGATTGGAGAGGGTTGATATGGAAGATAACGCCTTCGTATCGGATATCAGACTTTGAAATAAGGCTTATGAAGCTTCCAATGTAGGAATCCGCTGATTGGGAATGGGAAGTTTCTGTTGTTGCCATTTTCTCTCCTTTTTAACGGAAAAAATATTAATTTAAAAGATTTAAGAGGGATTGAAGGAAACAAATTACAATTTCTTTCTTTGATTCTTTCTCTATCTTCTGCAAATAAAAAAAAAGTAAAGTAGAGAAGAGAAAAGGAGAAGAAAATTCTAGTAAATGCGTTTCTTTTTTCTGTTTTTTTTCATTTTGTAGTAAAGTAAAAAAGATGAAAGAGAAGAGGGGACGCGGATGTTACTCGTGCTGGGGAAGTCGAAGAAAATAAGCGCACTGTTTCAGGGACTGGGCTGGGCCCTCAATCCATTTCTTTTTATTTGTTTAAGACCCACCAGATTTTGTTTGCGCTGGTAGCCCAATCGCTAATCCAAAACGTCTTTCAAGTTTTTAACTTTCAGAATTCAGACCACATAGCAATAACTACGTTTGTTATTCAATGTAATTTGCATTTCGGTTAGCCAAATTGAATTATAACCATACCCCAAAACCCTCTCTCTCTCTCTCTCACCAATCCATAAGAGCCAAACTTTCAGCAACAAGCACATTTCTTCAACAGGGTTAAAGGGGCATAAACTCAGAACTGTACAAGCTGATAAATCATAATGAATCATAGACTATACCATCAAACCAGGGATACTCAACTTCTCCATGCTACACCAGCAACTCATCCTTGATATTAGTTAACATAACATCCAATTTAGTCTTTTCCAGTTGATGCAAAGCCACAAACATCTTCATCCATAAACTAACTTCAAGCATTGTATGATTACAAATGCCATAACTGGTTCCATGTAAAATAAATTCTCACTTCTTTAACTAAAAGCAATGCTTTCTAGTAAAACCCAGCACCTTTCATTTCTGCAGAAGTTGGTCATCGGAAATTATCGACATTTCTCAAAAACATAATCCGACCTGAAATTTTCACAGCAAACATTAAGATAAAAATCAAGGAGAAACTCATTGTGGTACAAAACTATGAAGTTAATTTGTCAACTTGCCTTCACCCAAAAAAAAAAAACCCATCGTAAATCTCCTATTGTTACATGATCCATGAACTAGTAAGCCAAGCGCAGAAAAAAGAAAAGATAAGAATACCAAGGAAAAAAAAAAAGAAGGATTACACCAATAAGCCACAAGATAACCTAAGGTCAGATTCATTCATTCATGGGACAAGGCCCAATCATGAAATACAAATATTTAATTATCAGCACCAAAAAAAAAAAATCAAGCAAGATAACACAGATATTGTTCTTATAAGCACCAATGTAACCATTTTGTATCTTATAATGTAGGATCTAGACTAACTTTTACTAGAGGTTCAAATTAAATAACCCACAAGGCTACTAAGGAATTTTCTGGATGCCTATATAGAAAAGTAATACTATTAATTTTTTTTTTCAAGGAAAGTAATATAAGTAAATTTGACATGCCAAAAAACAGAACAAAAGTCAAAAAGCATTCATGGGTTCAATATCCATCCCAAGACAGCAAACCAATCTAATCATCAAAACCACTCACTTATTTCAATTTAGTGACACATTTGATAGTTTGGTTTAGCCACATTGGGAATAAAAAGTGGCATGATATACTAATCAGAAAGACATTGTCATCGCTCATGTTAAAATCCATATCAAAGCACTAAGAACCTATAAGAAGAAAAGTATTGAGAGAGAAAGTATAGTATTTTCATTTTTATTTTTTTTTGTTGTCAATGGCACAAGTAAAATATTAAAACAGGTCATTAGATAGTACAGATAATTTCCTGTCCTTTATTGAGCATTTCAAAACACAGAATGGAAGAAAGTAATGTACATACCATTTTGATGGATGGAACCATCTTCCAATACTCCAGAGTTTTGGTGCTCACCTTCTGACAAAGTGCAAAGTCCTTTAACGATACAGTGCATTGCATTTTTTATTTTCTAGGTCATAAAGCTGTGCTGGAAAAGGAGGATATTTTTGCAATCGACAACCTTACTATGCAATAGAGGTCACATTGTTAAAATCTTATATCATAAACCTTCAAGCTTCTAGTATCTTCAATGTTAACTTAATCCACACTCTTGCACTCACCCTTCTCATGCATTTCACGTCCATTACAGATGGCTTATCCTGCAACAGTTTCAATGAAGGGACTACCCAATTCTTAGTTGTAGAAAGAATTTTATAAGAGCATCCTTAATAAAATGCTAATAATTTCAATGATTTGGTCATTTCAGAGCATTCAAGCTTAATTTTTTACAGCATGCTTGTGTTTCTACATCAAAGGCAATCACATTAATTGACCCTTATGATACCTTTTGCAAATAACAAGGGTCAATATTAGAAATGGCAGTAAGGAATGAAATTCAAAGGAAAAGAAAATGTACATCATCTAAATACCACAAGAAGCATTTCTGCATATTAAGTACAATGAATGATGCTTAGAATAAAATCTTACCCAGGTACAGCGTGCTTCAGGATAAAACCTCCCAACCACTCTTGGTAAACACTAACTTGATGCCACTGAACAGCTCTAAGACTAGCATACTCCACTGGTTCCTCATTCACATACAGCCTCCTGTTGTTACGAAACCCACCTGTCACCACTGAAAACATTGTAACGACATCCCACTTTTAAGTGGCTTCTGCACTGGGGTCTGCCTTACCTGTCCAACCAAAATTGCCTACAAACAGAAAACCCAAACAAAACCAAAGAACCACTTTGAGTTAACTTTCAAAATACAGCTCCAAAACTAAAGATTTCTACCCCTAATAAAAGCCTATCCAGTCTTTTTTTTTTTTCTTTAAAGTTAGCTACAGCCCAAAATCCTCGAAACAGAAATTTTTTAAGTTGAAGAATTTAAAAAAGAAAAGATGCAAAACCATTAGGGTGAAACTGAATGCACCTTATAAATGCCCATATCGAGGCCATTCTCAAGCCGGCGATTGTACAAGCGTCTGAGTGATGGAGTCCTTGGCAGATTCTGAGGGCGTTGAGGATTGCGATGGAGGTGAGTCGAGAGTTGAGTCAATGTCGGAGTGGGGACCTTCAGCAGAGGAAGAAAGGGTGGTGGTGCAAAAGGGCATCGAAAATTGAGGGGTTTTGGGTTTGGAGAGAAGAGATCGATAAAGCCTGCTTGATAAAGTTGCCATTGAATTCGCCATTCTTTCTTTCTATTTTGGGAGAAAGAATATCATAAGGAAATGGAAATTGGATAGCGATTTTACAGTGGCTTAACCCTAGTAGTAGCGGCTTTAAAAAAAAATTAATATGTTTTTACTTTTTTTTTTCTATACAAATATTTGTAAGTTCTTTTTTTTTTTTTTTTTTTGTATTTGAGGATAATAGAAATTGAATCTCCTTTATTGTATCACAGGACCGTTAGTTTGAACAAAAATAATCGATTTTATTTTATGTATTTAAAAAAATAGCATCAATTCCTCTAAAAAAATAAGGAAAAAAAGGAGTTTAGAAAAATTATAGAAATATAGCTAAAAATTAATAGTAGTAATTTTTATTAAGAAATTTAAAATTAGTTATTTCTAAACACTAAAAACAGCATAGATTTTGTTATGGTTAAAAACTATCAAATGACTTTCATCTTTCATTTTTTTTTCTTTTTGTTTTCCTGCCTTATAAATTAAAAAAAAAAAAATCCTGAAATCAGGACCTTATGTTCAAAGTGATGATCCACAGCAGGGTCAACAATATTGGTCACCATAAAAAAAATATGGCATTTCTGAGGCACTTGGATGTTTTTTTGGATGGATTGACTCAGCATTTTTCTTATCCACAAACTACTTACCTAAGAGATCGTATCAAACAGAGTTTTTCAGCAGCAGAACTCTCTTGACTCGAGGCAGTGAAGGCAGAATCCTCCTCGCTTCCCACCTCCAAGCAAAGCAGTGAAATAAACAGAGAAATGTTACTGCAGAACCCAAAATTCTCACAGTCACCCCCACAATTACTTCGCGCTCCAACTGCAGCACAACTCCATAACATTCCTGCTTCCCCTTGTTTTCCCATCCCGAAACAGTTCAAATTGCCCCGGCGACAACTTACAATTTGTGGCAACTCTTCGTTGCTTCTTCTGTTAGGTTCTCAGGCCCTGGGACCACGGTATCCGTCCAAGGCACAGGCGGAAGAAAATCCACCAGATAATAATCCACGGGAAGAGAATGTTGGTACTCCTACTCCTAATTGCAGCAACAAAGTTCCTAACAAACGAGCTTTTCTTGATATGGCCATTGACGGAGAGCCCGTTGGTCGCATTGTTATTGGACTATACGGAGATGATGTTCCAGCTGGGGCCGGCATGTTTAGTCGTATAGTTAGTGGAACTACTGGAATTAGCTACAGAAGAAAAGAGTTCATTAAGATCATGCCAAACTACGTGCAACATGGTGGATTGAGATCTTATGGTGTTGATGCTGAGCTTGCGAATAAAAGTGGAAGCAATCTGGCAGTTGAAAAACTGCGGGAGGAATGGGAGAGAGTATATGACAAGTGTCCAGGAGTTAAGAACTTGGCTGGAACAGTGAGCATCATTGTCAGGGATCCCTCTAAACCGCCTCCTAAACTGAAGCTGGTTGCACGAGAGGGGAAGCTGGAGATTGATCAAGAAGAGATTGGAAAAGACCCGAATGGTACAGAGTTTGTAATTGCTATCAAGGATTCCCCAGAACTGGATGCTTCAGCTCTTGTGGTTGGGGAAGTCTTGGAAGGAATGGAGGTTGCAAAGAGAATTGGACAGGTCAAGACTGTGCAAGAGAACACAAGTTCTCCTTACTTCAGGTATGCTTTTCAATCATGGCAATTTTGTTTTAAATTGGAGTTTAATTTGCTATTCGTCTTAGCAAAATCATAAAATAACTCAGATTTGTTGGAGATAAGAAGCCAATGAATGCTACCTCCATCCAGACTTTTGTTTCCCCCACAAACCCACTTTTCATCCTAAAGAAACTAGTATTTCGACTCTATTCTTGTTCTGAACCTAGAAGAACCAGGCAAAGACCATCTTTCCAGTTTCTTTCCCGGAATGAAAATCACAATTAGAAAGCTAGAAAAGGAGGCAATGCCAACTGCTGCTCAAAAAAATTGTATCTCTGCCTGAAACCTTGCCGAAAGCTCGATTCCTTTACATAGGGTGATTTGTATTTCTACACATCTTAACTGATGATAACTGACAATTCCAAGTTCTATAATCTCAAGGAAAGAAATAATAACAACATAAAACTTTTGTTTGGTGGGCAGGGTGGCCAAGCTAATAGGCGATAAAAGAGCTGTCGTGGCAGAAAGAGGCTTCAACCGGCCTTACTCAAAGGTGGTCGTCATAAATTGTGGCTTGATGGACTGAACCTAAATCAAATCCCATTTGCATGCTTTCTTATATTGTTTCATTTTTTAATGAAGAGTTACCAGTTCAAATGAAGTATTTCTATTTTTCATAGACCTCATCGAAATCTTAGCATGCCAATTGCCGAAAGTTTGATAAACTCATAAGCTTTAGTGTGGCTGTAAATGGAATTTCAGCTTTGCTCTCGGGAGTAATTTGGCTGTAAATGAGGGACTGCAATACTATTGCCCAAAGCCTAAAAATGGATGCAACATATTTGTATGTTTGAAAAGGGTAGAAACCGACATACATGATCGTCACATACAGAATAAGGAAGTTCAATCTTCCATCTCTTTGGAGATGCATTGATACACCACAATAATACTAGTAAGTAACAAACATTAATTTAGGTTGATTCTCGGGTGATCTTCATTCTTTTGGCCATAGGAGACATGAAAAGCTTTCTAACTGAAGCAATGGGATCATCAACCTGCAGAATAAAATCTAGGAAGATTATAACCCTCTAGAGATGATAAAGCAAAGGATATAAATCCAGTGCAAAACAACCCAGAATTTCTTAATCACCATTGATAAGCAACAGTTATTCTAATGAACTGCTTTGTGGGTCTTGAAACCTAAATTTTTTTATCAACAGATTCCAAAATTAGAGTAGGATAGTAAAAGTGGGGATGAGCAGGATAAATCCGTTTAAAAAAAAAAAAAAACAGATGAAAACCTAACAGCAAACACACCATATTAATATCAAATACTTACATTTCAGCACTAAAAATATTGTAACACCTCCATTACTTGAATAAGTAAAATTTTAACTTACCTTAATCACGGAGGCAGATGAAGGAGAACATGTAGGTGAAGAATTAGGAAAATCTTTCCCGCATAGCAAAGCAGATAACGTTTGTTGCCATCCAGGTGCCCCACTACCCGTTGATGAAATCCATGGACAAAAATGTCTGTGCTGCCTGATCGGATCAAACTCTGCCATTTTAATCATGTGCAGTTGTTTTAGATCCTTTCCTGGAAAATGGAGGTCTCATAGTTGATCACCCTTGTGATTAAAATAAAATCTCATGGATTCAGAGAAAGATAGGAATGAAACAATTGCAAATGCCATAAACACATAACCCAGCCACACACTATACACCATGTAGGTAATATTTTCATTATTAACCAGCTACATGCAAGGTTCTTTATAAGGGGGAAATGGAAAAAGAAAAAAAATGACCATGCAGCTAATTGATCAAATTTTCCAAGTAGCACTGAAACTGAGAAAGTTCTGAAAGATTCTAGCTACTCCAACAAAAGGTTTCCAGTGTAACATATTTGTTTATGAAAGCAAAACAATACTCAAATTTCAGCTCGTGGCCATGTGACACAACAGAATACCATTGCAGGTTAAAACATTCCAGAGATAGTATTGTCAATGAATATCAGCATGCCATCCCAGTGGCTATGAAGTGTTTGAGCACAATCAGAGTTAATTATTGGCTTGTGATCCTTGGAGCACTGCCCTCTATTAGTCCAGGAAGAACTTAAAAATGCTTTATAGCAAATCACTAGATGAAAAAAGATCAATAGAAATGATAGTAAAGTCCATCACCTTAAAATTGAAAGCAACTCATGAAGATAGCCTCAACCACCAAGATTACTGTAACCTCAATTTCAATTAAATCAAGTGCCCTTTTTCAATCATCATATCTAAAGAAATGTATATGTTGATGGCTATGTTTCTTTCAATTCATCAAGGTGCAGTTCTAGGAAGATTCTTCTAAATGAAAACCCTAGCACGCAGTCTACCCATCCAACAACGGATCTACCTCTCATTCTCTACCTGAAGAACTAGCACAAGGTCTATGCAAAATATTTTTGCACGGGGAAGAGCTCAAATCAATAAAACCTCGGACATACCTTCCATGTAACAAATGCTGAAAGTGTTATTAATAAAGGCATTAATTTTTAACAAGGTTCTTGGTTGATCAAAAGAAATTACAGAACCATTTTGGAATCTATAAGAAAAGTGAAAACTACAGACTATAAGTGTTTAAACAACTAGGTTTACAAGCAGCATGAATAAGTTTATTCTTGACAAGAAAAGTCAGAATCAAATCAAATTTGACTTCCCATACATTTCACATTTAATTCATTTCACAGGGGACAGATTCTCAACAACACATCAGATAAAAATGTGGGACATCAGAGCACTAAAAAATCTTATGTTAATCCCTTTGAAATTATCTATGAATTGGGTTGAAACTGATAGACTGATGGGAAGTTATTCCTTCCATGTAGGAAGGCAACAGTTGGTCTCTTTGGCCTTTACTGTACTAGGAAAGTGGAGCATTCTGCCCAATTGTAAACATAAGGCCCATATTTTTCAAACATCTTCTAGGGAAAACTAGAAGGCTCCAATTCTTACAGATTTCACTACATTTAAACAGGAAAATATAGAACAACTCAAATGTCCAACTTGGCGCATAGAAGCACAATTCCAATCCCTCTTAGGTGTGAAAGCCAGAAAAAGAATAACGTCTAATGAATATGCTAGAAAAGAATCACACTAATAGAAAAAGAGAGTTTAGCAAATTAGATTACGACTTCACTACACATAGATCAGTTGATAATCAGAGAAGTCAAAAATAAATCGCATGCCCTAAGGAGTAGACCGTTAAAAGAAATTGAAGGGTGAACTTGAGATGCCATAGGTATAAAAAATAGAATTTTCATAGAAAATAAGTATGTAGTTTAACTTCATAATCAATAAGCAGGAATCAGTTAAAAGCATAGCAAGGCACCAAACAAAGGGTATTAAATAACAACACAGAAAAAAAAGCATATTGATAGTTAAACTTTTATTTTATTAAAGATCATTTCTAAAGAGAACTGATTACAAATAATAATGCTTACCTTTAGGATAGGCTAAGACCTTATTGTTCGATGCAGTCTGCTCTCCAGCAATCATCCCTTCCTTTCCGTTGGAACAAGTTTTGTTTTCTCTGGAGTTCATCTTGTGTGTGCCATCAACACATGTAGACTCTTGATGGCTAGGCAAACAAATTTCTTTATCACAAGCCTTATCTCTTTTTAGAATTTGTTCTGGATGGCACTTTTCAGATGTAATCATAACTGATGAATCATTATTCCTAGTTTCCGCATTTCTAGGGGAAACATTAGCACCTTGGGTAGTAGGAGAAGACTCTCCAACATGCAATGTATCAGAATCCTTTACTGCAAAATTGCCAGATCTATCATCGTCTTCCTTTCCAGGAAAGTTATTATTTTGGCAAGAATCTTGAACTACATTCTGAAAACTCTCTATTTTACCCCCCACATTAGAATCATATGTACCAATGCAAGGAGATATTTCTTCTGCAGTGAAGTCAGTTCCTTCCAATGGCGTGAGGTTTCTAAAAATATCATCTCTTGCACTAACATCATGGTTTGAACAAGGAGACTGATCATTCCTTGTAGAATTACAATTCACTTGATCATCCTTTTTGCTATATAAAGTTCTCACGACCTCCAAAGGAACAACTTCCCCACTAATACTATTGTTGAAACAATCTATTTCTTGCTCAATCCTATTGCAATTGGATTCTGCTTGAGTATCTTCTTGATTATTATGCATCTGATCTTTAAACTCTGGATGATATGAAAGCCTAGCCCTTAAACTCTGGCCAATAACAGGTAACGAGATTGTTGCTTTAAAGTTTTGTCGTGTTGGTGGTGGACCCCCTGCTATTGTCAATTTTAAATTTGAAGATTGCCCCATAGATGATGACCCACCATTTGAAGGAACAGCGACAATCCCATCATCGACTTTACTTTCATGGCCTGAATCACGGACTCCAGGATTGACTTCTGCACATCCAACTAATCTGAAGAACTCTACAGGCCTTCGAACAGTGGAGAAAGCCCATAATCCAACACTAGCTCCACAAAGCCCACAATCTAAAACAACAGACTTGGGATCATACTGCAATCTAAAAGAATTCTCAAAGTCTTTATTTGCACCCAAATTTTCACTTTCATCAGTAGCACTGAAGCTGAGACTCAAATTTCGTCCATAATCAACTCCCTTGGATGAATTTAAAATATCAGCATCATTGACAAATTGATTCTGACCATCCTCGCAGTCAACTACATAAGGTAATGAACGCAGTTCCCAACCAAAAAGACTTATAAGCTTTTGAGCCTGCAACATTTTCAAAATGATCAGTCTTCAACACCAACAAAAATTCAGGAATACATAAATGATAAAACCACAATCAATAAATGCAGGACATGTTGTACTTCTACAGTCAGAAATTGGAGAAACCATTAGATTTTTTTACTGGAAAGCAGGAGGTGGAATGGTATGAAAATGTAGTACATGAAAGTTTCAGAGAGAAACACAACTACACAAGCATGTTTACATGTACATCTATACCATACAACCAAATGAATGCAACTAAAACTGGCAAAAGTTTTCAGCCTAAATGCACCTATAATTGCAAACCAAAATGAGAAACAAGTGTCATACCTGGTAATACAAGTTAGCAGAATCCACATCAGATCCATCTTCAACACTTTCTAATTGAGAAAATTCTGTGTTCCCTGTCTGAGAATCCACCATTAAGGGTTGTCTTAGAAATTCTTGGAGCTGAGGGCTTCTCATAAATTCAATGGCCGAAGATGAAATCACTGGAAGAGCTAAAAGTTGAAAGAGTGAATTGGATCTCTCCCTGAATTTATCAACTAAATCAGCAGGGATAGTGGGAGGAAATTCGGCCAGACTTTCATCACAGGCATTGTCAATCCAAGGGCAAAGCAATTTGTGTCCACTATCCAGCTTTAAGCCAAACACCAAGGCAGCCTTCTCAACTGAAGAGCATAGAAAAAATTTATGTAATTAAGCCTAGCGAATGCCAGAAATTTCAAAAGTACTTGCTCAAAGTGAAGTAAATTAGATGCATGACATGCCTTGTTGCTGTGTCCAAGAAGGTGGAGTAGAAAAAAGGAGACGCGCTCCACATGATTCACAGGCTATAATATCCATATCCACATTGACCCAACCTCTCCTAGCACAGTTTACAGCATTTACTACCTAAAAACAATGAAAAAGATAATCATCTCTATTAAATGACAAACTTAGAAAAAAAGTATAGTCAGAACATAGTAAAATTAGAAAGAAAGAAACATGAATTGGTAGGTGAACGAACCTTGGGCTTAGCAAACCAAGTCATAGATTTGAAAGTTGATAACCTCCTCAGAAGATCTCCTCTATCCCAGGGTCTACACATTGGAGCTTCACCCGCAACTAAGGAATGCTGCTTCTCTTCTAATGCTAAAGAAAACGATGGATAAGGCCGTTTCTTGCCTCGTAATAGTTGTTCTTGTCCCCTCGCTCCCGGCACCGGTGAACTACCAATTTATTACAAATATATACATACATAAATAAACGAACAAATAGCAGTACTAATACTTAAATAGAATTTTCAAGTTTTATCAACTAAATGAAAAAAAAATCAATAATTAAAAGCAAATAAACAGAGAAAAGAAAACCTAGAGGAAGCGGTGGATTTAGAAGAGTGGAAGAGCTTGTCCATGATCGAATGAAACCTCTTCTCTGGATCCTGCGCCATTGTTTCTTTCTTTCTTTTTTCTTTATCATAGAAATTCCAGCACCTGCAGTCCCAGCAAAGGCTCCTTTTGTTAAAAAAAAAAAAGGCTATAAGAGCTTCGTCTGGTCCTCTCCAGTTAAGCCACGCTCGATCGGTCGCTGTTCCTTGTAAATTCTGATAATCGGCAGCTACATGATGTAAGCTACCGGGCCAGGCCGGGAAATAATAAAAAACTTTAGAGAAGGGCAGATCCAACTCAAGGTAGCCTGAGCCTTGAAGCGGGCCAATCTTGTAGGCTCCAGAGGGCAGCTTCACCTTTGGATACCTGAACTGCTTGGGAATGCAGGCCTATGCGTTAGAAAGAAAGCCACCTTCGGTCCTTATTCCCTATTCCTTCTCCTTTCCTTTTATACCTTCTATCTTTCCTTTCTTTTTTCCTCCTCTTTTTTTTTTTTATTTTTCTCTTCCCCACCGAAGAGAAAAAAAAAAACCAGCCACGTGTTGCCATGAAAATTAGTTTAGATATGTGTAATCTTCACCTTTGGATACCTAAACTAATTAAATTGATATTAAAATAAAAATTTTTGAGCACTATCCATTCATACGAGAAATTATGAAATTTTTAAATATTCATTTAGTTATTATGTTAATTTATTTTTTTGTTATAATATAATAAACATGCAATGATAATCTCTATATCATCAATATCTTGATATTTAATATCTTGATAAACTTTTTTTTTAATTGAATACGATGTTTCCTCTCCTTTCCTCTAAATGGTAGAGAAGTAGACATTTCAAAGCCCCAAAAGAGAAGCAATTAAACCAGAGTAAATTACGTAAATAATCATTAAAGCTCACATAATTTCTATTTTAATCATTGAGCATCAATTGATCTTAATTAAGTATTGAAGTTTGCCGGCTATACTAAATCTGATCATCTTAACATATTTAAGTTAATTAAGTGATCGAAAAATAACATGATCATCAGATATACTATCACATATATCTACGATAGGTTATACCTCACAAGGTCGTTCGCAAGTATTCAAAAACTCGTTAAGAAACTCAATAAGGGAGGACACTCGCTCCTATCATTTAACCAGTAATTAGTTGTCGAGAGGCCTCGAGCACTCATCTAATGTTAGCCTTACACACCAATCAACCAGGGACTCGTATGAGCCGTGCAAACTCATTTCTCTTATGATATGTTTTACTCCTGCTTGGTAAGAACCCGACTAGGCTCAAGGCTAGAGACTACAATCCACATGCCCAAAGGGAATAACGTCCTCTCTGTTTCAACTTCCAATGAAAATTTTTCGTATGCTATTACAACTTTACAAGTAATAGGCTGGTTGTCAAATGACCTACAAAAGCAATACAATAAAAAAAAGAAAGAAATATTTACCCATTTCTCCAATACTGTCCGTTTATATTTTAAATAGCTAGCATTAAAATTCAACGAATAAAATTATTGACCAACATTTGAAATTTTAATTGATAAGATTCGCATACTTCATAGGCAGTTGGTAACACTATAATGACGATATTGTATTAGTAATTGAACCCAATCTCATAAGAGTAAGACAGCATAGACATTTCAGTGCTGCTGAGCACCGGAGAGCAGCAAAGGAAGTGAATCAAAGAACTTTGTCCCCCCTACCATTCCGAAACAAGATAACAAAACCCATCCCGGTCCCACCCTTCGCTCTCGCCCATCTCTGACCCCCAAGGCAAAGGCCAAAACCCCCCCAATCCCCCTCCCTCTATGACTACACTCTCTCCGAATAAAAAAAACAAAAATGGCAATTTCATCAACAGCAGCTGCGGCAGCTACTTCTGCAAATCTTAGATACCCTTACGCCTCCCCTATCTCAACTCACTCTCACTCCGCAACCACCACCTCCAACTTCTCCTCAAAACCCACAAAACTAACCCCTACCCACCTCTCCTCTTCCTTCACCCCACCTTTCCTCACCACCATTGCCACCACTACCGTCATCTGCCGCCGTGGAGGAGCTCTTACTGTCAAAGCCGCCCGTGGCAAATTCGAACGCAAGAAACCCCACGTCAACATCGGCACCATTGGCCATGTCGACCACGGCAAAACCACCTTAACCGCCGCTCTAACGATGGCCTTAGCTTCCATGGGTAATAGCGCCCCTAAAAAGTATGACGAAATCGACGCCGCTCCAGAAGAGCGAGCCCGTGGTATCACCATTAACACCGCCACCGTTGAATATGAAACCGAGAACCGCCATTACGCCCACGTTGACTGCCCGGGGCACGCTGATTATGTCAAAAACATGATTACCGGAGCTGCCCAAATGGACGGTGCCATTTTGGTCGTTTCCGGAGCTGATGGACCCATGCCCCAGACAAAAGAACATATCTTGTTGGCTAAACAAGTGGGTGTTCCAAACATGGTTGTGTTTTTGAATAAACAAGACCAGGTTGATGATGAAGAGCTTTTGCAATTGGTCGAATTGGAGGTCCGTGAATTGCTTTCAAGTTATGAATATCCTGGTGATGATGTCCCTATTGTTTCTGGGTCTGCCCTTTTAGCTTTAGAAGCTTTGATGGCTAATCCAAGTGTTAAGAGAGGTGAAAACCAATGGGTTGATAAGATTTATGAACTTATGGATTCTGTTGATAGTTATATTCCTATTCCTCAAAGACAAACTGATTTGCCTTTCTTGTTAGCTGTTGAGGATGTGTTTTCCATCACGGGTCGTGGTACTGTTGCCACTGGTCGTATTGAGAGAGGTATTGTTAGGGTAGGAGAGACTGTTGATATTGTTGGATTGAAAGAAACGAGGAACACCACAGTTACTGGTGTGGAAATGTTTCAGAAGACATTAGATGACGCTATGGCTGGTGATAACGTTGGGTTGTTGCTTAGGGGTGTTCAAAAGGCTGATATTCAGAGAGGGATGGTTTTGTCTAAACCAGGAACGATTACTCCACATGCTAAGTTCACCGCCATTGTTTATGTGTTGAAGAAGGAAGAGGGTGGTAGGCATTCTCCCTTTTTCGCAGGTTATAGGCCTCAGTTTTACATGAGGACCACTGATGTGACTGGAAGGGTGGCTTCAATTATGAATGATAAGGATGAGAAGTCTAAGATGGTTATGCCTGGTGACCGTGTAAAGATGGTTGTTGAGCTTATTATGCCGGTGGCTTGTGAGCAAGGGATGAGGTTTGCTATCAGAGAAGGAGGGAAGACGGTTGGAGCTGGTGTTATTCAGTCTATCATTGAGTGATTTTAGTAAACTTTGGCATTGCAGGAAATTTTATTTGCTTTTTGAGTGATGTCAAAAACTTTTTATGTCAAGGATATGCAATTAGTTTCGCCATTTTTAGAACCTCGTTGATTCCAATGTCATATATGTTGCAGTTTTTCACTTCTTTTGCTTCAGACTCATTCCAATCTAGTTGGGTAAATTTCATGTCATAATTTGATGTGGTCTTATTTTTCCCTGTTGCTTCTGCTGTTATTGCTAATTCTTAGAGCTTTTGCTTGCTTTAGAAAATGTGATGATCCTAAGGTAGTTAACACACACTAATCTTCTCAAGGAATTCATTGTTCTTCAAGGCTGTTTTTGTCTGTGGCAATGAAACTTTAATACAGCATTGTCGATCTAGTCTGACGGTTGTTTTGCTCTATTTAAACAGTAGTCACTGTGGCTATTCGTGGTGACTACAATTGTTTGTGATTCTAGGTAACCATCTTATCTCTCCTGCTAAACCTTTGCATTAATGGATTGGGGAATACATATTATTCCTGTTATCCGAAACATGGGCTTTGCGGCACATATCACTACAGTACACCCCGTAATACTTGTGAAAATTTCATTGTTTCTTAGTTTCTGTTTTTCTTTTTGGTGGCCAAGTTTCTTTTGTTATTGAAAATCTAATTCCAAATAAATATATTTTTTAAGTTTGTCGCTGCTAGTTTCACCGACCAGTTTGTAGTTTTAGGAGTTAATTTGATGTGCAAAGAACACATGGCTTACGGTAGGAGAATTTTGTTTGACCGCAAAAGAAGGCTGGAGATTAGAGAAAAAGAAACGACTCAGGAGACAAAACAAGACATAAGCACATGCTTTAAAATTTAAATAGAGCTTGTCTTTACATTCCTTATAAGCTGTGGCCGTTAAATGCCCTATTATATACATAATATATAGGAAAAAGAACCGACTTACATAATGTAAAACTAAAAAGGTTTTATGCATACATGCATACATGCATACATTGCCTTTTGGTGAATATATCACGTTGCATTCACGAGTTGTGCCCCCCCAAATAGTATTGATTACAATGACCGACTTCATAGAACCATCACCGGTGCTAAAAACCCCGTGTTGATTATAACATCGCCAGGTGAGCTGCATGCCAGCAACTGATCAAGAAAGCCTTGCTCCTCCTGTTTAATATTTTGAAATGCATAGGACTAGATGAGAACCTTAGAAAATGGTTTATATGACCACCTTAGAAGATGGTTGATATGACCAACTGTTGGACGAATGCGGCTCTTTGCCTTATCTCTTCTGTATTCTGTTCATGATATTTGTCTGGCAAAGGCGGTTCAATTCTGCACAGAAAGAAAGCAATCAGTGACATTCATTTGCACGTGTCTCAACCAGATCCCTGCACTAGACCTAGCAAATTCCACTAAATCACAAAATCATAGGACGGGAATTGCAGTAAACTGAAATGGAAACAGAACGAAATGCATGTATATATTGCTCTTTCACATTTTTGAGACAGCATTGTTCAGAACATGTGGGTTGATTAGTATTTATTTACTTCAAAATACATGTACATGTAGACACTCATTTTTCGGTAAGCTTCAAAATAAATAATAAAAAAAAGAAGATAAATAATAGATAAATAGAAGCAGAGTTTCAATCCTAGTAAAATGGTAGGATTAGGACTTTAAATTTTGAAATTGGGATGGTTTTTTGAAAAAGAGGGGATAAACAGATGAGAGGATGGGAAGATTCTAATTTTTGAATCCTCAAACTGACCCTATTTAAACCATCAACCGCACAGCAAAAAGGGGGGGCAGTTACACAGAGAAATCAAGCAAGCTCAACTGCCAAGTTCTCCAAATCTGAACGTCTCTTCTACCACCACCAAACACCATCTGCACCATTCCACACTGCCATCTCTACATCAATGCCAATTCTTCGTTGACAGCCTACTCTCATCACCACCAGGCCACCACCCTCAAGAGCCAAGAACCCGACCTTGTTCCTTTTAGTCACTACCATCAATTGTCCATGCCAAAGCCACGAGATTAAACCACTTCATCATAGTTGCCATCATACCATTATTACAAATCTATGCAATCTCACTAAACATTACCACCGTCCAAAATACCATGAATTTAGTTGAAACCCAACTTCCAAACCGTTATACACCGTATCAAGGAAAAGTTTAATCCAAAACCCACTATCCTTCAAACAGTTCCAGTAGCTTTTACCCAACAAACACATAGGCAATATTAGGAGGAAATCCATTCAAGTTCGACAGAATCCAGTTCCTTGCCCAAACCATCCACGACCAGGTAGATGTTCTGTTAATTTTTGGGCTTTTTGAGCCCTTGACTAACTGGAAAGGAAGAGAACAATAGAGAAGAAAAAGGAAAGCTGGTGGCCAGAAGGTAGCGGCAACTGGCAACTTGCGGCAATGAAATGAAGGTCCAGTGAATGATTTCTGGGCGGTAAATTTTTTAGTCTTGGTTGGTTATTGAAACGAAGAAAAACTACCAAATAGAAAAGGTGAGATGACAAATATTTTTTGGGTGTTTCAAGTTGACTAAGGATATGGAGATCATTAATGGCTTTGTTGCACTCTGCTTGGGCTTGATTTTCTTAGAGCTTGTTTTTTTGGAGGATCATTCGGTTAGTAGAGAATAGGTGATTTACGGTAGATTTTCTGGTAAAATAAACTGCGGTGGCTGTGACCTAAATTGTTCCAGCGAGCGACGGCAACGACAGTGGCGTTTTGCTGGAATCTGTAAGCTTGTTGAGTTTCCGACCAACTTTCGTTTCTTTCCTAGAAAGAGAAAGAAAGAGAGCAGAAATTGGAAAGAACCTGTGAAATGAATAGGAAGGCTTAAAATATTGCCTTTATAGCACTAACAAATCGATGTCGTTTTAGCTTAAGAAATTGAGTTCCCTTGCTCATTTCAAGGATCCGTGCGCCAACTATTGGGTGACCCGACCCAATCCAACTCCGCGCCATTTGAGCTATAAGCCGAGCTGCTTCCTGTGCGAAGCTAAGCCGTGACAAATTTTTTGAGCCAAGTCACGAGTCGTTTTGGTATTCTCTTTTTTTTTTTTTTTGCTCGTTATTCATTTATTATTATTTTTTTGAGTGAATAGAAAAAGGCAAATAAATAAAAAATTAAAACTTTAAAAAAATATATTTTTGAATAAAAATTGAAAGTATTAATTTTTTTTAAAAATAAAAATTTTTAAAAATATATTTTTAAAGAAAAGTTAAAAATATCAATTTTTTTCAAGAATAAAAATTTCAAAAAAAAATTATTTTTGAGAGAAAGTTGAAAGTATCAATTTTTCTTGAAAATAAAAATTTTCAAAAAAAAAAACATTTAAAGAAAAGTTGAAAGTAACAATTTTTCTCGAAAATAAAATTTTTCAAAAAATATTTTAAGGAAAAATTAAAAAAATCAATTTTTCGTGAAAATAAAACCTCAAAAAAGCATTTTAAGGAAAAACTAAAAGTATCAATTTTCTTTGAAAATAAGATTTTCAAGAAAAACATTTTTGAGAAAAAGTTGAAAGTATCAATTTTTCTTGTATAAAAGCATGAGTTTTTTTATATAAAACAACAAAATAAAAAGAGACTTCTATCAAAAGCTTGAAGCATTATTCTTTTTTTTTTCTTATTTTAAAATATCAAATAATTCAACGGCGAAACATTTGCAAGAGAAACAGTAATTGTTTTACATACTTTTAAGATGAGAAAATTTTCTTAATTTTTTGCTAAAAGTATTGGAGTCAATTAAGAATAATTTTCAATAATTAACTGCTTGGTAAAGTTTTTAAAGCTAGTTGATAACACGAAATCGAACTGGTATCATCTTTCGATGAACATTGTAGAGGTGCTATAACCTTTCTCACGTGTAACCACACTCCTGGACCTAATTCTGGTTTCGCAGACATTGAATATCCTTTACAAAGATACGTAAGTCAAACTTAGGATTTCTCTTTAAAAAAAAACAGATTCAGTCAGATGACCAATTGCACATAAACAAAAAAAATTGGTGGCGACTCCTCAAGTCGATGTCTAACGATAGGTCCACGAATCTAGATGTTATGATAATTTGATGACTCCACTGGGAATAAGCCGAGAGTCAAGCCAGCAAATAAATTTGTGTTATCTAAAAAGCCTAATAAAACTAGATTCTTTGCAAGGATTTTTCTTCTTTTTCATTCATTTTATTTATTTATGTTGCTAACTATGTCATTCATATGCATATGCATAACATGAGTTCTATATCCGAGCTCTATCTCTTTAGGATAGAGTAAAGTATCTATGCTTTCGTGAGGTTCTAATGCCTCGTAGTGGCTAGTAAAATACTCCCACTCAAATTGAACTTTTTTCGCTTACAACCTGTAATGGATGAGGATTAGGGTGCCTTACTATTCTATAATGGATAATGATGTAAAGAGTAATTTAAAAACTTTTAGACTATCAACTTTAAACCACATATAGTGAGCATGAGAAATCTAACCCGTAGTTAGAGCCTTACCTTCCCCTTCCGTAGAAAAATCCAACAACTAAGTTACATTTTTGCAATGATTGATTTTTCCTTAGTGAAAATTAATTGTTGTTGTCATGTTGCATGAATTGTCATGATAAGATGTATGTTAGTTGATTTTTTTCTTCTTTCATATATTTTTCTTTCAGTTAAAGTAGGATAACATTGGACTGCATATATTTTTGGCATTCATTTCGTATATGTTAGTTTGAAATCATATTAAGATTATTTTTATAGTCTTTTTTTCATGACATGAGCATGTAGTAATGCAAGCATCTTAATTTGTGATAATCAAAGGTTTAAGGATAGCTCGACCATCGATAAATTCAGGTCAACTGTGCGTCACCCGTATAATACTTAATCACGAGCAAGGTAAATGGAACAGGAACAAAATACCCATATGGACAAGATTGAGAAGGCTCAAGAAGAGATAAAAGAGGAGTTGACCAAGATAATGAAAATGTTGAAAAAACTGGATAAAGGTAAAACAGTAGAAAAGACCCCTAATCCGAATGAAAGATAAGATATTGTGGATCCTTTATACCCTCCTAGGTTTGGTCCAAACCAAGGTCAATCTTCTCAAGAGACACAGGCCCTGCATATACCATTTTCTGAGGCATATGCTTACACTTATCCTAAAGCGCCATATCGCAGTTACACTAACCCTACCTTTGGGGTAAAGATAGCATACCCAATTGAGGTCCTTGATTTTAATGATCTTAAAAAGAAAGAAAGGTTGAAGATGAAGACTTTTAAGGTGATGAAAGACCTGAGCATGCAACAAATGAACCTTTTAAAAGAGAAGGTACGAGCTATCAAAAAAATGGATTATTTTAGCTCTATAGATGCAGCTGAA